GAAAGGCCAAACAGTTGGCATGGGACAGGGGATACGATTCCGAAGGCAAGACATGCTACATCTGCTACTACGATGCCGGGAACTGCGCTTATGCTGGTTTCATGAGAATGCTTTTGACTCCGGAAGAGCGCCAAGAATGCTACAGAGGGTCAGCCTTGCCCAAGGAGGAACTCCTGGGTGACACGGTGGAGCTGGCGCTCGGGCTTCTTACAATTGCAATGAGACACCCAAGTCATTTTCCGAATTGGGGTGGCCTTGAGGGAGCAAATGCGTGCGTGAGGGGAATCGAAAGATCATTCTTCCGCTACGCGTCGGCCGAAGCTATCGAGCTGATCACGGTTGACTCCCCACGCAAAAGGACACCGCCCAAGAAGAATGAAGCAGTCGCTGAGATCGTCAACAACATGTCCGCTGACCTCGTGATTGATTTCACAGTGATCGTCGATGGTGATATCTACCCCGTAGAGATTGCGAGAACCGACGAGACACAGGCCGCTGACAACGTCACGGACGATCCAGGGTTCTCCGTTGCTCCACCAATACCTGCACAGGATGTAGATGTGGATGCGCAACCCGAAGAAGAACAAGGTGCAGAAGGCCCTGATCCCAGGCAGGCGATTCGTGAAGGATTTGTCGCACAGCTTCAGGACTATGTGGGAGTGCTCGCTCAAGGCGAAATGTCGGTCGGAAATGACCGCCTCACGTTCTGCATCGCTTGTGGCAGTGATCTACACACTCTGTCCAATTGCACGGAAAATTCTGCAACCCGGGATCTGGTACTTCGAGGCGTCCAGATCATCAAGGAAAGCCTTCTTCGATATCCACGTCGAGTACCTCCACAAGAGGCTGAGCCAATGGACGTTGACACCACAGACCATGTGAGTGTTGCATCCTCGGACCGACGACCCAAGGCCAAAGCCCGACCGCGACGCGGAGGCGAAGCCGTACGGGGTGATGTGGTCTTGATCCGTTATGAGAACAAACACAATCTCTGCACGGATGTGGAAAACCGTCGGGGCCTACATGATGCTTGTGGCGTACCACTGCAGGAATCAGGACCAGAGAATAGCCAGCGGGTGGTGGACCTCATTGAGCAGCTTTCGGACTATCGCGACCGACGCCTACCTCAACGAGGAGACCGTCCTAGCTTTGCTTTTAACGATACCACTCAGGGCTACACCAATGCAGGCTATGAATGCATCGGCGGCGGAAGGCCAATCCGGTGCGGGATTCTCGACCTGATCCCAACCAAGGGTGCAAGCTTCATCAACAATCGATGGGACATCGTGAACGAAGTTGTCCTTCGCAACATCACCCGTCAGCGCAGACTAAACGCGGATTGGGCGCTATCATGCATCCAATCTGACCTACGTCACAGAATCGCCAGGCGCCCAGGCTCGGAATGGCTTGACAACAGGTGCCAGGTGGCATTCAACAGCGTCATTCGATGTGATGAAGGAGGGTGGGTGATGATCGAAGACTTGGTGAGGCATGAGCAACTATGGACCCATGAAAGCAGACGCATCACCGAAGCGGTCTCAAGGACCGATGAGCAACAGAAGAAGAGAGTGTACAATGAAAGACTTCAGCTATTGTTCCAAGGGAACATGCTCGCAGCCACGAAACGCCATAAGGCCAAGATTCGGTTGCAGTTCCTGGGAGTGAGAGTGAAGGACCCCGGCACGGAAACTCTTGGATCAGCAGGTTCGAACATGTTGGTATCGGTTCCTGACCAGATCACGGAGATCCAGAACAATGATCATTGCCGGCACAGCCAGAGGTACCTGAACGTTTGCAACGGCTGGGTGAAGCCATGGGCAGTTCGGGCTACAAGTGGTCACTCTGCGCACTCAGATCCCCAGAACAATTTGCTTCAGTTGGACAAGAACAGGTTCGCAATATCTCCATCTATGACCCTCTTGCAACGTCTTGGAGGCGCGTTCCACGCTACGGCATGCCGCAACTTGGATTCCATTGTCACGCAAGGCATCATGCCTGGTTCGGAGGACCCCGACGGGGACTTCGACCATAGGCGCCAATTTCGAGGCAACCAAGGCGGCAGACTCCACAGCTATTGGGGGGTGTTTGCACCGTTCGATCACCGGAACGCGACAACCAAGATGCGGGTGCATGGACGAGATGCCAAGCACATGCCATTGGCGGTCCTCCATGTCCCATCGCAGGACCTTGCACGAGAAGATGGACGTATCACAGACAGCGGCATCATGATCGTTGGCCGGACGATACCGTTCCATTTCGTCAAGGAGGTATGGTTTTGCGTCCCGGATCCTCAAGATACACACTCTTTCGCTCTGGTGGAAAAGATCTACGATGAACGATTGGAGAAAGAGCTGGTGTTGGACTACAATGCATCACCGTTGCTCCCTGAGTTCGAGAGATACCGAACGCCGAGCAAGATCATGGAATTGCTTTGCGAAATGCCTCCTGGACCCCACGACACCAGCAAGGAGCAGATCATTCGAGACCTTACGACTGTCCTGGAGTCCCACAGGGAGAACACGGTTCGGCATCACTACATGGACAAAGGGATCAAGTTTGTCATCAAGAATTGGCGACCCGAAGACCTACGCAGAGACGAGGATGGAAGGAGAATGAGGGTGTGCCCGGCATGCTACAACATCGTTCCAGCATGTTTCTCCCGATGCACGTCTTGCTGGTCACAGTTCGTTTCGAGCGGATATTACCAAGGTTCTCCACAACGGGAGACTCCTACGGAGATCCCCAGTGACTTCATCGCTCAGACAATGGAAGCCGCAGCAGCAGCAGTGCCTGAGGCGCCCGAAGAGGAGCAGGAAGCCATGGAGGTAGAGACCGTTGCGGAACCTGAGGAAATCCCAGAACCATCTGTCATCGCAGAGGACGATCCAGAACAGGAACCTGATGAAGAAATGGACATAGAGCCAGGAGAGGAATTTGATGACGCAGTACCAGATGCAGTTGCACAGGAACGTCGTCCCGTCTTCATTACCGGCCAGTCTTTGAACATCGATCCTGAGCTACAACTTGCACGTACCGCCATGCAGCCATCCTACTATTCTGGAAAGCGAAATGCCCATTGCATTGACGCCAACATGGCCGCTCTTTCGTATATGGCATACGTGGTATGCAGATCCATCTACAAAGCTTGGTCAGGGTTCGCAAAGTGGGCGACTATGCCGTTGTTCCAGATGAAGGAGAATTTCGCACTTGGCCAACGCTATGATGTGCTCGGAAAGTGGGGATCTTTGGCGGCAGTGGATAGGGAAACGGGTGTGAGCAAGGATGTGACTGATGAGGAGATCATTCGCTTTGCCAAGGAGCCTGAGAACCTCAAGCAGTATGATCCCAACGGGACTTACACCTTGAAGCGCTTCCGGACGAACCAGATGCTTTCGTTGCTTACACGGGGAGCCAACATGATGGGAATTGGCAGGGACAACTTCAACCCTACTACTTACTTGAAGAGCGACAGGGATGAAGATGTGAAGGCTATGCACTTTTGTTGCCTGAACGTCCTGTGCGAGGTGATTCCAATGGTGACGGGACACCAACAATTCTCGGTGCTACGACCAACACCAACTGGACCGGTGGACTTCTTGTACATCGACCCCGTCGGTATCCTGCTGACTCATTCCGATCATTCAGTCCAGACCATCGGATTGCTGGTGGACCACAATGTGCAAATGCCTGCGCATTTCATGGACAGATTGAACAGATCCAAGGCTGAGAGACAGCAAAACCCGACGACCAAGCGTACTGAAGCCCTACACCACATTTCGGCTGCTGACTATCTCCCTCCAGGTGGTACTTCCATCCTGGACACGCCTGTCACTACGGAGGAACGTGCAAGCGCTTCTTCGGCCAAGGGACCTTCAAAGGGGCGTGAGAGAGCCGGAGGTGAACAGCATGGAGGCTGGAACGCCAACACCTACTATGACTACACCGCCGGCAAAGGCCGAAACAAAGGCAAGGACAAAGGAAAGCAAAGGGAACAGTATCCAGAGGAAAACCTCCGGCCCTGGGACCGCGATCCTGCGACCACGCGAAGATGGAGATGAATCAACGCTTGGTCTTCCTCGCCTATCAGTTCGTGACCTCTGAGCTTCGCCCATGGAATGCCATCGCGAATGCTTCTTTCTTCGGTGACGCCTGATTCGTTTGCCATTTCAGGGGATCGTTACTGACGTAGATGAGTGTCACAACGTTTCTAATTGGGATGCAAAGCTCTGATTTTCAATGTCAACGTTGCGGCGGAACATTTTCTGTTGTCCTATCGTGCCATCTTCCGGGTGAGCAGCGTCGGAGACGCAACTCATGGGGGGTGCGAACGGACTGCGATGCCTTGTCAAGTTCTAAGGTGTCACTATAAGAGCTGTGAGCAAGACCGTGTAAAGTGCAAGAGAAGGGGGCACGCTACGCGTCCCTCGACTCTAAGGGGGCACGCTACGCGTCCCTCATCTTTACCTTTCTATGTGACCGCCCACGCAACGTTTGGCTCAAGTCAATGCCCATAGCTAAGTGCTATAAGTGTCTTCTATCCTGAGCAATCAGAGCTATCCCGTTGCACAGACGAACCGCCGCCGGCAGTGAGTGCAAAAGGAACGGCCGCCGGTTCTGCCTGCATAGGATTGCACGCGTGGAAGTGTAAGAGAGACAGGGTCCAGTCTGTGGAGAGTGCAAGCCAGCCACACCTACATTCATTACAGCTCTGGTGGGGAGAGCAGCAACCTAGTCGAGATCAATCCCCCACGCAGTGATTGAGCTTCCTAAACCCCAAACTAACCTAAACCCTAAACCCTAAACTAACTTAAACCCTGAACCCTAATTCTGGGCCTCCTTGGCATGCTGTCGACGAACAGGCGCAGGCCTTTCAAGCGCAGATGAACCAAAGAAGACAAAGAGAAACCTGGCAGAAGCCCTTATGATATCCTAAAGAGAAGAAGCCCTAGAAGGAACCGGAAGAGTCAACGATGTCTGCCTTTCAAGCCCCAGCTGATGAGGGGGCGGCCTCTACACAGAAGGCAGCTTCTCACTAGAAGCACAGAGCACGGTCAGTTTCGATAACTGCACAAGCACAAGCGCTTCGGCGGCATTTTGGGATCTTTAGCTGGACGTGTGAGTGTGTGTGTGGCCCGTGTCAGCAAAGGAAGTATATACTAGCTCTTTTGATGTGAGTGATCCACACCCGATTCCAATTCGACGTTGTGCAAGTGCAGCTGAAAGAAGATGATCAATGTCTGGCCAAAGTGAGTAATGCGGTAGCAGAGTTGCTTCCATGTCAGCAGGGGGCGTCCCTATCACCTGAGCTGGATGCACAACGAAGAGGGTTCAAGATGATCGCTACTAGACGTCCAGGTGCGTACCGGCAGAATACTTTTGACAGAGATGGTTTTGACACGTGTGTTGGGCAAAAAGGACCTTTTACTTGGCTTGGCGATTTGCGCAAGTGTGTGTGGGAGTTGAACGCCTCAGTTCCAGGACTTGCTTGCTCGAAGATGGGGATGGGCTATCAGCGTACGGTTGACAAGTGACCGGCGTTGACACACAAACAGACATGCCATGGCATGTCTTTCTTCGGCCCTCCAATGATATCTGGGTCCGGGCCCACATGCGTAGTACGGATTGAGGAGGCTACGCAGGGAGCACATGTATCGGGACTTTGAAGCTTCCAACAAAAATGCCGTAATTGATTTCAGAACATTGCGGCTCCACGCATAAAACATGTCAGACGAGCTTTGCAGCATCTATCTTTTCATTCAGACTGTGGGCCGGTTTTTTGTTTTCAGTGGCAAGCGCTGTTGTGTTTGGATTCAGCGGCGGGCTGTTTAAGTTTTTTGGGCTGGTTGGCTTGTGTGTGAAGGCAGCAGCCTGCAAAGTCGCAAGTCTCGCAGGGGCGTGGTTGGCGTAGCAACAGTACCTGTAGTCTTCACTTGAGTTCCTGTTTTTGGTTCAGCCGATATTTTATCAGGTAAGGTAACCCATGCAAGGAGCTACAATGGAGATTATAGGCAGGAAGGCATGGCCCGGCTGCTGCAGAGCGCACTGCACGAATCTGCGCCCAGTCTGTCCCACACTCAGGCGATTTCGTTGCCACAGGCGGCGGTGGTGGCGCCATGGTGCTCAAGAACTTTATACAGGGCCCTGACAGCTCTGCCATCTTCCGCAATTGCGAAGCAGAGGGCGAAGGCCTGGGCAGCAGTGTTTTCTTGACCGTCGCGTGCTGGGAGCCTTGCGACATCCACCCTCGTGCAGCATGTCTGTTACTCGTGCAACGAAGGCGTTTTTTCTAAGTCGTGACGTGCTTGCCATGCAAGCCGTAAGTGCGGATTAGGACGGGTCCCACAGAGTTCAGCGTTCTTTTGTAAGGGATTTTGGGTTGGGGTGCCCGCCGTTACCTGCCGAACAGTTCTCGAAAAGCACCGAACTCCCGGCTTCCTGCAGGTAGCCTCCTCCAGCACGGAGGCCGCCTCCTTAGGGCATCCAATGTCACAATGTCCGCAGTGGCCGCAGCCCAACCCCAAAATCCTTTCATAACGCTGAAGTAAGAGGAGCCCGCAAGCCCGACCACAAAATCGTTGCAGCGCAAATCGCTGCAGCACGGATGCGAAGGACTCTCAGGGCTTGCGTGGAAAACCCTTCAAAGCTGGTCAAGCTTCTTCCAACCGTCGAAGCAAGCACTACCAGCCATTGAAATACAAGCAACGACCATGCCCCACACGGGTCGGAAGGCACCCGGAACCCTCCGAACACTGCTACCTTGGCCAAAGCTCCTCTCTTTTCCGCCCTGCAGCCGCGGAAGATGGCAGAGCTGTTAAGGCTCTGCGTGAAGTTCTCGTTCACGTGTGCACCGCCACCTTCACCGGGAGACAGCGAGAAATGAGCTCAGGGGCTTTGAGATGTGCAGACAAAGCTTCTGCAGTGACCTTCTAGCGCCCTCTGGCGGCGTACAGGTCTTCAGCATGTAAGGCCGCCCCTGCAAGCCCTTCCGAAAACAAAGCTAACAGACGATCGAAGACCGGAATTCCGAATGAGGCCACAAGTACAATCGCGAGAACACCCGAATCCGATGGCTCAACTCATGTACATCCTCGACTGCCGAGGCACCGTTACCTGCCGAACAGTTCTCGAAAAGCACCGAACTCCCGGCTTCCTGCAGGTAGCCTCCTCCAGCACGGAGGCCGCCTCCTCAGGGCGTCCAATGTCATGATGTCCGCAGTGGCCGCAGCCCAACCCCAAAATCCTTTCATAACGCTGAAGTAAGAGGAGCCCGCAAGCCCGACCACAAAAGCGTTGCAGCACAAATCGCTGCAGCACGGATGCGAAGGACTCTCAGGGCTTGCGTGGAAAACCCTTCAAAGCTGGTCAAGCTTCTTCCAACCGTCGAAGCAAGCACTACCAGCCATTGAAATACAAGCAACGACCATGCCCCACACGGGTCGGAAGGCACCCGGAACCCTCCGAACACTGCTACCTTGGCCAAAGCTCCTCTCTTTTCCGCCCTGCAGCCGCGGAAGATGGCAGAGCTGTTAGGGCTCTGCGTGAAGTTCTTGTCCACGTGTGCACCGCCACCTTCACCGGGAGACAGCGAGAAATGAGCTCAGGGGCTTTGAGATGTGCAGACAAAGCTTCTGCAGTGACCTTCTAGCGCCCTCTGGCGGCGTACAGGTCTTCAGCATGTAAGGCCGCCCCTGCAAGCCCTTCCGAAAACAAAGCTAACAGACGATCGAAGACCGGAATTCCGAATGAGGCCACAAGTACAATCGCGAGAACACCCGAATCCGATGGCTCAACTCATGTACATCCTCGACTGCCGAGGCACCGTCTGTACCTGCCGAACAGTTCTCGAAAAGCACCGAACTCCCGGCTTCCTGCAGGTAGCCAGAGGCATGGAGGCCGCCTCCTCAGGGCGTCCAATGTCATGATGTCCGCAGTGGCCGCAGCCCAACCCCAAAATCCTTTCATAACGCTGAAGTAAGAGGAGCCCGCAAGCCCGACCACAAAAGCGTTGCAGCACAAATCGCTGCAGCACGGATGGGAAGGACTGTCACGGTCCCTACTCAGGGCGTGCATGGAAACCCCTTCAAAGCTGGTCAAGCTTCTTCCAACCGTCAAAGCAAGCACTACCAGCCATTGAAATACAAGCAACGACCATGCCCCACACGAATCGGAAGGCACCCGGAACCCTCCGAACACTGCTACCCAGGCCAAAGCTCCGAACAATTTCGCCCTGCAGCCGTGGAAGATGGCAGAGCTGTTAGGGCTCTGCGTGAAGTTCTTGTCCACGTGTGCACCGCCACCTGAACCTTGGGGAAACAGCGAGCAATGAGCTCAGGGGCCTTCAGCAAAGCTTCTGCAGTGACCTTCTAGCGCCCTCTGGCGGCGTACAGGTCTTCTGCATGCAGGGCGATCCCTGCAAGCCCTTCCGAAACCAAAGGTAACAAACGATCGAAGACAGGAATTCCGAATGAGGCCACAAGTACAATCGCGAGAATACCCGAATCCGATGGCTCAACTCATGTACATCCTCGACTGCCGAGGCGCCGCTACCTGCCCAACAGTTCTCGAAAAGCACCGAACTCCCGGCTTCCTGCAGGTAGCCAGAGGCATGGAGGCCGCCTCCTTAGGGCGTCCAATGTCATAATGTCCGCAGTGGCCGCAGCCCAACCCCAAAACCCCTTCATAACGCTGAAGTAAGAGGAGCCCGCAAGCCCGACGTCAATCTCAATCAGAAACACAGAAGCGTTGCAGCACAAATCGCTGCAGCACGGATGGGAAGGACTGTCACGGTCCCCACTCAGGGCGTGCATGGAAAACAATGCACAGCTGATCAAGCTTCTTCCAAGCGTCGAAGCAAGCACTACCAGCCATGAAATACAAGCAACCTCAATCAAGAATCAAGACCCCAAGACCCGGAATTTGCAGGGGCTGTCGCGTCGGCGTGTTCTGCCGAGGGGGGAAGGCTCCCAGCTCCTGCTGGAACGGTCACAAGAACACTGCTGCCCAGGCTCCTCTGTGAGCACCGCAGCCGCGGAAGATGGCAGAGCTCTTAGGGCTCTGTGTGAACTCCGCCACGCGGGCACCGCCGGCCCGAACTGGGAGACGGCGTGGGGCTGTCAAGCGCTTGCTACTGCTGGGCAGGCAAGCCCCAAGCTCATTAGGCTTGAGGAGTGCGCACGTAGAAAGCGTCGAAAATCAAACTAGTGGCAAACAGATCTCTTTCCAAGCCCCGCCCGAGCTTCGGGTCGACATGAAGCCCTGCGATGTTTTGCGGCGGACTGAAGCCACAAAAGACCAGAACCTCCTCGACTGCCAAGGCGCCCGCCAAGCAGCTCTCAAACAGAACTGAACTGCTGGCTTCCTGTTGGTAGTCGCCTTCGGCATAGAGGCCCCCACCTCATTGGGGCACCAGCACCGTTTCAAAGCGCTGTCAACATGGCCACGTCCGCGTCTGTCCGGGACCGCCTCGGCAGTCGAGGATGTACATGAGTTGAGCCATCGGATTCGGGTGTTCTCGCGATTGTACTTGTGGCCTCATTCGGAATTCCGGTCTTCGATCGTTTGTGAGCTTTGGTTTCGGAAGGGCTTGCAGGGGCAGCCTTACATGCTGAAGACCTGTACGCCGCCAGAGGGCGCTAGAATGTCACTGCAGAAGCTTTGCCTGCACATCTGAAAGCCCTGAGCGCATTGCTCGCTGTCTCCCGGTGGAGGTGGCGGTGCACACGTGAACCAGAACTTCACGCAGAGCCTTAACAGCTCTGCCATCTTCCGCGGCTGCAGGGCGGAAATGAAAGGAGCTTTGGCCAAGGTAGCAGTGTTCGGAGGGTTCCGGGTGCCCCACACGGTGCTTGTATTTCAATGGCTGGTAGTGCTTGCTTCGACGGTTGGAAGAAGCTTGACCAGCTTTGAAGGGTTTTACACGCAAGCCCTGAGAGTCCTTCGCATCCGTGCTGCAGCGATTTGCGCTGCAACGATTTTGTGGTCGGGCTTGCGGGCTCCTCTTACTTCAGCGTTATGAAAGGATTTTGGGGTTGGGCTGCGGCCACTGCGGACATTATGACATTGGATGCCCTAAGGAGGCGGCCTCCATGCCTCTGGCAGCTACCTGCAGGAAGCCGAGAGTTCGGTGCTTTTCGAGAACTGTTCGGCAGGTTTTGGCGGCGCCTCGGCAATCGAGTACTACTTGGGGTTATAGGCCCAGGGTTTCTTAATCAGGTTCCTACATTAGAGAGGCAATGGGAACATTATGCATCGTACTGAAAGCGGGTTCTTGCTCCGAACCTCATCCCGGGCTGTCTCTCAATCTGCCAATGTGCCTTCTGAGAGCATGTAGAATTTACTTGCGGAGCAGGGATTCAGGCTGTCTCTCAGGTGGCGGTGCGCACCTGAGGGAGAACTTCACGCAGGGCTCTAACAGCTCTGTCATCTTCCGCAGCTGCCGGGCGAGAAAAGATGGAGCCTTGGCAGCAGGTTTTTTTTGCTTGTTGCCAGTGGGAGCCTTCCGACACCCATCTTCACGTTAGTGCAGTGCATGGCCACGGCACTTGTTACGAGCCTCTGCAATCAAGAAGCCAGAAGGGTGTGGGGCTTGCTGTGGCCCCGCTCCCACCCCCGTGAGACGCGTGAACATGTTAGTGCCTCAGGCCGCATGTTCAGATGCGCTCTGAGGAGGCGGCCTCGCTGCGTCAGGCAGCTACCAGCAGGAAGCCGGGAGTTCGGTGCACTTCGAGCACTGCTCGGCAGATAGTGCTTTGGCGAGTGTGTAGATGAGTCTTTTTGACGGTAGACATCGCATTCGGGTGTCCTCACCACGGAAACTGTGTGGACTCATTCCGAGCGACACGGTCCTTGGTTTCTGAAGGGGCCTGAACTCATTTTTCCGAATCTTTGCCTGAGCTGTTTCTAAGGTGACGGCGGTGGTGCACGCGTGAAGAACTTCGCACAAGGCCCCAACAGCTCTGCCATCTTCCACAGCTGCCGGGCGGGACAAGACGGAGCCTGGGCAGCAGCTTGCCAGTGGGAGCATTCTGGAAGCCTTCCGACACCCACACCCTGCGGACAGGGACAGCCCCTGCTACTGGGTTAAGTCGTCCCGCTTTGACTTGACATTTTACGCGTGGACATTGGAGGAAAGCCATTCTGAACAAGTCCCGGCAACTAGCATGGACATACTTTAATATAGGCTTGATGCTATATCTTTGCGTGTCCACATGGGGCTAAGTTGTTTGACCTGGGTTTTGCACTTCATGATACACCTCCGCGCTGTTCGCACCGAATTCAGATGCCGTCAGGGACTCTTCGACTCTCCGTAAACCCTAAACCGTAAGCTCTGGAGTGTCCGAGTGTTGCCAACGTGACCAATGTGCATCCTGAGCGGATGCTTGCAAAAGCGAGTGTCTACACGGGGAAAGGCGATGCCAATGATGTGTGTTTCCAGTGGCTGCCTTTGGAATCTATGCGGGGAGGCTGGTGCGGTGGTTTGGGAGGGCCATGAAATCACACAGGACGCTATCGTTCACCGCAATATTTTAATCTACGACCGGGTGTCGTTAACCTCAAATCGAGGTGTGCATGGGGAATGGCTAGTTGTCGTGCACTGTGATGCCAATGATGTGTCTCTTGTGAGCGGGTGCTTCGGAAATCGAGCGTCTAGTTGGGGAGTGGCTGGTTTTGAAGTCCTGTGATTCTACTGCTGTTTGTTTTTGAGCTGGTGCCTCTGGAAACGAGCGTCTACATGGGGAACGGCTGGTTTTCCTCAAGTCTTCGTGCGCTATGATGCCAATGATATGTGTCTTGAGCGGGCGCTTGCTACATGTCAGAAAGCGCGTACACGTGGTGATTCGATTGGCAGACTTATCAGGGCTCCGGGACATAATTTCCAAAGAAAGCCGGTGCGTGGCACTCGTTGAAGTCTGCGCCAGGACTGTGCTAGGAAGCGCGTGGCCATGCGGAAAGCGGTGTGCAGCTGTGCTTGTGGTGTGTCTTCAACCGCAGTGGTATAATTTCACGCGTTCCCGCGTGACCATGCGGTGTCGCGACTTCATGCGCCCTGGGACGACATAAAGCCACCCCTTGTATGACAATTTGTAGAAGAAATCAAGCTCTGGGATTGATGGCCTCGGCTTGGGGGGTGCCTCAGCATTCGTCTTTTTTGGATAATTGCATGTGCATCCCAGACAGACACGTGAACACGTTCGGCATTTGAAGAGCCTGCAAGTCTACCAAGGAGGCGGCCTCTTTGCGTCAGGCAGCTACCAGCAGGAAGCCGGGAGTTCGGTGCACTTCGAGCACTGCTTGGCAGATAGTGCTTTGGCAGTCGAGTGTGTAGATGAGTCTTTTTGACGGTAGACATCGCATTCGGGTGTCCTCACCACGGACACTGTGTGGACTCATTCCGAGCGACACGGTCCTTGGTTTCTGAAAGGCTTGCAGGGGCGGCAGGTAGAGGCTGAAAACCTCTACACAGCTTGGGGCTGTCTGTGCTAGAAAAGCTGAAGGGGCCTGAACTCATTTATCATATTTTTTCGAATCTTAGCCTGAGCTGTCTCCCAGGTGACGGCGGTGGTGCACGCGTGAAGAACTTCGCACACGGCCCCAACAGCTCTGCCATCTTCCGCAGCTGCCGGGCGAGACAAGACGGAGCCTGGGCAGCAGCTTGCCAGTGGGAGCGTGCTGGAAGCCTTCCGACACCCAACCCTAAATCCTAAACCCTAAACCCTCTTGGGCGTGGCCGTACTCGTTGGAATTTGAGGCTAATCGGACAGGGGCAGCCCCTGCTATGAAAATTTGAATTTGTAGAAGCTTTCAAGGTCTGGGATTGATGGCCTCGCTCTTGGGGACTCCTCAGGGTTAAGTGGTTAGGGATATTGGAGCTGTGGCCGTGCCGGGGCGGCCCCCAGACAGTTAGATAGGATATATTGGAGACCTTAACCCTAAACACCTAACCCCTAACCCCTAAACCCTAAACCCCTAAACCCCTAAACGCTAAACCCCTAAACCCCTAAACGCTAAACCCCTAAACCCCTAAACCCTAAACCCCTAAACCCGTAAACCCTAAACCCCTGAACTCGTTTTCAGAGCTTCCTGGTGTTTTCAGGAGGTGGCCTCGATGCCGCGAGCTACCGGCAGGAAGCCGGGAGCTCGGTGCTCTTCGAGAACTGCTCGGCAGATACCCACCAGAGCACCTTGGCAGTTGAGGATGTGCTATAGTATACTATAATCTACTATAATCTACCATAGTATATGATAGTATACTTTCATATGTGGGTGCTTGTCAAAATTGGGGCTCTTTTTTGGGTACCCTAAATATTAGGTGCCGTATTATACCAGATACCCATACAAGGGACCATAATTTGACAACTGCCCATGTGTTAGTATGCCGTCCTGGTGTTGTGTTTGTGGCCTCAGTCCGAAACACATGCCTGGCTCCGTGTTGACACGAAGTTCGGGGCTGTTGCCGGTCTTCGATCGTTTCGGTGCCTTCTTTAAAAGGGTTTAGGGTTTAGGTTTTAGGGCTTGGGGTGTAGGGTTTAGGTTGTAGGGTTTAGGGTTTAGGGCTTAGGGTTTTTGGTGTCGGAAGGGCTTGCAGGAGCGGCTGGTATAGGCTGAGGACCTTAATGCGCTTTGGGTCGACCCTGCTAGAGACAACAGGCGCCCCTGACGGGACCGTAAAGCGGATTCTTCTGAGCATCTGAAGGCCCCTGAGTAAGCCTTGTCCCAGGTTGGGGCGGCGGTGGTGCCTTCGTGGAGAACTTCACACAGGGCCCCAACAGCTCTGCCATCTTCCGCAGCTGCAAGGCGGGATTGGATGGAGCCTGGGCAGCAGCATCCTTGCCCGGTGCCAGCCTTCCGACACCAACTCTCTTTATCATCGAATCATCGCCCTTGCTCGCGCCATACCAGCCTGAATCGGAGCGAGAGAGCCCCTGCCACGAACAACTTCAAGGTCTCAGGTTGAATTTGCTGCGGCTCACCTGGCCTCCCAGGCATATGCTCCACCGTGCTGTATACTAGTCCCGTTTTCAGAGCCTGCAAGTCTACCAAGGAGGCGGTCTCCATGCGGCAGGCGGCTACCAGCAGCTTACCGTTGGTTAGTAGGGAATGGAAGAATGGTAGTAATAGTAGTTACAATTATACCCCATTCCTCCATTACCTGCTCTTAGGGGTACTTAGAAATAACTTTAAATTTCTGGTTATTTTTATCCTGAAGAAACAGCTAAGGTTCTAAGCTTCAGTATAGTACTAACCAACGCTAAGGCAGGAAGCCGGGAGTTCGGTGCTCTTCGAGCACTGCTCGGCAGATCGCGTCTCGGCAGCCGGAAAGTTGAAGTCTAGGACCCAGAGTAGGCCCTGATTCCCTTTTTTTAGGGTTTAGGTTCCCTTATACCCCCCTTTAACCCAAAAAGGGTACCCTTTTTATTCCTAGGCTACTCTTGGGTCTAGAAGTGATGTCGCAGATCGGAGCACGGTGGCACGGTTGATGATATAAATCCTGCATTACTCCTCATAAGGAATGTACCATAATTCCCATAGTTTACGGGGTTCTTAGGGTAATGCAGGATTTATATCATCAACAGCAGTATTGCCACCAGAGACGAAACACGGCTTGTCTTAAAGGGTTGCTTGGAGGATTCTGGGACTTAGTAATTAAGTAAGGTTACAAGTACCTTATTGGGGTTATAAGTAGTTGGTTACACGCGCACCAGGCGCCACGATATATCGTGCATTCCACTAGGGGGGAGGGGGGAGGGGGGGGGGGGGGGGGGGAGGGGGGGGGGAGGGGGGGGGGGTTAAGAACGACCTCTGAGCATATCCATTGCCGCAGAGCATCCATGTGCCAACCATGATAACGTCCAGATCAGAGCATATCCCTTGCCGCAGAGCATCCATGTGCCAACCATGATAACGTCCAGAGCACAGCATATCCATTGCCGCAGAGCATCCATGTGCCAACCATGATAACGTCCAGATCAGAGCATATCCATTGCCGCAGAGCATCCATGTGCCAACCATGATAACGTCCAGATCAGAGCATATCCATTGCCGCAGAGCATCCATGTGCCAAAGCGAGTCAAGCCAATACAGTGCAGTCCTCAAAATCACAAACCCGGCCGCGCAGAAACATCGGGTTTTCTGCATTTTTTGTTCCGCACATCACCATAATTTGGACGCCATGTTAAGCCACGCAAAGAGCCGAATGTGCCGATCCTGCCATGCTTTTCGCACATTGATAGCAAGCAAACTGGGGCAAACGAGTCTTTCGGGTTCAGAGTGTCTAAGACAAGAGAAAACCAAACCCCAAAAACAGCATTTCCTGGTGTAAATTAGCTGATTTATCAATAAAAAAGAATAGTTGGGGGCTCCTGATAATAACTTGAATTTACACCAAAATCATACCAAAACCCAGGAAATAAGCACATTCAGACCCTGCAACGTCACAGGGCGCCTCACGCGCGTGTGACCTAGTAGAGTTACCTCAATTATAACCCTAGTTACTAAGTCCCATGATCCTTTGAGTAGACCCTAAACCCTAAACCCCATAGATCCCCTTAAGGAACCCTATAGACCCCTTTAAAGAGCCCTTTAGGAACCCTTACTAAGTCCCATGATCCTTTAAGTAGACCCTAAACCCTAAACCCCATAGATCCCCTTAAGGAACCCTATAGATCCCTTTAAAGAGCCCTTAATTATGACCCTAGTTACTAAGTCCCATGATCCTTTAAGTAGCAGACCGGGCCAGGGCTCAGGATCCTTGGTTGCAGCATTTACGGTGCCATCATGCGAAGATGCACAAAAAGATTCTGCCGAAGAATAGGGCTGCTTTTAAGGGATCTATAGGGGTTTAGGGTTCCTTTATAAAGGGATCATTACCTTGGGTTAATAGGGAATGGAGGAATGGGGTATAAGTATAACTACTATTACTACCATTTTTCCATTCCCTACCAACGGTAAGAAGAGTGGCGCAGTGTAGGTAGCTCGGGCAATGAATTCAGGTCAGCTGCACTCAGGGAAGCCTCCCCCCCACCCCACGACGTTGTACCTCCCACGCTCCGTGATGCTGACTGTCTGGTGCTTTGTACGGCATGGGGGAATGGATCCTTATAGTAGTTCCTATACTGCGCCAGGACGAAAGTTCGTCGCATCCGGTAGGTCTGCTAACACATACTTGCAAACCCCTTTCCCCCGTAGACTCCTTCACGAAGTCGCGATGTCAGGCAAGGACGTCACTAATTCCTCCGTCGGAACAAAAAAACAGTGTATGTTCATTTTGGCATGGAAAGTCCTCCGCTAGCCAGGCCACGTAAAATGCACTTCTTCGTACTCCGAGTCCTCCGCCAAGCAAAGACATCTTAGTGCGACAAAACTTTCATCCTGCTGATGCTCACCCGCGACTAAAAACGAGTAGGCACCCGTCCAAAAAGCTTCCTCCGTGTGTCACTTTGCAGGTTTCACACATGCTGGCCTGGCCGAACTGGCGGTCTTGGAATTCATGCTGCTCACCCGCGACTGAAAACGATTAGGCACCCGTCCAAAAAACCTCCTCCGTCTATCGCTTTGCGGGCTTCACACATGCTGGTCTGGCCGAACTAGCGGTCTTGGTATTCATGCTGCTCACCTGCGACTAAAAACGAGTAGGCACCCGTCCAAAAAGCCTCCTCCGTGTGTCGCTTTGCGGGTTTCACACATGCTGGCCTGGCCGAACTAGCGGTCTTGGTATTCATGCTGCTCACCCGCGACTGAAAACGAGTAGGCACCCGTCCAAAAACCTTCTCCGTGTGTCGCTTTGCGGGCTTCACGCATGCTGTTCTGGCCGAACTAGCGGTCTTGGAATTCATGCTGTATAACCCCCAACAGTAGTCCCGCTAACCCATTCCCCCATTCCACTAAGCACCAGACAGCTGAGGGGACGGAGGCGGTGTTATCGCCGAAAGAGTGGAGGGCAAGGGCTCCTCCATGCACTTCAAGGCATGCCGGGCAAATGGAGGCCAGGAACTTGAGCTCCCTTCCTATCCTGGGCTAAATATAGGGGCCTCAATAATTACCTACACTGTTTTTGGGGTTCCTTATTGTGATTATTGTTTGAAAAACCCCAAAGCCCCCTAGTCTAATATTAAGGCCCCTACATTATGTCTAGGCTCCTTTGGAATGCCGTTGGGCCAATCAAAGTGGTGGGCTAGACCATACTGCGGTAGCTGCTAATCGCAGGAGGACTTTGTATCACGGAGCTCCGTAGCACTGGCCGTGGAGAACTACAAATACAACTACGTAGCCAGCTCTGTCTATATATATATATATGTACATATACATATACATATATATATATATATATATGTATATAGCAAACCCGTAATCCTGAAGCCTACATGTATGATTGCAATGATTGATTGTACCGTATGCCAGAAACGGATCCCGGAACCATTCAGAACCACTCCGTCACCGGGCCTTCAAATCCAGAATCTGGCAGCCAACAAGTAGGTTTTGAGTATTGCTACTATCATGCCTACCGTGGCTCATCATTACTGTTAGAAGCATTGTCCGCATAGGCCTCAAGGCCACTAAGAAGACTATCAGTATGATTGTTTTATGACTAGTACGGTTGATGATGTAAATCCTGCATTACCCATAATAAGGAATATACCGTAATTCCCATCGTTTAGGGTCCTTAAGGTAATGCAGGATCTATATCATTAACAGTAGGAGTACCATGAGGTATTATTGTCCTCATGACTTCTTGGACAACCCTAAACCCTGAGCCCTAACCCTAAACCCTTAACCCTAAACTCTTGACCCCAAACCCTTAACCCTAAACCATTAACCCTAGACCCTAAACCCTAGACCCTAAACCCTAGACCCTAAACCCTAAACCCTTAACCTTAAACCCCTAAACCCTAGACCCTTAACCCTAGACCCTAAACCCTCAACCCTAGACCCTAGACCCTAAACCCTAAACCCTCAATCCTGAACCTTCAATCCTAAACCCTTAACCCTAAACCCCCAATCCTAAACCCTCAATCCTAAACCCTTAACCCTTTACCCTCAATCCTAAACCCTCAATCCTAAACCCTTAACCCTAAACCCTAAACCCTCAATCCTAAACCGTGGGCGCAGGTGGCGGCCTGAGGGTCACCCAAGGTGGCACAGTGCACCACGGCGGTTCGCTGAAGTTCGAGGCCGGGTGCCCAGAGACTCCAATATCCCCTTAATTAAGGAATATAGCCTCTTAGGGGTCTTTAAGGGATCCTGTAAGGGATCTATAGGGCTTAGGGTAGGGTATAGGGTTTAGGGGACTCCAATATCCCTTCAGTTAGGAAAATTCCTTAAATCATATTAGGGATCCTATTATAGTTTAAGGTATATTCCTTAATTAAGGGGTATTGGAGTCTCTGGGTGGTTAGGTGCTCGCCACTTTGTAGTCTTTTGGGGTTTCTTGTTTCGGGGTTAGGGCCTAGGGTTTCGGGAGAGGCTTCTTTCAGGATTCCAGTTTTAGGTCACGGCGTCGTATGTCTTGTCAGAGTCAGAAGCAAACCGTGACGCTGGTAGTCAAAAGACGGATCTTACCCCAAATCCTTCGAGTCATTGCACCAAGCCTGAGAGCAAAAAACACCATCAGCGGCATGAGTGTGAGAAACGGAGCTTTTGAAGGATCCTAAGCCCTAAACCCTAAACCTTTTGAAGGCATGCCATGCCAACAGCATCGGCGGCGGGCTCTACTTGAAAGAAGGCCAAGGACGGCAGGGGTGGGTGGTGGTTGGCCAGCCTTGAAAGCTATATGGGTGGTTGTAAAGTCAGGGGAAACTCTGATGGAGGCTCGTAGCGGTACTGACGTGCAAATCGTTCGTCATACGTGGGTATAGGGGCGAAAGACTAATCGAACCATCTAGTAGCTGGTTCCCTCCGAAGTTTCCCTCAGGATAGCTAGAGTTGAACAGTTTTATCAGGTAAAGCGAATGATTAGAGGAATCGGGGACGCGTTGTCTTCGACCTATTCTCAAACTTTAAATGGGTAAGATCCACAGTGGTTACTTGATTGAACTTCTGGGATAAATGAAAACTTTAAGTGGGCCGTTTTTGGTAAGCAGAACTGGCGATGAGGGATGAACCTAACGTCGGGCTAAGGTGCTTAATTGCACGCTCATCAGTTCATTTTGACAGCAGGACGGTGGTCATGGAAGTCGAAATCCGCTAAGGAGTGTGTAACAACTCACCTGCCGAATGGACTAGCCCCGAAAATGGATGGCGCTCAAGCCAAGATTATCGTCCCCTTTTGGGTACCCTAAATATTAGGTGCCGTATTATAATAAGGACCCAAAAAGGGATCCCAATTTTGACAACCACCCATATGGGAGCTTCCGAAAATAGGGGACCCTAAAGAAAGGGACCCTAAATAGTGGGATCCTTCGTATAAGGACCCCAACATGAGATACCCCTAATTTCGGAATCTCCCATATCTTCGCTGTCACACTGTACCATTTTCCTTTCCTCAGGAGACTCGGGGGCTTGTGCGCACCTCCTCTCAGGATTGCTACCCGCAAAACACAAGTACCCCGCCATCATCATAATAGCTGCTTTAAACGTGCTTCGCGGCAACATCCCATGATCTGTCCAACAGGCCACTGCCTCTGAGTCTGTTTGACACTCAACACCCTGGAAACTTTATCCGCTGTTGCTCACGCTGGGAGCAGTTGGGCGGCCGGATCTGTGCCCCCACCCTGAACCCCATACAACCAAAGGCGCCTCGACGAACGAAGCCCGAGAGCTAACCCCGTGGCGTGTCCCCAAGTGGCCAAAGCGAATCTTCAAAACCATCGGGTAGTAGTGGGAGTTGGGATTGAAGGGCTCTTCAAAGGCCTCGACAAGGGGTCGCCATCGAGATTTGGGGTTTAGGATTCAGTGCAGTATGAAAGCCTGATTAATCACCAAAAAGTTTTTTTTGGGTTCCTTATGATGCTGTTTATACTCAACAATTCCACCCTCACGCCTTTCTGCAGTACTATAGCCAAGGCCTACTCTATTAAACTCACAGTCTCAAAAGGGTTGGGAAATCGGTGCGGCAGTCCGAGACGCTGCTGAAAGGGTTTATAGGGTGGAGGGTTTAGAGTGAAATCAAGGTGGAAAGTGTCACAATACTGTAGGAGGCAGAGAAGTCAAACGAAAGAGCAGCGTCAAAACCCCTTCCTGCTGGGATGCCGAAACAGTATGCATGGCGACTGAAGCCATCTCACTCAACATGATCTTTCAGGACAATTTGCAAAGCTGCTTCTTGATGCCTGCGATGCTGACGTGGCTGCAGCCGCCTTCGCTGCAATTGCAGCAGATGACACAGAAGCAGAAGTGCAAATCGAGGACTGGGATTCGCTGGCGACAGCTCCGTGTGTTCAAAATTTAGGCGGCATGGGCAGAGATTGTTGAAGTCCCAGGCTGGCAACGGAGAAACCCAACACCGCAGATGGGACAGACTCACTTTGGATGGACGGTCCCTGCTGTACAGCACCTCTAGTGGCGTGTGAGACCTTATGCCTTCCCCAAACCCTAAACCCTAAAGCCTAAACCCCAAACCCTAAACCCTAAAGCCTAAACCCCATTCCCCAAAGCCTAAACCCTCAACCCCAACCCCACCCCTGCGAGTTGGCTTCAGGAGCTCTCATTGTTGAGGGCGAGCAAAGGCGATGTCAACGACTTCGCAGTTTCAGGACGGAGCAGCTTTCACGATAAGGCTTAGGGTTTGGGGTTCCTTTAAGGGATCTATAAGGGGTTTAGGGTTTAGGGTTCCTTTACGGGATCTATAAGGGGTTAAGGGCTTAGGGTTTAGGGTTCCTTTAAGGGATATATCAGGGGTTTAGGGCTTGGGGTTTAGGGTTCCTTTAAGGGGTCTATAAGGGTACTTGTGTGGTCTAGCGTCGTGGCTGTCGCTGGGCATCCTGTGGTTTGCATGCGTTTTTGTCTGCTTGGAGGGTCATGGGTAGTTATAAGTGGGATTATAAGTCCCCTAATATAGGTTATAAGCATAGTTATCCTTGTTATAACCCTACTTATAACTACCCATGAACCTCCAAGTGGCCTCTTTTTGGGAGTGGAGCTAGGGCCAGGGTGCGACCCAGATACTTTTAGACACTCAGTTGGAAATCGGGAAGCAGGCAGGAAGGTTGGCTACCCAGCGGCCCATCCACTCCTGTTGCCGGTGTGCTCGCAACTGTCGCAACGATCTGAGCTGCGCTCGCATGAGCAGTTTCGTGATGCTGTGGGTGAGTGCTCTGGGAGCTTGCTAGCCGCTACTTAAGGCAGCAAACCTGCACCTCACCCCAAAAGGAGCAAAAAGGGGCAAACGCCCCTGAAGCGGGATTTGCATATCGTTATTTGTTTGTGTTTTCAACTACTCGGATTTCTGTTGTGTTTCGTGTGGTTTGTTGCTACCGCAGCCATCTTCCTTTCTTGGCCACATGCTCGGTCGTGCTTTTTCATAGCGAAGGCAGCGGTGTCTCGGATATCATGACCATGCTCAAGCATGTAAGGACTCTCTCTTTCTCTCTTTGTTTCGAAGCCCCCTTGAAAGGTCGAGTTCTGTTATGTTCTGTTGCTCGTGAAGTCTGCTGAGGTATGCGTGCTCTCGAGCCTTGTTCTTTCGAAGCCTATGCTCCCAGACTTTGTGTGCTGGACTCCTGGACCCTGAATCCTAAACTCGACCGAGTTTCTTCAGTGCCAGAAGCCAGAGGACTTTCTCCAGAGAGCCCGATATCCCTTAACTAAGGAATATAGCCTAAATCATAGTAAGAAGCCATGTTTAATTTCAGCCATATTCCTTCATTCAGGGGTATTGGGCTCTCTGGGTCGTTCGAGGATCAGGTTCACGAGTTGCCAGCATCTTGCCGTGTCAGGCCTTTTGAGGATCGGCTCCGCTCACCTGACGACGGAGAGCTCCGGCATCTCCGTCTCAGCACGTAACCTTTCTCTCGAAGCTCGGAGGCATCCTGAGGTCAGGGTCAGGCCAGGGCGACCCTTAAAACTCTTCACTCGTCTTGCTGCGAGGAAGACGTGATGAATTGTACGAGTACCTCCAGTTGCAACTGGACTGCATTGCGAGCTTTGACTGCGAATTTCAACTCCACGTTGAGCAGACGAAGCTTTCATCCAGGCACATTCTACGCGAACGCCTCCCGATTTGCTGGATTCCTTTGCCCTTTGGGCACGGGGTCGGTGGATTTCCAGGCGTTGCATGATTTCGGCTGCCTGGTATCTCTGGCCTGCATTAGCACAAACTGCCGGGCCCAGTGTTCCGCAGTGTTCCGAGCCCCATGCAGCTACCGTTTCGTAGGTGTGCCGGACTTGCTTGTAACCCCTAAACCCTGCAGCAAACCCTTCCGGGATAGCTTGTGATTTTGTCAGTGCAGACTTGACAATCCAATTTTGCCTTGCCTGTTGCAAGGGATCGCTAGTGTCGTGCACATGGAAGAGGATCATGCCGGGAGATGCTCCACATAGAACCCTAAACCGTACCAGGAACTTCCTCTAGATGCCAAGACCCAAGACCGCCTAAGACCTGCCTGCCAGGCATGCAGGCCAGGGGACACACAGGTTCTGAACGTGACGAGCAGGCCTGCCGCGCTTTGCTGTTCAATCTTTTATGCTCCAGCTCTCATATCCCTGAAAGCCCTATGGCTGCGCCGCATTTCGTAGCCCAGAATGACAGCCGCCGATGTAAAGTCCATGTCCAAAGTAATGTGGTCTCTGCAGCCGACAGCGCTAGTTTGTTTCGTAGAAGCCTCTCTTCAGATCGACTTCTTGTTTAGGGGTTGATGTTGCTTCAGATTGTTATTACGAATAGCAATATAATTGTTAGTATGACTAATATTACTATTATGATTATTATTAATATGACTATTATGATTATTACTAGTACTATTACTAACTATAACTATGACTATGACTATTACTGTTACTATTACTATTACTATGACTATTACTAGTACGAGTACTATTACTACTATTGTCAATATTGTTATAAGCTACTATTTTGATTGTTATTCTGCAGAAATCGCATCAGATATCCGTCGACTCATGGACTCCACGGGAGGCCCTGCAGCCAGTGCCCCGAGGGAGCCTTCAAGTGCCTGGCCAGCGAGCTGAAGATGGAGCGCTCCGCCCCAAAAATGGGAGTTTCCGAAGGCTTTTGGGTTTAGGGGTTTAGGGTTTAGGGTTTAGGGGTTTAGGGTTTAGGGTTTAGGGTTTAGGGTTTAGGGGTTTAGGGTTTAGGGTTTAGGGTTTAGGGTTTAGGGTTTAGGGTTTAGGGGTTTAGGGTTTAGGGTTTAGGGGTTTAGGGTTTAGGGGGACCTTGATAATAAGGCACCCCTAGTTTTTGGAAACTCCCAGATCACCAACTCCGGGCTTTTTGCTTTGGGTTTGGGGTGTGTTCCCAGACCCCGGGAGGATCCAAAAAGTAGATCCCTTAATGGGGGTTCCTATAAAGTACCCTTAGTAGTTAGGGCCCCAAATGAGGGATCTACTTTCTACATCCTCCCGGGGGTCTAGGTTGTACTGGGATCGCAACTACAATACAAACGAAGATAGCCCAAGATCATGTTCCAAATGGGAAGGCACCTACGTGGTAGGAACCCAGAGAGTCCAATACCCCTTAACTAATGAATATAGCCTTAAATCATAATATGAAGCCCTATATAATTTAGGCCATGTTCCTTAATTAAGGGGTATTGGAGTCCCCCAAACCCTAAACCCTATACCCTAAACCTTATAGATCCCTTTAAAGAACCCTTTGGGCTCTCTGAAAAGCTCGAGCCCTAACTCACCGCACCCGGGCAGATCGGTGGTCTTGAGGGCGAAACCCTCCCAGGGGATGTCAATGTCCGAACCACAAAGAGACTACCTTGGGCTTGCCTCGAAATGAAGGACCACTGCGACTACGGAATGGCAAGCCTGTATAGCCGTGTACCACAAGTAGAACAAGTAAACGGCTTTTCAGAAAGTTTCAGAGATTCGGGTTGACGCCCCTCTTGGTTTTGAGGGCTTAGGTTTCAGGCTGCGTGGAACGGCGACTGTGACGATGAGCCGGTGACAACGTGGAAGATCCAACACTTCAAAGAGACATCCTAAAAAAGTCCCCGAAACCCTAAACCTTACTCCAAAATTAGGGGTATCCTATTTTGGGGTCCTTATAATAAGGATCCCATTATTTAGAGTACCATATTAGGGTCCCCTATTTTTGGAAACTCCCAAATGCCGAAGAACGATGTCCTCGACTCTCGAGTAAGGTACCTTTTCGTCCGTGCTGTAGTCAGCCGAATATTGACGAACGTGAGGTAAATGACGCTTCTCGCTGTAATCTTTCCTTTGACAGCGAACAAGGCTTTCCTCTCTGTGGTTCATGCCAGGACGAACATAAGATCCCGCGACCGAGAACAGGTCAGTTTCGTGGGCAGCCCTGAAAGAAAACTCATTAGCACATCTCGTTGTCCGACCAGTCTTTCAAAAGCAGGCAGCAGCATTTTCCGAGCATTCAAAAACCATTTTTTCTGAACAGTCTTTCAAAGCAGGCACAGAACGAGGAGGCAAGCGAGCCATAGCCAGCAGCAGCGAGCCATAGCCATCGGTCGTAAGCAGCAGCAAGCAGTAGCGCGCAGCGGCATGCAGCATAGCATAGCAGCAGCATAGGAGCAAGCAGCAGCAACCCTAAAGCCTAAGCCCTAAAGCCTAGACCCGTTTTCCGAGCAGATTTTCAACCGCAGGTAGCAGAAAGCAGAGTCAGGATGACCAAACTTACCTTTGGCTAGTAGGGAATGGAGGAATGGGGTAGAATTATAATTACTATTACTACCATTCTTCCATTCCGTTCTAACCAAAGGTAAGCAAAGAGAAAAGAACCTGAACTTTCTGCCAAAGCTTCGGACCCAAACCCTGTGGCAACTTCTGTGAAGCCCAGCCCGAACACCCTGAACCCTCAAAAAAAGGAAGTGAAGCCTAAACCCCTAGACCCTACACCGTACACCCTGAATCTGAAGCCTAAACCCCTAAACCCTACACCGTACACCCTGAACCCTAAATCCGAAGCCCTGGATCTGAAACCGAAACCCCTAAACCCCTAAACTTAGGGTTTAGGGTTTAGGGTTTAGGGTTTAGGGTTTAGGGTTTAGGGTTTAGGGCCTACACCCTAATCTGATTGAGGCCTGGGCTCATGGTAGAGTTGCCCGACGTAAACCGCAGCTTCCACTGTCCTAACGAGGCTGGGAAGATAAGGATTCTGGGCTTTCGGGCAGGGGGTTTAGGGTTAGTATGGGGTGGGAGAGGGTTCCCTTTAAGACTTCTATACGGGATCTACAAGAGTTCTTTCAGGGTTGAGGGTAAGAGGTTCCTTTCAGAGATCTACAAGGGTTCCGAAAGGGCTTGGGGCCTTGAGAGGAAGTCCAAAGCCATAAATTCAGAAGCCACACTCAGAAACCTCAAGACTGTCCTTTTGGTGCTTCGACCTTCGGCCACGAGAGTGGTCGGATTGGGCACGCTGACACACCATCAACCCGAGCGCTAAGCACCTATGCACCCACACACCGCACTCTATAGCGCTGAACCCAATATAAGGGCCTGAATGATTAGAAGAGGGTTTGAGGGGTATTATACCATCATGGTTACAAGAATCACGAAAATAGTTTAGCTGATTATTATGGCCACTACAGTAGTTTTACTCGCAAGGAGTCAAGAAAATTGTCCTTGCAGGCTGCTTGTCCTGGGGGCGACGTATCCCAGGGAAGCGTGCGCAAGGCAATGTGCCAAGACGGCTGCCTGAGCTGCAAGGGGTTCATGGTCGGCTTTAGGTTTAAGTTCCAGGTGCTTTCATCTGTCTGGTGCTTAGTAGGGAATGGGGGAATGGATCCCTATAGTGGTCCCTATATGGTCCCCGATAATAGTCCTCGTAACTCATTCCCCCATTCCCTACTAAGCACCAGGGAGTCATTCGGTGCTACGCTCTGTTGTTCTTCGAACACAAGCGTTCTGTCAGTTTGCTTTGCCCTTTTCAGCTTTCAACTTGAATCTGAACGGGTGGTGGGCACGAAGTACTTGAAGGATCATGGGACTTAATAACTAGGGTTAAGAAGGGTAACTCTACTTATAACCACTTATAACCCCAATTGAGGTACTTATAACCGTACTTACTAAGTCCCATGATCCTCCAAGTAGAGCGGCCGACACATAATTGCACATCCACTAGTTGAAGTTCGGCTGGTTCCCACGCCGGCTTGCTTCCGCAGTGTTTTGGCTTTTGGACTTGGTGTCGTGTTTACGGTGTTTTCGCCTCGTGGTGTCGGTTTTGCTGGAGTCGGCAACTTACGACATGTGTGAAAAATAGAGAAAGTCTTCAACTCAAGATCGCAAGGCTACCGGGGCCAAGGCTGCACGAGCTGCAGAGATGAGTATGCCATTGCGGACAGCAGCGTGTTCTCGTGCTCCTTGCCCCACCTGAGCTTTCAAGCGGTTTAGGGTTTAGGGTTTAGGTTCAACATCTGAGCCTTGCAGACCTTACGAACCTTTAGTTGCCACATGTGCCCATCGAAGACAAGATAAGAATGAAGGAAGCAGATCGACAATGAATTCCTTTAGGCTTTAGGGTTTCGGATTAAGGGCAGGGCCTGGCAGCCTAACTTTGTCCAGCTTTGCGCGATGTGTCATACGCAGCAGCTGTCACATGCACTTTAGCCCCTCAGGCTCACCGCGGGTGCCTCCTAAGTGACAGTTCTCGCAATTGCAGCTCCAGCTTAATCCTGAAAGGCCTCATCAACATGCTGTTCCTAGTCACTGCAACATGCTGCTGAGGCACTGCCTGCAGCAAAGACCGTCGTGTGCAGGCAGATCGGTCTAAATAGGACTGCTGAACACTGGGGCCTAAATACTAAGTACCTATACTATTTTGGAGGTTCCTTATTAGACTTATAGTATAATGGGCCCCAAAACCCTATTCTAATTATCAAGGCCCCTATACTAACGCGGGAAGGCACTGCGCTTTGGCCTTCCAGGTCGTCTCGGGCCATCACATAGATAGAGGTGTTGGTCCCACATTTTCTCCATGTGTCGAGTCCGAAAGTGGCCCAGGGCAACTTTCGATGGAGATCGAACCCTTGGCACCTGCCAAACCCAAACCCCAAGCCGACGGTTGAGCTTCTCAAAGCCTGTCCAACACTACGGTTGATGCTAAAAATCCTGCATTGTCCACAATACGGAATATACCATTAAATTCCCGAAGTTTAGGGTCCTTAAGGTAAAGCAGGATGTATATCATCAACAGTAGGCCGCGGTGCTACTGCAATGTGCATGTAGTCCTCCCGACCTTTGCATGGAGCATTCGGGGAACTCTTCTTCAATGCAAACGCTGTTTTTTTTTCGGAAGACCGGTAGAATTATCGTTGCTTAGCGTGTTACAGACTCCAATATCTCAGGATATTCAGGGATGCTGGACGCCACAAGATGCTAGAAAACCCTTGGTTGTTAATCCTTGCAAACCAGGGGGATGCCCTAAACCCTAAACCCTAAAGCGTAATCCTTACAAACCAAGGGGATGTTGGAGTCTCTCTGGGTGACATCACCGAAGCTCTTAACCCCAAGTAGATCAACTTCGGAGCCACCGCAGGCGGTGCAGTGGATCTTTAATCAAAGGGGGAAAAGGAGGGACCCTTAATGGGGACCCCTACCCTATAATGGCTATATAATGGGTATATAATAGCTGTATTAAGGGTATATACCTGGGGGTCCCTATTAAGGGTCCCTCCTTTTCCCCTCTGATTTAACATAAGTTACAATGATAAGGAAACCATGTTATTTGCTATAGGTCCCTATTATGGTAATTCGAATTAAATTCCTCAACCCCTAAACCCTTATGGAACAAGAACCCTTATAGGTCCCCACAATGGTAATTTGAATTAAACTCGTTAACAAGAACCCAGCTTCAGTGGAGGCGGTGCAGTGGATCACGTTCCTGTCTCAGCGCGCCTTCCTCTTCGCCCTCGGGGCTCTCAGCGCCCTTGGAGCCAAGAATGACGCTTGACCCAAACCCTAAAGCTCTCTGGCCTACTCTAGGGGCCGTAATAATTACCTTTACCATTTTAGGGTTCTTGATTATATTTATAGTATGTTGGGCCCCAAAACCCTTTTCTAATTATTAAGGTCCCTATTGTAAAGCCATCTGATTCTAAAGCCCTAAAACCCTTGTAGCCCTAAGCCACGTCTCAGGCTCTCGAGCCCCGGAGCCCCCCAAGCTGAAAAAATCGTAACCCTAGGGATCAAAATAGCCCAAAAGCCTTATGGGCCCAAAAGCCTTGATACATGAGTCCTTAGATCCCTAGGCCCTAAACCCTACACCCCAATCCCTAAACCCTAAACCCTAACCCCTAAACCCTAAACCGTCAGCGCCCTAGGGCAGTGCTCGGCTCTTAAGTTTAGATCCCTGGGGTAGGATTTTGGGAAACCCTAAACCCTAAACCCTAAACCTTAAACCCTAAAACCCTAAACCTTAAACCCTAAACCCTAAAGCCCTAAAGTCAACCTTGCCTCGGCCCAAGCCTCAGGCTGGGGACGTGAAGCAAAGCAGCATCTACCTGAACCTTTGCTGCTTTTAGGATTTGGGTTTAGGGTTTAGGGGGTTGGGGTTTAGGGTTTAGGGCATCTACCTGAACCTTTGCTGCTCTTAGGGATTATGTTTTGGGCGTAGGGTGGCTTTAGGATTTTAGGGTTTAGCGTTTAGGGGTTTAGGGTTTAGGGTTTACTTTGCTGAAAATATAACGTAAAGGGATGCATAGGAAAATTAGTTGCATTCTCGTTGTAATTGTAAGGGCGGCTAAGGAACCAGCTGATGGCCTTTGCCACGATCTCCAACACGATGCTCGCTGGCATATATCGCTGGCTTGATGGGTTTCGGTTTCAGATTGTCCGGAATTCTTGGGAGAGTGCCGAGGATACTGGCTGCCGTCTTGCAGACCAAGACGGCGAAGGACATCAAAAACGAAGCCGCCGCGCCACCGCATCAGGGTTTCAGGATTCAGGGTCCTTAGGGAGTAGGGTTAGGATTTTCGTGTTTATGATTCAGGATTTACGATTGTCGAGGGCTTAGGGTTCAGGATTTATTATTGTCCACGGTTTCGGGTTTATATAGTGCCTCGAGTTTAGGGTTCGGAGTGCAAACCCTAAACCCCAAATCCTAGACCCTCAAGCCTATCCCCTAACAGACCCGAAAGACTTTAAACCCTACAAACTAAACCCTAAGACACCGCGCCACAGCCTTGGAGACACTTGGGAGTTTCCGAACATTTTTGGACCCTAGTATGGTACCTTAAATAGTGCGATCCTTATTATATATACGGACCCCAAAATAAGGAACCCTGATTCTCGGAAACTCGAAACCCCTATAGAGCCCCTTTAAAGGAACCCTTATAATAGATTGTAGTAGCCCTTGAATCGAACCCATAGGTTCCCCTAATTTTTGGGAACTCTAAACCCTTATGGAGCCCTTATACTAACCCTTTAACGGAACCCTTATAGGTACCCCTCATCTTCAGAAACTCCCAACCATAATCCCCATTATAGAACCCTTATAGATCCTTTATAAATCGCTTTAAGGACCCCTGTAAGGGAACCTTATACCCTAAACCCATATACCGCTAATTTTTGGAAACTCCCACTTCGCCGGAGCTGAGAAACCAGGCGAACTTCTTCTTCAGCGCTGCTGCGCACACGGCAGAGGCTGCCTCCGGACAAGGACACTTGGAGGTTCATGGGTAGTCAGAAGGGTTCCTTTAAGGGTTCCTTGAAAGGGATCTATAGGGATTCTGTAAGGGTTTAGGGTTTGCGGTCTACTTGGGGATTATGGGTAGTGATAAGTAGGGTTATAAGTAGAATAGATATGGGAATAACCTATACTAGGGGACTTGTAACCCCACTTAAAATTGCACACCCAGGAACCTCCAAGCATGCCCCCCCTGAACCTCAAAGCCCTAAGCCCTAAACTCTGGGCTTTTCTGTGCCAGTGTAGGCCGAAATCTGGCCGGACCTTCTGCAGAAAAGGCCCCACTACACTTTAAACAAAAATAAAACTCTGGGCTCTGGGGCCCTGTCCGAACTGTGCTCCCTGTAGGGTTTTGGGGTTTAGAGCTTAGGGTTATATCCGAAACCCTGAACCCGAACTGAAGGTCAGGTCTTAGTGCTGAGACCCAAACCTGAAACCCTAAACTAAGACATCCTACACCCGAAACCCCTTAAACCCTAAACCTTAAACTAAACCCTAAGAATTTCAGAGAAACCTAAACCCTCCTTAGACCCCAAGAGAACCCTAAACCCTAAACCCAGACCCAGACCCATGCCAGTCGGTCCAGGGTCGGTCAGTTTGTAGGAGAGACCTTAGAAGCTGCCCCCACCCTGTAATAGTGGTATAATAGGAATATAATAGGGCCCTAATATAATCCTGTATAATCCTTATGGTCACTATTACAGGGTGGGGGCCCCTTCTAAGAGAGACCCCGCAGCTCCTCTGAGAGCTGAGGGTTTGGGGTGGTCTGTTGAGGGTTCAGGTGCTTAGGGTTGCGGGTTCAGGGTTGAGGGTTGAGGGTTCAGGGTTAGGGTTTAGGGTTGGAGTGACGCAGGATCTTTGCGCAGCGCCTCCTCGCAGTGTCTCTTGTCCTACGTCGGCTACGAGAAAACCCTGTGGCTTGCTTCTAAGAGCCTAAATAGTTCCTTTAAGGGATGTGTAGTGTAGGGTCTAGAACAGCTTGGTAGTCTAGAAGTCCAAGTACTCACTAGTTTGTTCCTGATTATAGCTATAGAACAAGATACTTACCAAGACCTCATTCCTCGCAGATATTTCAAAAGCCTCAGTCTAGGTATCTCGGCTCCTATATTAGCTGGACTCAAGATTCCTGTTCGACCAGAGCCCACCCCCTTAACCCTAAACCCTGAGCCCAAACCCTAAAGCCCGAACCCCTAAACCCAGAAAGAAGCCATTGCACTTTTGTTTAAAAAAAGAAGCCCTAAACCCCTTAAGCCTTACTGTGGTTGTTGTGCGGACTTGGGTACGGCCCCCACTCAGTAACAGTTGGATAATACTCATAATGTAGATATATAAGGCCCTTAATACTAGCCCTATTATAGACTGTTACTGAATGGGGGCCGTACCCAAGTGCGGACGTTGGCTCAGGTGGGGCACTCACCTGCTGGATGTTGTCACTTGGTCGCCCAGCTCTGCACGGGACACCCAGCCCGGCAGTCGGGGGGCCTTCTGATACTGTTGATGATATAAATCATGCACTACCTTAAGGACCATAGACTATGGGAATTATGGTAAATTCCTTATTATGGATAATGCAGGATTTATATCATCAACCGTAGGATACTGTTGATGTAAGGACCCGAAACTATGGAATTATGGTATACTACTTATTGTGGGTAATGTAGGGTTTATATCATCAACCGTAGTTCTCAAACTAAGGGTTCTTTTCGGGGTCCTTTAGCATACCGCCTTCTTTTGGGTTGCTGAAGAAGGACCTTAATTTATAGAACTACCCACAAGCATCCTCAAGGATCCTGCTATATCTAATACTCTGGTTGCTCCATGGGGTCCTCTTGCGCAGGATCCTACTGTCCCTTGAATTAGGATCCTACTATGACTGGGTTCGTTGGGCTTGTGAATGTGCGCGGTCCCGGAGTCTTCAAGCGGCTTTTGAGAGTACTGAGTAGTGTGCCGGGCCTTCCAACACTGTGTTGAAGTTGATGCACTCTGTAGGAGCATTGCTTGGAGCCTGAAGGCACAAATCTCCGTCAACCCTGAAGGTTGTGGCAGCCGGGCTCATTTCATTGCTGTCCTTGATGAAGGACTTTCGTGCTGCGCTCATCGCAGGCCATGGCGTCTGAGTAGCTAGAAAGACTCTAGACGCACACATGGGTGGTTGTCAAAATTGGGGTCCCTTTCTGGGTCCTTATTGTAATTCGGCACCTTATGTTTAGGGTACCCAAAAAGGGCCCGTAATTTTGACAACCACCCACATCCTTCCTGCATTGCATTGCCGCATCACAAGGTCCTAATTCAACCATGCGTATAGTCTAGGAGTCTAGGAACGTCCCGGTTTAGGGTTCGTGGTTTAGGGTTCCTGGTTTAGGGTTCCTAAATGCTACACCCTAAACCGCTTAGCCCGTTCAGGGTCAAGTGCAAACTACGACAGCTCTCAGCAGCTTTGTGCGTGTGCACTGGTGTGTTTGCGCACAGCTGAACAAATGCGGAGACAGATGTGTATATGTATGGTCCAGGTCTAGGTAGCATGTGCATACATACCTACGTACATATCCATACATGCATACATACATGCAGACAAAAAGATATTCATCCTTGCAGCGAGCCACCCATTCAGCCAGCCGTTCATCTATTCATCCATTCATGATGAAATCCTTTCATCCATTCATGGATTCGTCCATTTATCCGCCCATCTACTCATTCATTCATCCATTCATCCATTCATCCATCCATCCTGCCATCCATTCGGCTACCCGTCCCAGTGTCCCATCCATGCATGAATGCATGCATGCATGTACTCGGATACTGATGTGCGTATTTACAATTCAGTGACAATTGTATACATGATATCTGTTTGCTCTCTTTATGCCTGTATACCTTTTCTATACTTGCTTGTTTTTGTTTTTATATCATAGCTGAACATGTTCGAAGATAGTTGTATAGATCTGCTTGTATGTCTTTGCATATGTTTGTATATAGTTGTTGCACGTACATGCTTACTTACTTACTTGCTTACTTTACTTGACTAACTTGCTTTCTTAATTTCTCACCTTCTATCCCACATTGCAAACAACCTACTTACTTGCTTGCGTACTTGCTTGCTTACTCAAGTAACTACATACCTACATATATATATATATATATATATATATGTATATACGTATAGACATGCATGAGTATGCACACGCATATGTACATATGTACGTAGGCATATACACATGTGTACAGCTGTATACTACATATGCACATATCTGCGCACGGGCAACATATGATTGATTTCATACATAGTACACACAAGCGGACCCACATGCATGCATACATACATGCATATGCACATATCTACAGACATGCGAACATATGTATGTCTCTGCATATACGCGAACACACAACATACACATAAAATGTAGGCACGTGTGCATGTACGCATGTGTGCTTGTATGTGTGTTTTCGGTGTATGTATGTATGTATGCATGCATGCGTTTATGTATGTATATATGCACGAAAACATGTATGTATTGATAGATATTCGCAGATATGTATATGAGCATATGTTCATTTGCGCGTATACACTTACATGCATAGCAAACGGATTTGCATATGTGCGTGTTTGTTTGCATTGATGTGCATGTGTATATGCACTTGCATATAGTTTTGGATGCACCTTCTTTCATACCCACCTGATCATGTAACTACCTACTTATCTATCTATCCACCTATCCCCCCATCTACCTATCTACCTATCCATCTTTCCAGCTAGCGATTTGTTTGCCAATCTATTTACCTGTCTAATACTCCTAGCTACCTGCTTACCTTCTTCTCTACCTATCTACCTATCTATCCAACTGTCTGTCTATTTATTTCTCTATCTATCTTTTACCTATGTATCTATCTAAATCTATCTATCTATCTGCGCATCTATCCATCTATCTATCTATCTATCTGTTTGTCTGTCTGTCTGCCTGACTGAAAAAATGTGCATGTGTCCATGTATACTGCATTCCGACTCAGCTGCTTAGATTTCTTGTCCTGAACCCTTAACTAAACCCTAAGCCCTAACGCCTAAACCCTGAACCCCCAAACCCCTAAACGTCGTTCAGCCGCGATGGCGGCATGAACTGCTTACTATAATGTGCTATAATCTACTATAATTTACTGTCACCTACTCTAATCTATTATAATCTACTATATTCTACTCTAATGTACTCTCATGTCCGATAATCTACTATACTATACTATTCTGAAACCTCCGCTGTGTGACAGGCCTGAACTGCTTTCTGCCCACCATCGCTGCCGACTTCGGGAAGTATCTCGTGTGTCCGGGGCCGAGTTGGGGGGACACCCGACATTAGCATTTTGTAGCATATGGTAACAGGTAGTATGTTATAGTCTGTCTATTACAGTCTATTGTAGTATTTTGTAGCAGATTGTACTATAATATAAGATAGCAGAATTTTAGATACTAAGTAGATGGTAGTATATTATAGAAATTGAAGTAGGTTATAGTATATTGTAGTATATTGCAGCAGAGTACAGTATGTTAGTAGATAAGAGTATGATATAGCATATTAGTACTAGATCATAGAAAACTTGACTCTTCAAGGGTTGATTTGCAGCGAAAGCACCCTGTGCCCCAAATCCTGCCACCTACATCAGCACGCATACTGTTGATGGACAAAATCCTGCATGACCCTGAGGACTCTAAACTATGGGAACTATGGTATATTCCTTACAAAGGGTAATGCAGGATAAACCCTAAAGCCTAAACACTAAACCCTAAACCCTAAACCCCTAAACCCTCAACCCAGGATTTTGTCCATCACCACTATGCCGAACCTGCGATCAGCATCTCGAGCTCCATCGCTAATGTGGGGGCCTAAATACTTACAAATTCTATTTTGGGGGATCCTTCTTAGATTTGTGGTATAGTATACCCCCAAACCCTATTCTAATTATGAAGGACCCTTACATTATGTAGACCCTAAGCCCGAAATCCCGCAGAAGCGCCTCAGGCTACCGGCTGCGGCGAGACGACGCCACCGGGTTCCAGGGCCTCCATTGCCCCTTCCTTCCGAGTGCCGGGCTCGCCGGGACGACACAGGCGTGCCACAGGCTTACCTTTGGTTAGTAGGGAGTGGAGGAATGGGGTACAATTATAACTACTATTGCTACCATTCTTCCATTCCCGACTAACCAATTGTAAGCAGGGGCGGAGTTGCTGTTGCGGAGCTGGGATGTCGAAGCAGAAATTGACAGTCGGGAGGCGAGCCCTGAATATACGACATCATTCGAAGCTAGCCCCAGAGAGCCCAATACCCCTTAATTAAGGAATATAGCTTAAATCACAATATGAAGCCCTATAAAATTTAAGCCACATTCCGAAATAAAGGGGTTTTGGGCTCTCTGGGGCAACGTCGGGAGGATCCCAGGTTTTTTTTCAGGCCTACGTGCATTTTGTGAGGGATTCCGCTTTCCTTCGCGGGATCTACTATTCAAACTAAAAAGACCTGCAGGGAGTTTGCAGGAAGAGCAGAGACTATGGCTTGGCAATCTATCTAGGTCTGGGCTTTAGGGTTTAGGGATGTAGGAATTTAGGGATTTAGGGGTTCAGGGGTTTAGGGCTTAGGGTTTCTAGGGTGTGATGCAGACATGTGTAGAAATTGAGATGGTGTGATTACAGGTGGTGTCGAACAGCAATGCACACGCATATCGGCCGCAACGCACTCGGCTGTTGCAATATTAACTTATAGTCTACTGTATTTTATGATCCTATATCAGTTCTATTCTGTTCTATTCCGATATAGTATAGTTTACATTGTCCCATATTATATGCTTCAGTGTTACATCGTACTATATTGGATTTCATTGTATTGTATTCTGTTACCTTGCATAATGTTCTCTTGGCGTTCTTCTGGTTGACTCTTAGGACTGTAACTTTTTGGCTTTCTATATGAACAACAGTAAGTAGGCTAAAAGTTGAAGTTGAACTTCTTGGAGGGCTTCAGAAGTCAGCCAAGTTCTGTTTATATAGACTCAAGTGGCTTTGGGTTTAGGCCCGCATGCCAGCGGGTTGTCAGCCGGCTTCACATTGACATGACACAACTGAGAAGAGCTTCATGCGCATGATTTTATAGATAGGAGTTTCCGAAAGTTTGAGGGTACCTTGTTTTGGGGGTCCTTACAATACAGATCCTACTACTTAGGCTAACTATTATATTAGGGTCCCCTATGTTCTATTTCCGGAAACTCCCAGATTGAGCTAGCCAAGAAGTCAGCAGACACATACCCACGTTGTATAGTCCTGTGCAAATCAGTTGACTACGACGTTTGCGATGTGACAACGAAGGCAACTACAACTAAGCACGCATCATCATGAGAGCATTGCTCATGATCGTAAAGGTTCTTCATGAGCACGACCGCACCACTGCAACGAGAACAGCAGACTTGTTTGGTTATGAAGCTGGTTGCATGCAGCCTTGCTCCTGAAGAATGACTGATGTCTCACCCTTTTCCCTTGCTGCTGAAGATATGCGAACAGTGGTGTTGAGAACGTTAAGATCGTTTTCGTTCAACATCGTTCAACATCGCTCGGTTGTGGTGATTAGCATACTATTGTTATTGTCCAGGCCTACTACCCTTCCCAACATGGTAGCTCGAGGTGGTTGGGGGCCTCACTCTGTTCATCATCGCCGCTCTGTGGACATGGCCTCTTGGCTGTTGGGGGTTGAAACCCTACACCCTGAACCCTAAAACCCCAAACCCTTAACTCTAAACCCTGAACCCTAAACCCAGTAAACCCTGAACCCCAAACACAAAGCCCTAAACAGGTCAAATCTCGCAGCATCTCAGAATCAGCCCCTGGGAACGTAGCTCAGGGGTTCTACTTGGAAGTGCATGGTTACTTTACGTAGGATATCAGCAGTTGTAATCCGTAATAGGGGACTGAAAACCCCACTTACAACTACCCAAGAACCTCCAGGTAGACCCTCAACCCTAAACCCTTATAGAATCCCTATAGATCCCCTTTAAACGGAACCCTTATATAACCCTTATAGAATCCCTATAGATTCCCTTTAAAGGAACCCTTATAGAATCCCTATAGATCCCTTTTAAAGGAACCCTTAAACCCTAAACCTAGATCCCCTTTAAAGGAACCCTTACAGCTACCCAAGAGCCTCCAGATAAAGTTTCTGCGCTGAAGGCTCAGACTCGCGCATGACCCAGAGAGCCCTTTATACCCCTTAATTAAGGAATATACCTAGGGTTCCATTAAAGGGATCTATAAGGGATCTATAAGGTTTAGGGTATAGGGTTTAGGGTGTAGGGGACTCCAATACCCTTGAATTATGATTGAAGCTATATTCCTTAATTAAGGGTTTTTGGGCTCTCTGGGGAGAGAGGGAGCGTCAGTGCTTGAGGTCTTCAGCGGCCTGGAAAACTACTGAACCCTGAACCCTAAGCCCTCGAAAACCCTGAACCCTAAACTCCCTAAGCTCCCTAAACCCATGAACCCTAAGCCCTCGAAAACCCCGAACCCCAAACCTAAAAAACTCCCTAAACTCCCTAAACTCCCTAAACCCCTGAACCCTAAGCCCTAAGCCCTAAACCCAAAACCCATAACCAATCACTCCGGCTACCACGAGGCTCAGCCTCTCCAGATCCGAGGAGGCGTGCGAAGGGGGTGGGTACTTAAAGGATCATGGGAGTTAGTAAGGGCTCTTTAAAGGGATCTATAGGGTTCCTTAAAGGGATGTATGGGGTTTAGGGTTTAGAGTCTACTTGGAGGATCATGGGACTTAGTAACTAGGGTTATAATTAGGGTAACTCTACTTATAACTACTTATAACCCGAATCAAGGTACTTATAACCTTACTTACTAAGTCCCATGATCCTCCAAGTATGCCTCCCCAGTCTCGGGACGGGTTATGGGGTTCTGTTTATAGTTATAGCACACGGTTTAGCGTTGGGGGTTCCCGTATGTATTATAGCTATAGTATAGGGTTTAGGGTTTAGGGTTGGGGTTCCCGTATTATAGTTATAGTATAGGGTTTAGGGTTGGAGGTTCCTTTTTATCGTTATAGTATAGGGTTTACGGTTGGGGGTTCCGGTATTACAGTTATAGCATAGGGTTGAGTGTTGGGGGTTCCAGTATTGTAGTTATAGCATAGGGTTTAGGGTTCCCGTATTATAGCTATAGTATAGGGTTGCGGGTTTAGGGTTGGGGGTTCCCGTATTTTTTTGTAGTATCATGATATAAGTCCCCCCAAACCCTTTTCTAGTTAGTAAGGGCCCTGCTTAAAGGGTCATGGGGCTTAGTAACTAGGGTTATAATTAGGGTAACTCTACTTATAACTACTTATAACTCCACTTAACCTTGCTTACTAAGTCCCATGATCCTCCAAGTACATTATCTGGGTGGTGCTCCTTTCCAGCCTCGAGATGGCTATAGGGGCAGTTCTTTAAATAGCGTTCCTTAAAGGGATCTATACTTGGAAGGGCAGGGGACTTAGTAAGTCGTTCATAAGTAGGGTTTTATAACTGGGGTAACTCCATTTAGGGTACTTAAAACTCTACTTATAACCTACTTACTAAGTCCCCTGCCCTTCCAAGTATGGTATTCTTCAGGGTTTCCAAGGGGGTACTATACGGGCAGTTCTCAATATCAGGGTACCCTCTAGGGTCTTTTTTTTTATACGGGTGCCGCCTTATTGTGGGTCCTTAAAAAGGATTCTAATCTAGAGAATTACCTTGTTGCTTTGAAGAGTCTTGTATACCCTACCCCAAAAAACACCCTGTACCATCTATGTTCAAATGTCTGCGTGGACAATGTGTTTTCAACCACACGTACCAGTTCGTGCCTAAATCCTGCGGTCTGGCGTTTTCCTTCCGGCACAAGGCCTCAATGCCTTCAGGGTCTAAGCCCCAAAAGCTTGAAGACTTCGGCAATAATCGCAAGTAGTAGTAATATTAGTAATGGTGTCAGTATCAATCTTATTATTTTTTGTCAGTATTAGTACTAGTATTCGTACTAGTATGATTATTATTATTATTACTATTATTATTATTACTATTATTATTATTATCGTAGTAGCAACAATAATAACAACAACAGTCTTCTTAGTAGCTACAGCAGTGCCACTGGGCTTCCAGGATCCCAAACCCCCTAAACCCCTGAAGCCCTAAACCCCTAAACCCCCAAACCCCTGAAGCCCTAAATCCCCTGAACCCCCTAAACCCCAAAACCCCTAAATCCCCTGAACCCCCTAAACCCCGGAGCCCCTAAATCCCCCCCGCAGGATCCCAAGCCCAGCCACGTGGTCTTCCTGACCAGCAAGTACCAGCGCAGATACGCGCTCTTCGAGACGGAGCGCTTGATCAGGAGCTGCGCCTCGCTTTTGTGGGTTTCGTTTAGGGTTCAGGGTTTAGGCTTTAATAGAGTTTAGGGTTTAGGCTAGGGTTTCCCAGACCCCTGAGAGGATCCAAAAAGTAGATCCCTTAATGGGGGTTCCTAAAAAGTACCCTGAGTAGTCTTGGGCCCCAATTTAGGGGATCTACTTTCTGGATCCTCCCCAGAGTGTCTGGGTTTCTGGGTTTTGTGCCCGACTTCCAGGGGTTTTTGGTAATGCGGAGCTGCGCCTTGCTAGGGAGCTCCTTCCTTTAAGGGGTTTGGGGTTTAGGGCTTTAGGGTTTAGGGGTTTAGGGTTTAGGGGTTTAGGGTTTAACCCTAAACCCTAAACCCTAAACCTCTAGGGGCCCTCGTAACTCAGAGGGGTCGATGGTGGTGGGCTCTTCGAAACGGGTTCTTAGAGGGTTTGTATGAGGATGACTCTAAGGCTTCTATAAATCGGGTTCCATAATTTGAGAATAAGGAAATGGAATATATTATTCTATATATATATATATATATATACAAGTAAATCTATAGATATAAATATAAATATTTAATATATATATATATATATATATACATATTGCTACACATATATATATATATATATATAGTTATAAATGTACATATATATATATATATGTAGAACAGGTACTTGATTGAGAAACCTTAGGTTTGTATTAGGGTTGGATCCTAGTATGTTGATGTTATAGGATCAGGGTTTCTTGAACAGGTTCCCACATTATGGTTTGAATTCCACGAGTTCCCCACCATCGCAGCACTGCCTCATGTCGAGGATCACTGTGTTTCCACTCACATGCTGGAGAAGGTGTGCTTCTTCCAACAAAAGCTGCCTCTGCACGCCGCAGCCTTTTAAAGACCGAGTCCAACAGCGGGCGTTTTTGGTTGTTCCGTTTTTATCAAATTTTCCAATGGCCTGCTGTACTCGCTCATCCGAGGAAGTCGAGGTGGAACCTCGGCTCTGACCAAGACAAATTTCTTCCCAGACCCCCTTTGGAGGATCCACAAAATAGATCCCTTAATGAGGGGCTCCTTTAAGGGTTCCTTTAAGGGATCTATAGGGCTTTGGGGTTTAGGGTTTAGGGCTTAGGGGAGGATCCAAAAAGTAGATCCCTTTTTGTGGGGGTTCCTATCAAGTACCCTTAGTAGTATAGGGCCCCAAACTAGGGATCTACTTTCCAGATCCTCCCGGGGGTCTGGGTTAAAGCCGCCACAATAAGGATCTACAGAAACTATTTGTGTTTTCCTGATTCTGGTAGCTTAACTTCGATTCCTTACCCCATACCTCTCATAAAGCCCTTATATGGGGTCATTGAACCCTATAGATAACTTAAACTACATTCGTTTACAAGAACCCAGGAAATGGTCGAAGCCGAAAAGCTCCAAGTAACTCTTGAAGGACGGGGCTTTCTTGTGCCCGCTGACTCATCAGGGTTTAGGGTTTAGGGTTTGGGGTGTAGGGGTTTAGGGGTTTAGGGGTTTAGGAGTATAGGGGTTTAGGGGGTTTAGGGGTTTAGGGGTTAGGGGTGAGGGTTTAGGGGTTCAGGGGTTTAGGGGTTTAGGGGTTTACGGTCTAGGGCTTAGGGGTTTAGGGGTCTGGGGGTTTAGGGGTTTAGGGGTTTGGGGCTTCCCTTTTGAAAATCGCCACGCGCAGAGAGCGCAAGACGATGGGCATGTCGTGCCTGCAGGTGAAAGTGGCATGGATGGCTTCAAGGAGCTTGCAAAGCACGTGCACCTGTGGCAGCAGATGCAGTTCCCAAATCCCGTCCTGCGCAGGGTTGCGCCTTTCCTAAACCCTAAACTCTGACCCTCAACCCCCTCATTGCATAGGTCGAGCATGGAAGAGGAGATCGAAAGGCAGGCAGCAGAGATCCAAAAGCAGGCAGACGAGATCGTGGATCTTAAAGAGAAGTGCGAGCACCTTAGCATGTGAATACTACGGTTGATGATATAAATCCTGCATTACCTTAATACTTAAGGACCCTAAACCATGAGAATTATGGTACATTCCTTATTATGGGTAATGCATGATTTACATCATCAACCGTATGGAAACGCATATAGGGTTTAGGGTTCAGGGTTTAGTGTTTAGGGCATATCTTCTTAATTACTGATATTGTTCCTTAAGGGTTCCGGATTATAGTTGTGGTATAAGTTAACCTCAAAACACGATTCTACTTGGTAAGGCCCCTGTATTAGGTGCCGTCTGAAACCCTCAACCCCTAAAGCTTGCAAGCCTTGAAACCTGAAACCGATTCGAAGTGTCAGGAATGCCATGAGCCTCGCGACACAGCAATCCCGCCAACCGAATGGGGTTGCCTGACGCCCCAGCAGAAGCTCATGCTGCAGCTGTTGCTGGGTTCTTGTTTCTAGTGTTCTATTCTATGGTACCATAGCAAGGAAACCATATCATGTACTATAGATCCCTGCTGTGGCAACTTAAAGTATCTTTTAGAAGCTGCCCCCACCCTGTAATAGTGACTATAAGGATTGTATTAGACCCTAATATAATCCTTATAGTCACTATTACAGCGTGGGGGCAGCTTCTAAAGGCTCTTCCTTAAGAAGAGCCTAGGTTGTTGGTGCTCATCTCCTCGCTCGTGGCAGTGCCGTTGCCCTTGCTGATCCCCATCAATGATCCGAGAGAGGGTCCACTAAACAACCTCGCTTCTTAGCGGTACTTAGAAATTGTTTTTTGAAATTTTGGTTATGATAATCCCTAAGAAACAGCTAAAACTATAATTTTGCTAGGGCTCTAAGTTCAGTATAGGCTTTCTTCTATGGCTACAATGTCATCTGCATTGCCTACTACCTTCCCGGCCACTCGGACTTGCTGTTGCTTGCTGAGTGAGGGGTGTGCTGTTGGGGTGGACCCAGGTCAATACAGGCGGTTGCAAATGCTGCTGGAGCTTCCCCCCAGCAAGGCTGCGGACGGAGAGACGGTGCTGAAGTCCGTGGCGCACTCCAGTGCGATGAGCTTCGTTCAGAAGTCCAGCTATGCAGAAAAGGTCAAACGGGCTCTGTTCTACACATCGGTCATTTTCGGGGCTGGCACGGTATACTTCCTGTGTTGCCTTCCATGGGGGACTGACATGGTCTACTCTTACAGCATGCTCTATGGGGCTCCTCCAACCTTTGTCACAGTCGACTGGATGTACCTGCTGCTACTTGGCCAAAGATATTGGAACTTGAAGACCGTGGTGCTCGTCTTCGTGTACAACTTCTTATCACTGGCCCCTGTGCTGGTCTTGTGCGGTGTGGTGTTCACCTGCGCCTACTTCAACACACCCGCCGCAGAATCTTAGTAGCTGAGTTTATAGACTTTAACCCAGAGAGCCCAATACCCCTTAACTAAGGAATATAGATTAAATCATAATATGAAGCTCTATATAATTAAGGCATATTCCTGAATTAAGGGGTATTGGGCTCTCTGGGTATGAACTCGTCAACTAAGGAATTCTTGGGCGCCCTGGCGTCATGGATTGTGATGGAAGCGGTGGGAAAAGCCTCCGACAAGGCCGTCCCCCAAAGAGCTTCCCCGAAGCCTGTACTATAGCGGCCATCATAATTATAAATTATAGTAGTCTATACTATAGGGTGTAGGGTTCCTTTAAAGGGTCTATAAGGGCTATATGGGTTTAACGTCTATAAGGGCTATAAGGGTTTAACGTAGGGGGCCTGAGTACTTACCTATCTTATTTTGCCCCAAAACCCTATTCAAATCATTAAAGATCGGCTCCTATATTAGTCTGCGTCGTCCACGCATGCTTACCTATAGCACCTCATCCCCCTGAACCCTTCATCCTGAAGCCCTAAACCTTAAGCCCGAAAGCCCTGAAGTAGAAGCCAGAAAGTTGGAAGATGATTATCCTAAACCCTTTATGGTAAGTTATAAGGTATCCTACCATGAAACCATATTCCAACTTTCTGGAGTTCCCTTTAAACTCTAAACCGTGCAGGTGCTTCATACTTTGGTGCCCTGGGCAGGGTATAGCCTCGAGCACTACTACCAGGCCTTGGCGGTGTCAAGTCTGCTCGGCCTTCCGCGAAGCTGTCGATGATTCAAAAACCCTAAACCCGAAGTCCTAAACCCCCCTAACCCCCCAAATCCTAAAATCCCATATGCCCTAAATCCTAAACCCGAAATCCCAAACCCCTAAACCCCTAAACCCCTAAACCCCTAAATCCCCAAATCCTAAACCCCATCCCTAGTATGATTTAAGGAATACTCCTTAATTAAGGGATATTGGAGGCTCCGGGAAATCCCTGTTTGAGGTCGGCAACGCCTTGGTGTTCTCCTCTGTGCTCACCTTCTCCGAGGCGTTGGGCTTAGAGCAGAGTTTAGGGCTTAGGCGTTTAGGGTTTAGGGTTTGGGGGTTTAGGGTGTAAGGTTTAGGGTTTAGGCGTTTAGGGTTTAGGGTTTGGGGTTTAGGGTTTGGGGTTTGGTGGTTTAGGGTTTACGGGTTTAGGGTCTAGGGCTTAGGGTTTGGCGATTAGGGTTTAAAGTTTAGCGGAGATCGCGATCATTTCTGTCGTCAGAAAACGCAGGTGATCCTTTTTCCAAGTACCAACTCCTGGTGGGCATTGGCTGGTGTTGTGCTGGTCGACACACTTGGCTCTGTGGTGCAGTTGCGCGTGCTGTACCAGTGCACAGTTAAAGACATGCAGGAGGGGAAGGGCGTCAGCGCCGAAACGAAACGAGCACTGTGGACGCAGTGCGAGATTGATGTGGCTGGCTTTTGGCCCGTAGTGGTGGCACTGCCACCACTGGTTTGGCTGATGGACGAGCGGAATCCGAACCGACAGTACTACTACCTCTTTGAGTGCACCACCTCAGACCACATGAATATCACAGTTGTCTGCATCCTTGTGAAACTAGGTTGGACTTGTGTCCTGACGGGTCTGGACCTTTACATGTGCACTCAATGGGGGATTGGTCCCGACAGAGCGCAGCAGATGCTCAAGATGTACAACAAGCACTGGGCAATGATGGCTGCCACTTTCGCCTTTGCCGGTGCGATTTTCACAAGCTGCTGGCTTGTGAAGCACGACGGGCTGCGACTTCTTGAGATTCTCAGCGAATGTTGAGAGCTTGTTTTTAATGCCTTAAAGGCCGACGGTCGCACTGCACGCGAACTGCGCTGGCAGTTGAAGAAGTCTTTGCATTCACCGAAGAGGTGAAGATATTTATGCCGCAGGATGCGAGAGAGCTCCGTGAATAGCTTGCTGAGGTTTTGTCTCACCGCTGTTCATGACTGCTGGGTTTCTTGTGACTTTCTCTATCCCCAAAGCAGAGTCGGACTTGAAACCTTGAACCTGCTGGGAGGAAGACCCTCTTCACGTTCATCGGTGCCTTGCTGCCCATCGCCTCCTCGCCAGCGTTGCAGATGGGCTGCCTAGGCGAGAATGAGTAACAACATGGGCGTTTCCGAAATTAGGGGACCCTAATATAGTACTGTAAATAGTAGGATCCTTATTATAAGGACCCCACATAAGGTACCCCTAATTTTCGGAAACTCCCATATATCGGATCAAATCCTTTAAGCTTTTGTCACGCTGGAGAGGGTTGTCTACAAGGGATCAGACCCTAAACCCTAAAACTGGGCCCTAAATCCCAAACCCTAAACCCCAACAGGGACCCTAATTTAGACAACAACAACTGCGTTGAATCGGGCCTAGACTTTGACTCCTTGAGCCGATCTTAGATCAGAAGCCGAAAAGGCTTGAAAGCTTGGGGGGTTAGGGTTTACTGTTCATTGTTCAGGGTTAAGGGTTCAGATTTCAAGGTTTAGGGTTTAGAGTTCACTGTTCAGGGGTTAGAGTGCAGGGTGTTGTGTTTAGAGTTCAGGGTTTAGGGTTTAGATTTCAGGGTTTGGTGTTTAGTGTTCAGGGTTTAGATTTTAGAGTTCAGGGTTTAGAATTCAGGGTTGAGGGTTTAGATTTCAGGGCTTGGGGTTCAGATTCCAGGGTTTAGGGTTTAGATTCCAGGGTTTAGGGTTAAGAGTTCAGGGTTTAGGGTGCATGGGTGAACGGAAGGACCCTGATGTAAAAGTTTCGAAAGCTTCTGACATCGGCGGGTGCCGTCGCATCGTCAAGAATAATACCCTAAGCCCTAAACTCCAGAATCCTTGGGTTTCCAACTGGTCCTCGACGACTCTGCCAGGCATTGTGGTTTTGGTGTCGCTGTTTCTGTACTGCCGCTACAAGCCTTACCACTCGCCGGAGTGGAACTGGAGCGCGGTCTTCAAGGGTAGCATAGGTTTAGGGTAGAAGGTTTTGTTCAGTAAAGCTTCTTCAGTTGGTGCTTGCTGTTAGGCAACATTCATAGCAGTTTGGGCGCCGGTGAGGGCTTATCTTAAGGATCCTACCATCTAGGTGTTGTCTTGACAATCCTAAGCCCTAAAGCTTGGTGTGGCAGTGTGAGGATAACATACCCCAAACTCCGTTCTAGTCATTAGGACTCCAAGATTACGCCCAATAAACTGCCCTCTAAGCCATGAGGCCCTTGCCACGAGCCCCTCTTTCCCCGGAACTTAGCTTGCTGCTCAGCTTGCTGCTTCCGGGGAGTTTCGGGCTTGCGGTTGAGAATTGAGAATTAAGGACCTTTTTGTTGGTTTCGGGCTTGGGGTGATGTTTTTTTTGCGCTTTGTTTGAATGCTTTGGGGTTTACCTAGAGTCTCCATGGTAGTTCGTTTCTTTGGTTTAGCCAGTTTCGCATTGAGGATCAAAAAAGGAGCTAGAATCAGCTAGAAACGAACCTATTAGGCCCTACCAAAGCTTAAACCGTAAACCTAACACCCTAAACCCAAAACCCTAAACCCTGAACCTTAAACCCTACACCCTAAACCTTACACCCTAAACCCAAAACCCTAAACCTGAACCTTAACCTCTAAGTCCTAAGCCTTCAACCTTAAACCCTAAACCCTAAACCTTCAACCGCAAACCCTGAGGATTTGTTTAATTCGAGGTTCGGGCGAGCGGTGGCTTTCCCCCGGAAGCTGCAGGTCGTGAGACGACCCAGAGAGCCCAATACCCCTTAAATAAAGAATATGGCTTAACTTATCTAGGGCTTCACAATATGATTGAAGCTATATTCTTTAATTAAGGGTCATTGGGCTCTCTGGGTACCGTACTACCGTATTTAGGGTTTAGGGTTTGGGATTTAGTAGAACGCTATAGACTAGTGTATCTGTTGTTACCAGATTGACCTCGCAACTTGTCTGCAGGATCGAAATCTGCTTGCTTTTCGCCGCGATGGTGATGATCACAAGTGTCTCCACTTTGCCGCGTGGCTTAGGCTTCAGGGCTTACCGTTGAAGGCTCAAGGTCTCTTATGAGGGACCCAAAAAGGACATAAGCATAAAGGGGGTTTATATGGGATATTCCTATCCCAATTTGTGCTTATGTGCTTTTTTGGTCCCTTTTCTTAGGGTTGAGGAGTGAGGCTGTCGATCCAATTGTTGAGAGTTTAGACTGCCTCGCCGCCCTGCGCCGGAATCGGCACAGACCCAGCTCCAGTCCTGAGTTCTTTAGATAAAACCAGAAAATTCAAAGGCGTCATTTTTAAAGGGTGGCCTTTCATAAACACGATGGGGTCTTGGTCTTGTGGTACCTCATAGCATAATCATAGAAAGAAATAGTCTCGTTACTTATTCAGGTTCGGCATGCATCCACGACGAAGAAGCAGCAGCGCGGTCATTGCATCCAAGACTCCCGAGGCTTGCAAAATAATATTCCAAATTTCGATATATTAGGACCTTAGTAGTAGCATTATTATAGACTTTTACTGTATGGGGGCAGTGCTTCATGTGTGGAAGATAACCGAGGCTTGCGAATGAGTTCCACTGGGGCCACTCGGTACCCACTCAGCAGTCGATCATCTTCGCCACTGCAGGCATTGCGGCGGTGGCTAGCCGCTTGGTGAAGCGATGTGGGAGGTTGATGCCTAGGCTCTAAATAGGGCCCCCAAAAAGCACATAAGCAAAAATTAGGATAGGGATATCCCATATAAACCCCCTTATAATGAAGCCCATTGTGGTATGGATATCCCCATAAAATGCCTATGCTTATGCTTATGTGCTTTTTTGGGCCCCTACTAAACCCTGAAAACTAAACTCTGAACCCTTCGTTATTGTGCATAAGACCCCCACTAAGGGGTTTAGGGGTTTAGGGGTTAGGGTTTAGGGTTTAGGGTTTAGGGGTTTAGGGTTTGGGGGTTTAGGTGTTTGAAGCTTTTCCCAAGCACCAAAATTTATTCAAGGCTCAGGGTTTGGTAAGCCCGGAACCTAACCACTACACCCTAAGCCGTTTCAAGGTTTAGGGTATCAGGGTTTAGTAAACTCGCAAACCCTGAACCCTAAACCCTAAACCCTGAACCCTAAACCCTACACTCTACACCGCCTCAGGGTTTAGGGATACTTAAAGAATCATGGGACTTAGTAACTGGGCTTATAAATAGGGTAACTCTACTTATAGCTACTTCTAACCCCAATTAAGGTACTTATAACCTTACTTACTAAGTGTCATGATCCTCCGAGTAAGCCTCAAACCCTAATTTGGGGCCCTATACTACTAAGGGTACTTTATAGAAACCCCATCAAGGGATCTACTTTTTGGATCCTCCAAAAGGTGGTCTGGGCGAGTTTAGGGCCCCAGGTGCCATCATGGCTTTCCGGGTGATCCAAGAGCTCGTCCGGGAGCAGAGGCAGGGAGACCCGGGGGGCTGAGGGGTTTGTAATGCGGGGGCCTTACTTAGAGTAGGGGGTTTGGGGTTTAGGGTTGAGGGTTTCGGGTATAGGGTTTAGGTTTCCTGATTATAGTGAGGGGTTTATAATGCAGGGGCCTTGGCGAGAGTAGGGGGTTTAAGGTTTAGGGTATAGGGTTTAGGGTTCCTTATTGTGATGAGGGGCTGAATGCAGGGGCCTTTCCCAGAGAGCCCAATACCCCTTAATTAAGGAATATAGCATAAAATTGTAATATGAAGCCCTATATAACTTAAGCCCTGTTCCTTGGGTAAGGGGTATTGGGCTCTTTGGGGTTCCTTATTATAATTACAGTATCATGTGCCCCCCCAAACCCTATTCTAATTAGTAAGGCCTCTATATTACACCTTCATAGTACCCTTGTAGTATCCCGTAAAGGAACCCTTTAAAGGGACCCTGTATTCCAATTATTACGCCCCTATATCAGGCCTTTAGGGTTTAGCTCTGGAGAGAAGATGGCTGTCCTGGCAATCTGCTACTGCCCGGTTTGTGCTTGGATTTGTCAGTTTTCAGTTCGAGTTCTTGCGAGGGTGGAGCAGTTCATGACCAGGCATCGCAATTTATGTGCCTTTCTGATTTTTTGGAGACCCTGAACTCCAAATTCGTGTGTTACAGATGGCGGAGTGCAAATGCCTCTGCACCAATAAACCTGAATATTGACCCTAGCTGGTAGGATCCTTACTGTACAGATCCTAAGCTCTAAACTCGGATGATGCAGCACATAGACAAGTCCCCAGAGAGCCCAATACCCCTTAATTAGAAAAGAGAGCTTAAATCAGAATATGAAGCCCTATATAACTAGGCCCCAGAGTAAGCCCTTATTCCCTTTTTTTTGGGTTCAGGTTCCCATATAACCCCCTTTAAACCAAAAAGGGGCACCCTTTTTGTTTCTAGGTTACTCTTAGGTCTAGATAATTTAAGCCATATTCCTCAATTAAGGGGTATTGGAGTCCCCTAAACCCTAAACCCTATACCCTAAACCTTACTATAGATCCCTTATAGATCCCTTTAAAGGAACCCTAGGTATATTCCTTAATTAGGGGGCCCTGGGCTCTCTGGGTCCCCTCGCCGGGCAGGCAAGCAGCCAAGTGACAATCCTCCAACGTTGCCACGCCGCGGCAAAATCAAAACCTGGGGTTTAGGGTTTAGGGTTTAGGGTTTAGGGTTTAGGGTTTAGGGTTTAGGGTAGGAATGTGTCAGTTGTTTGGAATAGGGTGTATAAGGGTTGTATAGGGTAAAGGGGTTGCATAGGTGCTATACGGGTTGTATCGTATAACGGGGCGCCGTAGTTATTGGCACAGGCCGAGAGGCATGTCAAAGAATGCTTGGGTAGTTCTCTAAATTAGGGTCCCTTTGGGGATCCCCTGTGATAAGGACCCTAGCAGGGACCTGGCTTCAGAGAGCTACCCGCCTAGAAAGGCTCTCCAAGCGCATAAGAATGCGAGCAGCGGAGGTGTTTTTCCAGGAAAGAGCTGGAACTAAAGGGACCCTGAACCCTAAACCCTAATAGACCCGACGTAGTCGGATCTTCACTCGAACTAGAGAAGCCATAGGGGAGTTTCCGAAAATAGGGGACCCCAATATGGTACCCTAAATAGTAGGATCCTGATTATAAGGACCCCCAAAATACGGTACCCCTAATTTTCGGAAACTCCCATAGGGGGAGCCACCGTCGGAAGAACAGATTAGGAACCCGGGATTCGGAAACCCCTTGTCTGGGGGAGATCCTGAGCATAAAGGCAGTCTTGTGGGTCCTCCTCCTCCTGTCTGGTTCGTAGTTTAGGGGTTTAGGGTTTAAGGTTCAGGATTTAGGGGTTTAGGGGTTTAGGGGTTTAGGGTTTAGGGGTTTAGGGGAATGGATCCCCATAGTCGCCCCTACATAATCCTCAAAGAATAGTCCCCATAACCCATTCCCCCATTCCCTGCTAAGCACCAGGGAGTCCCAGTTCAGGGTTGAGGCTTGTCATGATATCTGCTTGTAGGTGCAAGACGAGGACTCAAAGGGGAAAAGGAGGGACCCTTAATGGGGACCGCTACCCTACAATGGGCTATATAATGGGTATATAATGGCCATCTCAAGGGTATATACCTATAGGGGTCCTTATCAAGGGTCCCTCCTTTTACCCTTGGAAGGAAAAGTGGGAGGCTAAGCCCTGAGGAAGGGAAGTACTTCGGGAATTGTGGGATTCCCCAATTCGTCAGTGAGAACGTAGGGCCTTAGATAATTACCTATACTATTTTGGGGGTTCCTTATTATACTTATAGTATACTCGGCCCCTAAACCCCTATTCTGATTATGACGGCCCCTATATTACAGAAACCTGTTATAGATCCCTTTATAGACCCCATTTAAGGCTTCAAAGGAACCCTATATTCTAATGATTGAGGCCCCTATATTATAGAACCCCGTTATAGATCCCTTATAGTCCCAAACAAACCTTTAAAGGACATTTAGATTTTAATTGCTAAGGCCCCTGGCCCATATGATAGAATCCTATCATGGATCCCTCAAAGGATCCCTTTAAAGGAGCTCTATATTCTACTTCTTGAGGCCCCTCTATTAGGGCCTCTGGGATATTACATCCTAACGAAGTTGAATGGGCATCCGAGGGCCTCGGCTTTTCTGAAAGCTCCTTGGAAGCTCGTTTTATGGTCTAAGGCTTCAGGGATAGGGGTTCAGGAAGCATAGGGAGTTTAGGGAGTTTAGGCGGTTTAGGGAGTCGAGGGTTTAGGGGTTTAGGGGGTTTAGGGTTTAGGGAGTTTAGGGTTTAGGGAGTTTAGGGAGCTTAGGGAGTTTAGGGTTTAGGGGTTTAGGGAGTTTAGGGTTTAGGGTTTGGACTCCATCTGAAGGATTTAGCACAGGAGCAGCAACTGAGTGCCGCAGCCGGCCGTGGCTCCCAGAGCTCATGGCTCCGTTGTTTGACTCATCCATGATCCTCCCAGCTTGAAGCTGACTTGCTGCGTGGATGGCCCCTGGTATCTACACCCCCATCCTCCTCAGCGCCTCGGTTTGCGGGCTGCGCATCTGCTTGAGTTCTAAGAGACTTCCGTTTAGTTAACTTTTGGTCTGTGGCAGGGTCTTTTCCTTAAGCTATGGGAATTATGGTATATTCCTTCTTATGGGTAATGCAGGATTTATATCATCAACCGTACCTCTAGGTTTATCAGTGTTCCGAAGTAAGCCAGAGCCCCACCAGCCTTTGTCTGGGATTTGAGCTAGAGCCTGTTTGGTCAGAGGGATCCCTCTTCCCCTTTATTTCGGAATACACCCCCTAAGCGTTCTTTAAAGGGATCTATAAGGGATCTATAAGGTTTAGGGTAGGGTATAGGGTTTAGGGGACTCCAATACCCCTTAATTCAGGAATATGGCTTAAATTATATCGGGCTTCATATTATGATTTAAGCCATATTCCTTAATTAAGGGGTATTGGGCTCTCTGGGGTCCTGACGCTTTGTTGCAGCTTCTCCACCTCAGCCGGATATCTGAACCGTCAAACTTAAAACCCCTGAAACCCTAAACGCTGAACCCTGACCTAAAACCCTGCCCAAGGGCTGTGGGTCACCGGGTGCGCCTTGCGCCACGCTGGAGAAGAGGGGACGGAGGCCGTCGTCAAGGATTCGTGTTAAAGGGGTTCTATAAGGGTTCTAAGGCTTCACGATTCGAAGAGGGCTTTGGGTATGTTGCAGTTTCATAATACATCAGGAGAATTACTTATTCAATCTCTCTAAATGCCAAAGCCCCAAACTCTGAACCCTAAACCCCGAAAGCCCCTGAGATCATCCCTGAACCCTCAACCCCAAACCCTAAACCCAAAAAACCCTAACTACGATCAGGATCCCTAAGCCCTAAACCCTAAACCCTAAAACTACCCTAGCATCATGAGCTCTCCTGAGAGCTTGACGGCCGATCGGTGCATCAGCTCCCTCCCGGCTCTAATCCTGAGAACTGGGGTGTAGGGTTTAGTGTTCAGGACCTGGTACCCAGAGAGCCCAAAGCCCCTTAGTTGAGGAAGAGGGCTGAAATTATATAGGGCTTCATCTTATGATTTAAGCTATATTCCGTAATTAAGGGGTATTGGGCTCTCTGGGTAGGGCTTTAGGGCTTAGTGTGCAGTTCATCGTATAGGGTTGCAGTTCAGGGTAGAGGGTTTTGGGTCTAAAGTCTAGGGTTCAGGGCTAAGCTTGTCCTTTGCTTGATGTAGGGTCTGGGTCTTTGGGACTCCGGACCATGCAGGGCAAATGGTTTTCACGTTTAGGGTTTAGGGAACCCTCGAACCCTAAACCCGAAGCCCTAAACCCTGAGCCCTAACCTGAACCGTTGCTGTTGTGAGCCTGACCCCCATCCTGGGTGCAGGTTTCTGCGGAGCTTCCAGTCAGGGAGCCAGCAAAACCCAACCGATAGCACTGCGACTAGTTCCGAAGCCACCAGGAGTCAGTCAAACACGAAGTGCGCTCTTGTGAAGAGAGATACATAAGTCCTGAAGCCCATGAGAGTTGTAAGTGGGTGGCCTTGGGGTGGGGTGAGTCTAAAGAAAATCGCGCGACCAGAAAGCGTGCTGTCGTTCGGCACAAGCTCTAAGCCCTAACCCCCATAACGCCAGGCCCTTAGCCCCAAACCCGAAGCTCCAAAACCCTTATGGCCCAAAGCCTAAGGCCTTACCCAGACCCCCGGGAGGATCTAGAAAGTAGATCCCCTAATTTGGGGCCCTTTACCGAAGGGGTACGATACAGGAACCTCCATTAAGGGATCTACGGGGGTCTGGGTAGCAGTGAACCCTCAACTCCACCCTTCGGAACCCTACATCTGGCTCTCTTAAAAGGGGCCTTATTGAGAGGGTCTATGTCCCCAAAGGTACCCTAAACCCTAAACCCTAAACCCTAAACCCTAAACAAGGTCCCCCTAATCCTAACTCCCAACAACAGCCCGACAGCTCCCAGTCCCCAGGCGGCGCCTCCAGGTGCCCTCCAGGTTTCCGAGGCTTCCTTTGTCACGGTTTAGGGTTTAGGGTTTAGGGTTTAGGGTTTAGGGAACAAAGAAAAGGGAACAGAAGAAAAGCCCTTTGTGAGAACCTTTCAGGGTGTCGCCTTCAGGACTCCTTTGAGGGTTTGGGGTTTAGGGTTTCGGATTTGGGGTTTAGGGTGGGTTCGCCTTTCGCCCTAAAGACCCCAGTATGCGATCATTAGGCACTTGGACCCGAAAGGTAGGGAGGGAAGGAGAGGGCACACCCAAAACCTTGAACCCCGAATCCTAAGGTCCTAAGCCCTAAACGGCTCCTTTGAGGGTTTGGGGTTTAGGGTTTCGGATTTGGGGTTTAGGGTGCGCGGTTTAGGGTTTAGGGTTGAGGGTTTGGGGTCAGGGGTTCGGACTTACAGGGCTCCTGTAAAGGCTCTTTTCCAGGTTCCATGAAGTAGTCCTTGATTTGAAAAGTTTTTGAGGTTCCTCGACCAATTCTTCAGACCTGCCTTGCCCTAAGCCCCAAACCCTTCTTTCCAGGATGCCCAGTACTTGGAGGATCATGGGACTTAGTAAGTAAGATTGGAGTTATAAGTAGTTATAAGTAGAGTTACCCTTATTGTAACCCTAGTTATTAAGTCCCATGATCCTTTAAGTAGTACCCTTATTCCCTTTTTGTAGTTTCCTTAGAAGGTGACCCAATACCCAAAAAGGGAGCCCTTTTTGCTCCTAGGTTACTGGGCATCCTAGCCTTGGGCTTAAAGTCTATGACGGACGCCTGGGCTACGTGGATTGTCACCAGAAGCCCGCATGCCCGGAACCGCATTCGTCAAATCCAGCTCTTCCCAGAGAGCCCAATACCCCTTAACTAAGGAATGTGGCTTAAACTATATAGGGCTTCATATTTTGAGTTCAGCTATATTCCTTAATTAAGGGGTATTGGGCTCTCTGGGTTCAAGTCTCCTACCTCAATCCCTCGACCCTGAACAGTGTAAAAAGCCACAGTTCCGAAACCCTGAACCCTGAACCCTGCACCCTAAACCCTGAACCCTGCACCTTATACCTAAACCCTGAACCCTAAACCCACAACCCTAATGCATAACCCCTGAACTCTGAACCGTAAAGCCCCAAGCCTAAACAGAAACCCCCTGAAGATTGAAATCTGAACCCACGGCCCTAAACCCTACAGCCTGAACCCTGCACCTTACACCTAAACCCTGAGCCCTAAATCCACAACCCTACACCCCAACCCCTGAACCTTGAACCCACAACCAAAAATCTGAACCCTGAACCCACACCCTAGACTTAAACCCTTTTCAACCCACAACCTTAATCCCTAAACCCTGAAGCCACAGCCCTACTTGGAGGTTCATGGGTAGTTATAAGTGGGGTTATAAGTCCCCGAATATAGGTTATGACCATATTTATCCCACTCCCAACCCCACTTATAACTACTCATGAACCTGAAAAGTAGAGCCCTTAAAGAACCTGATAAAGCCTTTATATGTCCCTTAAAGGATTCTTATAGTTTCCGTCTTCTAACTACCCCCGAACCTGCAAGTAGATCCTTCTAGAACCTCATAGAGCCCTTATAGATCCCTTAGAGGAACCTTATAACACCCTACTTCTAACTACTTGGAGGATCATGGGACTTAGTAAGTAAGGTTGTAAGTACCTCAATTGGGGTTATAAGTAGAGTTATCTTAATTATAACCCTAGTTACTAAGTCCCATGATCCAAGTACCCATGAGCCTCCAAGTATACCTATACCCTAAACCCTAAACCCTAAACCCTAAACCCTGAACCCTAAACCGTACCTTTGCCCTGAAGGCCCCGAGCCCTGGGCCCTTCGGGAAGGCCCGCAGCGCTTTTCTGGAAGTGGAATCGGCGCTCTGGCAGGTTTTGGGCGGTTTTCTTTAGGGTGGAGGGTTTGGGGTTTTCTTTAGGGTGGAGGGTTTAGGATTGCGTTAGGGTGGAGGGTTTGGGGGTTTGTAAGGTTCAGGGTCTAGGGTTGTGTTAGGGTCCAGTGTATAGGGTCTATGTTACATAGCACCTCTTACGAGACCTTTATAATCAATAAGGATGCTACTGGGAGCATCTATGTTAGGATCCCTCATGTTATTGCTGAAGCTGTCACATTGCTAGTCGGACTTGGGGTTAATCTTCGCGAATGCGGCGGACGTAAGATGGATCCAAGACACTGTAGATGCGACTATGATGTTCAGGCATCCTTGTTTTACCCAGAGACTCCAATATCCCTCAGCTTTAATTGCGGAATAAGCCTTAAACTATAATAAGATCCCTAATATAGAATACAATATAATGTAACTACTCCTATATTACTGTATATTTTATAGGTTTTATTTTCAACAGGGAACGGCGGAGCTTGCTCTGTAAGTTTTCTCAGTCTTCTCCCACGCGCATGTATCTGCAGACCGGGCGCGTGAGCATTTAAACCCCACCCCTGAGCTGAGCTTTCAGTATCCCAAGTCCCAAGGACACCTTTGGGCAAAAAGAGGGGGTCAGCCTTGCGAGAACGGGGCGAGACCTAGCCCATCAACCTGATCTGCATGAAGCTCTTCGGCGAAGCCACAGAAAGCCCAACACGGCCTCATAGGAGGGCCTGAATACTTATCAATTTTTTTCTGAGGTCTAGTACGGTATGGGAGTTTCCGAAAATAGGGGACCCCAGTATAGTACCCGAAATAGTAGGATCCTTATTATAAGGACGCCAACATAAGGTACCCCTAATCTTCGGAAGCTCCCGTATACCCCAAACCCTACGGTTGATGATATAACTCCTGCATTACCTTAAGGACTCTAAACTATGGGAATTATGGTACAGTCCTTATGAGGGGTAATGCAGGGTTTATATCATCAACCGTAGTCTAACTTTCAAGGCGCCTACGATTCAAAGTGCTTCGTGGAGGGGGGATGAAGGAAGGGTTGATGCAGTGAGAGTTCGGGAGGTAGGGATTTAGGGTTTAGGGTTTGAAGGATTTAGGGATTTAGGGTTTAGGGATTTAGGGATTTAGGGTTTAGGTTTTGAAGGGTTGATACAGTCAGATGGTTTGAACGCATTGCAAGCTTTTCTAGCACTTCAAGCACCGACCCCATGCAGAGTCGGCTTCTGACAGTGAACGTAGTGACGTGGTATACATGCCCAAACAATATTTACACAACTTATTCTTAGGGCTCTGCGTTTTGCTTAAACCTATGCTTTAACATACGTCGAAACCCTTTTTTTACTTGGGCCCTCATATCGGGGTGTGCGGGTGCATTGGAGACCGGAAGCCCTGGCTTATAATTTCATCTCTTTCGTTCCAGGCTGCAGGGAGCCTATAAACCGTTCTTTCAGGGATTAGGTGCGGTTTAGGGTTCAGGGTTTCGGGCACAGTGTTTCGGGTATCTGATTTCGGTTTTTGCAGCAGCCCAGGCCAACTATCCTCCCTGCGAAGGACTGCCGAACAGTGGCAGCCACGTCGCTGGGCAGTTCTCGAGAGTGTTTTTCGTGCTTCTGGAACCCTAAACCCTGAACCGTCTGGAAGCCTACAACTTTTGACTACGCAACCAAGACCTGAGCCCAAAAATGTCTTACAATCCCTAAAGAGGAACAAGCGTTTAAGTCCAAATGCGCCGAAACCCCTGTAAAATCATCGTGCCATAGAGTACAATCCCTACAACCCAAAGCCCAAAACCCAAAACTCGAGGTGATTGGCGCTGCGCTGAACCTCAGCACCAGTTGCAGCTGGAACGGCCATCCCGGGCTACAGGCCAGAGCTTCACAGTCGCCCTCAGGGTTTTAGGTTGCAGGGTTTAGGGTTTAAGCTTCGGGTTTGGTGAGTAGGGTGAAGGATGTATGCCATTTTTTGGTTCGCGGTTCTGTTTAAAGTCTGCAGTTTAGGGTTTAGGGTTTAGGGGTTGAGGGGTTTTTCGGAAATCAAATGATGTTCGAGACATAACCTTAGTGGGTGGATGCCCCCAAAAGAGTGCCCTGACCTTTCCGAAAGCACCCGCGCTTGGAGGATTGGCGGTTTAGCTTTTATGTACACTTACCTCAACCTACCACACCCTACCTTTTTGTAGGTTCTTGTTATAAACCCTCATATGGAGTTTTTTTGTGAATTTTTTGTAATTAGGAGGGTTATGATACGCTGGGCACAACCTCGCACAAATGCCCTGATCGGTACAGGAGAACCTGAACCCTTGAACACGGTATAGAGCCCTGAAGAAATTCTGCCCATACCCGTTTCGCTATTTTAAGAACTGTGACATCCTGGCGAATTTTGGTGTCAAGCAAGATTCTCCAAGGGCCTTTACCGCGTTTCGTAAGGGCTGGACATTGGGCTTGGAGGCCCCTGGGTTCGTGTCTACGACAGATACTTAAAGGATCATGGGACTTAGTAACTGGGGTTATAATTAAGTTTGCTCTACTTATAGCTACTTATAACCCCAGTTAAGGTACTTATAACCTTACTTACTAAGTCCCATGATCCTCCTAGTAAGGTTTATTGGCTTGGCTTTGTCTTGCGCTGGCGCCTAGAGTCACCCAGTTCTATGTTGGATCAGAATCATGTTAAAGCAGATAACCCTACACCATAAACCCCAAACCCCAAACCCTACCCTGAACCCTACGTGCTCTCGCTGCAGCGTATTAGGAAGACTCTGCTTGCGAGGTGACCCTCGAGAAGCCCCTGAGCTTCCAAGGCCGCAGCAGTTTTAGTTTTATCTGGACCCCCCAACGGCCCTTTAATAAAGCCCTTATGGTCCTTAATTGGGTATAATGGAGGATAGTTGGGAAACTACCATAAACAATTTTTCAAAGGTTGATGAACCCTAGTATACAATTAATAGTGACCCTACCGAAAAGCAGGTTTTGGTGGTTTAAGGTAGGATTTAGGGTTTTACGGTCCGGGGTGAGGATTTAGTTTTAAGGTTTGGTCGGTTAAGGTACCTTCTTTTAGCAGCTCCTAATAACGGATTAGGTTTTTTTTTGGGCCCCGCTCTAACCCGACCCCCGACCCCCGACCCATGCCCTGTCAGCGCTAGAAGTCCTGCTAGGGTTTAGGGTTTAGGGTTTAGGGTTTAGGGTTTGGGGTTTAGGGTTTAGGGTTTAGGGTTTAGGGTTTAGGGCTTAGGGTTTAGGGCTAGCTTTGAGTCCGAAGCCCCAAGCCCTAAATTCCCTCAGCCGACACGCAAAGCACAAAGTTAGCACATGCACAGGAAGCACACTTGGAGGATCATGGGACTTAGTAAGTAAGGTTATAAGTGCCTTAATTGGGGTTATAAGTAGGTATAAGTGGAGTTACCCCAATTATAACCCTAGTTACTAAGTCCCATGATCCTTCAAGCACACACTTCATCCTGCATCTTTGAAGCCTGGATGACTTTTCGTCTGAAGCTCCGGTTGCCAACGGGACGCTTGCTGTTGGGCCTGTGTTCATGCTCTTGTCAGACTACTACGGTTGATGATATAAATCCCGCATTACCCCTAGTAAGGAATCTACCATAATTCCCATGGTTTAGGGTCCTTAAGGTCATGCAGGATTTATATCATCAACTGTAGCCATCCTTGGCACTGGAAGAGTCAGCGAGGTCCTAAAAAAGGGTGCAGGGCCCTAATCCCTAAGGCCCGAAGGCCCGAAATCCTAAACCCTGAACCCTAAGGCCCGAAACTCTAAACCCTAAACTCTAAACCCCAAGGCCCTAAACCCTAAACCCTAAACTCTGAAGCCAAAGGCCCGAAATCCTAAACCCTGAACCCGAAGGCCCTCAACCCTAACCCTGAACCCAAAGGCCCTAAACCTGCAGTATGGTGTTTCGAATACGCAAGCGTCTCAATCCGGGAAGGCAGCTTAGTCTTGACGGGGGAGATACAGCTCATGGGCACGGCGACCCAGGAGACCGATGGACCATGCATCTTGGCAGCCTTCCAAGACCCCCCCAAAGGCCCGTTCATAGAGCCTTCTGGTCCTTAATAATGGGCATTTGGGGGAAAGAGGGTAGTGGAGGGGGGTCTAGGTTAAGACTCAGGTTTAGGGTTTGGGGTTTGGGTTCTCAAGAGTCCGGGAGGTGCCATCAGTCGCAAACTACCACATCCACACCTCACGTCCCCAAACCCAAACTGACCAGGGTTGACACCCAAACTCTAATTGAAAAAGCCTTGAGCCGCTGTAAGGTAAAAGCCAGAAAGTTGGAATATGATTATCCTAACCCTTCTATGGTAAATTATAGGGTATCCTACCATGAAACCATATTCCAACTTTCTGGAGTTCCCTGTAAAAGACCTGCTGAACCAGAGGCATCACGGTCCATGGCAAGATGTCGATGATAGCCGCGAACGTGAGCTTTGTTGGCTGCCGCAACGGATTGAAGGCTGGGTCGAGTTCCTACCGAAAGCCTGCAAGCTCTCTATGACCGACCAAGAGCCTGCAAGCTCTCCACGACCGACGGGTCTTGTTGGGTTTTCATTAGGGTTTCATCTATGGTTATAACCTATATTTTGGGGGACTTTTAAGCCTACTTATAACTACGCATGATCCTCCAAGTAGACCCTAAATCCTATACCCTTATAGAATCCCTAAAGATCCCTTTAAAGGGAACCCTTATGTATAGGTAGCTCATGAAGGTCCTTCGGGTTGTGGGCCTTGTGCCGGAAGGACTCAACGGCTTGAATTGGGCTTCCTTGGGAAGTTTCAGACGACCAGTCACCCCAACTACTTGGAAGGGCAGGGGACTTGGTAAGTAGGTTATAAGTAGAGTTATAAGTACCCGAAATGGAGGTTATAAGTAGAGTTATAAGTACCCTAAATGGAGTTACCCCCAATTATAACCCCACTTAAAACCTACTTACCCTGCCCCTCCAAGTAGACCCTAAACCCTAAACCCCATAGATCCCTTTAAGGAACCCTATAGATCCCTTTAAGGCAATTAAGACCCTACTTATGAACGACTTCCTAAGTCCCCTGCCCCTGCAAGTATCGACTGTTGAGCAGCTAAAAACTGCCCAGAGACTCCGATTTCTTTTAATTAAGGAGTATACCTTAAACTATAACAGGATCCCGAATATAATTTACGGAATATTGCGAATTTGAGGGACATTGTAGCCTCTGGCTGCTATATTTTGGTCCTACGTCTGCTTGTATGGGAAGTGGCAGTCTCAGTTAATCTCCGCAAATTCTGCTGTTCTCGTCTTGGCTTAAAGCTTCTGTAGATATTGCTGACCTTATTTTCCCTTTACAGTATTGAGCTTTCAGCAAGAGTAGAATCCTGTTAAAACCTGGAATCCCTTTAAAGAAGTCGCAAAGGCAGGGAGTGTTCTGGGTCTAACACTGAACCCTCGGCCCTAAACCCTAGGCTTCGCATCTTTAGGTGAAAATTCACATTCAGCCCCTTGCCAGGATGGCAAAGGCGGAGCTCTGTTCCTTCCTCCTTGTTGAGGAATACCATAAGGGCTTTCAGCGAGTTTTGCAGGGTTAAGGGTATCGAAAGGATCGTTAGGATATTCAATTCGTCTCAATAAATGCACATTGTAGGATTGTTTTTGGTGGTTTGTTTGGGCTTACAAGGGTTCCATGAGAAGCAACGCTTTTATCGTGGTGTCAATAGATTTTGTTCACTGGCATCCCCAAAACCCTAAACCCTCAACCCGAAAGCCTAAACCCTAGAACCCTCGACCCGAAAGCCCTAAACCCGAAAGACTTAAACTAGCAATAGCCCCCCCTAAACCCGAAATCCGATCGCGAATTCCCCAAACAATAACCCAGGTTCATCCACGAGGATCTGATCGCCAGCAAAAGCAGCATGAAGTTCGAAAACTGCGCAGCTCTTGGCCACGGTGCCTAGACCTTCGTTGTCTAGGGTTTAGGGGTTTAGGGTTTTGGGTTTAGGAGCATCTGACAGGAGTTTGGGTTTCGTGAAGAGGGCTTAAGGGGGTTTTGCAGGCTGTTTGTATCGGGCTTGATAAACGGTTTATAGGGAGTTGCGGGGCTTTCTAGGGTCCTGGCTAAAGAAGGTGTTCTGTGTATGAACCCCTTACATGATCTAAGCCAAACAAAGCTCCTTAAGGAAGAATCCTAGTAGCTTGCAGCCTTGGACGGTCCATGTCTCAAGGCCTCAAACTAAACCCTAAAACTCAACACCCAAAAGCCCTAAATCCTAAGGCCCTAAGCCCTCACCGAAAAAAGGCTATACCTGGCTTCAAGACGTTTGGTTGACGTAATATCTGATCCGGTGCACTCTGCACGTCAGAGCCTCCGGAAGATGACCATGTACGGGTAATCTAGTCTAGGGGCCTCCATAAGTAGAATAGCGTTTTGGGGTACGACGCATTGAAACCCCAAGCTTTGAACCCCAAGTCTACTAAACCCTCAGCCCGTAACCTTTAACCCTATACTCCAAACCCACCCTTCCCCCGCAGCACCCCCTTCAAGAAGGTCCTTGACAAGATTTGAAACACATTTGGGTGCCACTTCAGGGTCCCTACAAAGGATCTTAGTATACTTACTACCCCGTCGCTAGCAGTGTCTTCTGGAGTGAAACGGCTCCGAAGCCTAAGGCCCGCCAAGATTGAGGGTTTACTATAGGGGCCTAAATAATTACCTACACTGTTTTGGGGATTCCTTATTGTAATTAGAGTATAATGGGCCGCAAAACCCTATTCTCATTATTAAGGCCCTTCTATTATAGGGTTTAAACACCTAAGCCCTCAGCCCTGGAGCCTCCCACCTAGGCGGCGTCTACACTAAAGGAAGCCTAAACCCTACTTGGAGGTTCATGGGTAGTTATAAGTGGGGTTATAAGTAGGGTAGTTATAGTTATAACTCCTATTAAGGGATGTACAAGCGCACTTATAACTACCCATGAACCTCCAAGTAAAGCCCAGGCGGCGGCCTGTATACTCAAGGAAGCCTCTTCCAAGAGGGTCGCGGCACTATGGTCTTCGAGAGCTGCACGGCAGCAGGCGGCCTTTGGGTAGCTTAGAACTCGGAGAATGGGGCGTCTTCGTTTATTGATAGTTGTGATTCTTCGTATTGACAGCACTAGTAGTGGGCCCCCCCTCCTACCAATCACCTGGCGCCTTGACCCATCATCATGATCATCATCGTCAACGAACATCATCACAGCTTCAACAGAATAGAGGCGCGTGAAGGCTCCCTATCCGTGACAGCTGCAGAAGTTGCAGAGTCTCACACTCCTTATTTGTTACACCCGGTGAAGTTGCAGAGGCTCAGGCCCCAAAACCGCGACAGCAGCTAGAGTTGCAAACTCGACAGGGAAGAATCTGCTAAACCGTAGGTGGTCGGATAGCACGAAAACGCTGTAAATACCGTACAGAGCGCAGGTGCTGCTGAGAAGGTTTTAACACTCCTAAAACCTTAACCGCAACATTTTAAAAGCATCAAAAACAAAGATGCCAGCTGTACGTGGGAGGGGCTCGCACTAAAGCAGTGCGTGGAGATATTGTCCGGGGTGTCCGCAAAACACTGTGGTGAGCATCACCGGAAAAAGCTTCCGCCCAACCCCTTTCGGGTTTTTGCCGAAGACCCTCCGAAATCCCAACATCAAGTTCGGAAAGCCACATAGCTTTGGTGACTATATAGAATGGTCCTACATCACGAAAGTACTGTAAATAGCGGGAAAAGCTGCTCTTCTGGAGATATTGTTCGAGGTGTTTGCGTAACAATGTCGTCATCATCCCCGAGATCCCCCCAACCCCAACCAAAAAGCAAGTCCAAGATCTGAAGCTCGAACTCGCAAGTCGAGTTTGAGGCTTCATAAGATGCTCCTGCATGACGAAAGTACTGTACATGCTGAGTAAAACGGATGTGCTCGAGAAGAGTATTTGGGAGGGGTGGTTGGTAGGGTAGTACTAGTACTAGTACTTCTAGTACTAGTTAGTATTAGTACTACTAGTACTAGTACTACCAGTGCTACTGTTGATGGACAAAATCCTGCATTACTCATTATGAAGTATACCATAGGTCCCATAGTTTAGAGTCCTTAGGGTCACGCAGGATTTTGTCCATCAGCAGTATTGCTGTTGCTTGTGCTATTGCTATTACTATTGTTATTGTTATGGGTATTATTTCTGTTAGTTCTGGAGTTATTGGTATTCTTATTGTTATTATGATCAATACTGTTGTTTTTTATTGTCATTCTCATCATTACTATTACTTGCATCACTAGATTCGTCTAAGTTACTAAGCTCCTAAACCCGAAGCCCGATCTATCTGGTTTATGTTAGAACTTGGCCACGATTCGGCCTCAGCTTAAAGGCGACTTAGTAAGTAGAGTTGTAAGTAGGGCATCCCCCCAACCCAAAAAACCCTAAAGAATCTGCCGTGAAAAAAATTCCGGTCAGCAGGGGCCCTCGTGCAAGCCCTATGTTTTGGGATCATCGTTTTAAGTTATATCGGGGGCTAAGTGATTACTCTACCCATATCATTTTTGCAGGGGCCTTTATGCCTTATTATCACAGTATTAGGAGATACTCCCCCCGAAAAGCCCTGTTCTAACTATTACAGTCGAAGCCCAAAAGTTGGAAACCCAATGGCCTCAATCCTTAAGAGTAATGTATAGGGAGTTCCAGCACTAATTGTCCTTCAGCCGGTTTCCAACTTTATGGGGTTTACTATAATGCCCCTGAGGCTCTAAGGACCTTAAACCCTAAACCCTAAACCCTAAAACCCTGAAGCCCTAAACCCTAAAATCCTCAAACCCCAGCCCTAAAACCCTAAACCCTAAAACCCCAAAACCCTCAAACCCCAAACCCTGAAACCCTAAAACTCTAGAACCCTAAGCTCTAAGGAGCTCATGTCTTGAAGCCTCCTGGGATGGTGGGGCTGGAAGGCAATTCCTGTAATCTTCCCTACTTTTGGGGCGTGAGAGAACTTAAATGATCCCGGGACTTACAGGTTAAAGGGATTTATAGGGTTCCTTAAAGGGATCTATGGGGTTTAGGGTTTAGGGGTGAGTTAAATGATCATGGGACTTAGTAAGAAGGGTTATCATTAGGGTAACTCTACTGATACCTATGTATAGCCCCAATTCAGGTACTTATAACCTTGCCTACTAAGTCCCATGATCCTCCAAGTACTGTTGGGGGCGTGAGAGAAGTGTTGTGGTAGGTTCTACTACAAGTAGACTAAAGAGTTTGGCGGAATAGTACCGCTACTTCGTCATAGTTGGGTAACATTTTAGTTTTTTATGGGTACCTAAAGCCAGGAATAAAGAATACGACTTTTAATATCATCCCAACCATGAACTAGATTACTTCTTAAGGTTTCTGTAGTACTTAGCGGTTCGTGGGTAGATGCAAGCAAGGCATGTTGATCTTAAAGTTCCCCATTCACTCCTATTCAAGATACAGGTACCAGAAACCCTCTCCCACCCAAGAACCTCCAAGTACGCCCCAAACCTCATGGACCCTAAGCCCCCAATTTGCCTTGAAGTAGCCTGTGAACGACCCAAGCCAGATGATGGCGGCGGCGCGCATGTGGTGGAGAATTTCACACAGGTTCGTCGCACAAAAGTAAAACCTTAATCCTAAACTCAGGGGAAATGACCCTACACCCTAAACACTAAACCCTCAACTGGAAACAAGACCTTGAGCCCTAAACTTGGAGCCAGGGGCAGCTAAGATGAGGGTGAATTGGTGGGTGTTGAAGGGCATGTTCGCACCACGGCACGGGCTTCGGGTCAAGAGGCAGAACTACACCACTAGATGGGAGTTTCCAAAAATTGGGCCAACCTTCCTTTGGGATTCCTATAATAAGGATCCTTCTTTTTTGGGCACTATGTTAGCGTCCCCTATTTTCGAAGACTCCCAGGTGGGGAGTGCAAGGATGTGGAAGGTTGAACTTCGGCTGCAGGGTTCCTGAGAGGCCAGAGGTCGTTAAGGGCCAATGGCCTTCCACAATGCGGATTCCCGACGTCAGTACTGCTGTTGGACAGAACACGGCGTTCAAAAAAATAAAAGACTCGGAGCCTTCAGCCTTAAACTCCAAACCCTGAAACCCTTTGACAGGGACCCAACAGCTCCGCCATCTTCCGAAATTGCAAATCGCAACGGCGAAACGGAGCCTGGACAGCAAGCTAGGATTGAAGGCAAATAGGGTTCAGGACTTAGGGTTCAATTGGGGCTTAGGGGGTCAGGGTTCAGAGTTGAAGTTTAAATCGGGCTTGAGGAGGGCTTTTATGGTTCAGGGTTTGGGGCTTAAGGTTTGGGGATTACACTTTGTGCAACTGGTTGATCTCCGTTCTGGCCCCATAGAGGTATTTATTGTCAATACTTTTGGGGGCCCTTAACTTGCCCCTAAACCCTAAATCCTAAAAATCAAAAGCAGGTCGGCGGAGCTGTTGGCGGTGTCTGCATTGCAGGAATCCCAAAACCCTGCAACCCAAACCCTAACCCCCAAACCACAAAACCACTAAACCCAACCTCCGGCTGAAGCTAAGTCCCTGAACCCGATATGTCGTAAGCCGTAAGGCTTAATCCTAAGGGTTCGTAGAGAGTTCTATAGCAACGGTTTAGGGTTTAGGGTTTAGAGTAGGGTAAGGGAACCCTACAAGGGATCGGCGCGGGTCGTGCAGGGTCCAGAAAGTTCAGGCTTCGGGGTACTTAAAGGATAAGGGGACTTCGTAACTAGGGTTATACTAAGGGTAACTCTACTTATAGCTACTTATAACCCCAATTAAGGTACTTGTAACGCTTACTTACCAAGTCCCATGATCCTCCAAGTAGACCCTAAACCCTAAACCCTATAGATCCCTCCCTTGAAGGAACCCTATAGATCCCTTTAAAGAGCCCTTTAAGGACCCCTTACCAAGTCCCATGATCCTCCAAGTACCTGGACTTCGGGGCTTCCCTTGATCCAACTTCTTGGCCTGGTCTTGGACTCCAAGTCTCTCTCTCTCTCTCTCTCTCCTTCTGCCTGCCTGGATGGATGGATGGATGGATGGCTGGATTGATGGATGGATGGGTGGGTGGGTGGGTGGATGGATGGATGGATGGAATGGATGGATGGATCCCTCCCTCTCTCTCAATCTGCTGTTTATGGCTTGTGAGGTGAGCCTCTCTTCAAGGTAGCCTGTGGTTGAAGCTCCCGCCACCTCTGAGCAAGTGCCCACAAGGAGGCGGCCTCCGTGCATCCAGCTATACGCAGGGAGCAGGGAGTTCGGTGCTCTTCGAGCACTGCTCGGCACGGTACGGCGCCCTGGCGAGGATGTACACGGATTGCTGCAGTAAGTATCGAATTCGGATGTTCTCGTGATGGTTACATAGGGGCCTCAATGTCTTAACCATTAAAACGTGGTGCTGATGACAGTTGCTATGTTTAGGGGCGATAAGTATATATATATATATATGTATGTATATGCAAGAGAAGCCTTTACGTATTATGTGACGCTTCTATGTGACGCTTCTATGTGACGCTTCTCTTTCTTGAGGGCAGGGCTTCAATAGTCTCAACAGTCTTGACAGTTCCGGAAAGTTCCGAAAGTTTTAAAGGTTTCAAAAGGGTACGGGAGGACGCTGGGCAGGGTTTCAAAAGTTTCAACCGTTTCGATACTTTCTTTCCAAAGTTTCAACAGTTTTAAATTTTAAAGGATTCAAAAGGTACGGGATGAGGGTGGGAAGGGTTTCAATAGTTTCAACAGCTTTAATACGGTTGATGATATAGATCCTGCATGACACATAATAAGGAATATACCATAATTCCCATCGTTTAGGGTCCTTAAGGTAATGCAGGATTACTATCATCAACGGTAGGTTTAAAAGTTCAGCCTCGGCCGGCGGACTATGGAAACTTTTGAAACCCTCGGGTTGAGGCTGAACTTCTAAAAAAGGTTTCTTGAAACTTTTGAACCTTAGAAACTTTTGAAACCCTGCCCACCCTCATCCCGTCCCCTTCGAAACAAAAAAGAGTACTGACACTATTGAATTCCCCAACAGCGGGTGCCCTTGGGGTTTGCTATCTGGTAAGGCCAAGGTCGGTGACTAGATTTGTGTCTGGGGTCGCGGAGAGTTAAGGGATGTGTGCGCGCACTCCTCAAACTTTTTGCCCCGGCAATTAAACATAATCTTCGGTAGTTACAAAGTGGTCTTCGGGGAGCGCACCGGGAAGGGAAGATAGCGCCGTGCAGGCTGAGGGTACGAAACGTCCCTTGCTTTGTGGCACAGAGGAAGTAACATAGCGGCGGGCAGTCGGAGCGTAAGAAATGCGCCTTGCTTTGCGAAGTGCCATACTTGGAAGGGCAGTGGACTTAGTAAGTAGGTTATAAGTAGAGTTATAAGTACCCTAAATGGAGCTACCCTAAGTATAACCCTACTTATGAGCGACTTACTAAGTCCCCTGCCCTTCCAAGTAGGGAGGAGGGCAGGGTCCCAGGTACTGCGATTCCGACGGTGCTCAACAGACCCGAACAGCGTGGGAAATCATGAGCTGGTGTGCAAACGAAATCAACAGGGAGATTCCGCAGGAATTGAAGCAATGTTGTGGATATGGGCAGGCATAGGCATGTCGTGCACTATACATCCACCCTAGACGGGGCGAGAACTGAACTTACGGGGTGCGGGCTCACCGTAGGTAAGGGTTTGCGGGACAGTTTAGCTTGTACCATCTTTTACTTCCATTTGCCACATTCTTAACTTGTCCTTGGAGTAGGGTGTGGACGTGCCATGGCGTTGATTTTAACATGCAAGTCGTTATATAAAGCGGGTCTACACAGTTTGAAACGTTCTTCTTGGGGTTCCTTACTATACTTGTAGCAGAATGTGACCCGAAATCTTGTTGAGCTTCTATACTCTAGCGCCGCTTCTAAATTGCTGCGCCTGTGAAGATGTGCCTATGCCTGCCCAACACCTCAACATTGCTTTATGCCTGTGGAGTAGTCTTTTCGATCTCGTTTGCACACACGACTACACGCACGCTGTTGGGGTCTGTTGCTGCTGAGACAGTCTATTGAAATTTTCAACAGAGGGCGGGCAGGGTTTCGAACATTTCAATAGTTTCAAGAGTGCCAAAAGATTCAAAAAGTATGGGATGAGGGTGGGCAGAGTTTCAATAGATACAAGTACGGGATGAGGGTGGGCAAGGTTTCAAGAGCTTCAAAAGTTTCAATAGTTTCAGATACCCATGCGTATTAGACACATCATGCCTCAGGCGGTGGCCTCTTCCTCACTCAGAGCTACAAGCAGGAACTTGGGAGTTCGGCGGTTTTCGATAACTGCGAAGCATCGATTGGCACCTTGGCTGTCCAGGCTTTTGTCGGCCAAAGGAAGTAAACAGACGAATTGGTGCAATCCGGCGTCGGATGGGCACATGAGGCCCCACCCCCCCCAGTCACAGCCGGCGTATGTGGGAGTTTCCGAAAATAGGGGTACCTGATTTGGGGGTCCTTATGATAAGGATCCTACTATTTAGGGTACTATATAAGGGTCCCCTAGATCGGGAAACTCCCATGTCTTCATATATATGTCTTAATATGGGTGGTTGTCAAAATTAGGGTACCTTTTTGGGTCCCTATTATAATACGGCACGTATTATTTAAGGTACCCCAAAAAGGGGCCATAATTTTGACAACTACCCATATAGAGAGGCCCTTCAGGATTCAACGGTGGGCCTTCCTTCGGGTTTTGGCCTTTGACAGTGCCGAGCTACCTGTGACAAAGGTTGAGGGTTTAGGGTTTAGGGTTTAGGGTTTAGGGTTTAGGGTTTAGGGTCGTTGCGTTTCTTCGGTTTCTGAGGCCTTACCGGGAAAGCCTGAGCTGTCGAAGCTTTTACAGCGGAGCTTAGAAGTTGAACCGTTTATAGTGTAACCAATATCCAGCGAGGCAAGCTTTTTTTGTCCAGCTTGCCTGTTCCAAGTTGTTTGGGGGAAGAGGCTGCGCCCTAAATCCTAAACCCCGCTGACCCTCCTTGAACAAAGGAGTTCAACCGAAAATGCTAAAGCCCTAAACCGCAAAACGCTAAACCGTCAATCCTAAACCCTAAGCGCAGACCTTTCGGGCAATGCAGAAAAACCCTAAGCTAAACCCCAAAAATTTCCTTCTCAGTATCTTGGGGAACCCAGAAGCCCAACACCTCAGCACCAGACCTGAATTTTGTTCTGCCTAAATCGGACAGCCGCTGAACCCTCTAGAGCCGACTGGTCTGAAATGTCTGAGTTTTGCAGAGGATTTTACTTAGGCGTACTTAGAAAGAATTTTGAATTCTTGGTTATTATAATCCCTAAGAAACAGCTAAAATCACAATTTTTGCCAGGGTTCTAAGTTCAGTATAGTTTACATTACATTGTTATAGTAACGTGTGCATTAGAGCTCTGCAGTAGATAACTTCGTTTCCTCAGCGTTGCAAAAAACGAAGCTCCTGGAGAAGAGCCCAAAAATTAGTAGATTTTAATCCTTAGTGCAGAATATTGGGTTATAGAGGTCTGCATAGCTAGCAACGGCACCCTAATGGCTAGGTCATAGTCTTTATATTATACATATAGTCGAACATGGGGTCTAGGATTCATAGGGTGGCCACTAAACGCTAAACCCTAAACCCTAAACCGTACCTATGCTCCTGATCCGAGCCGTCAGCCAGATGGTGGCGGCGTCTGCTTGCAGAATGGTGGCTTCCGCCAGGGTCCCAACAGCTCTGTGCACTTCCGGAGTTGCGCGGCCACGCGCGGAGCCTTGGTGCGTAAAGATGGAGCCCTAAACCTCAGCCCTCGATTCTAAGGCTCGAAGTTGTCATGCGACGTGGTGGCGCCGGATTGCAGGAAGCCTAAACTTACGCCTAAACCCCGGCGTTGGCGCTGAAACTTCCAAAAACAAGTGGATTGACAGACTTCAGAGTGCCCAAAGCCCTAAACCAGGAGTAACACAACAACCTTAACACCTAGACCTAAAGCCACGAAACGTCTTAAACCCTATAAAGCATAAAACCCTCTTGGTTCAAGGCTCAAGCCTCAAGGGGCTCCATTTTGCCTCACCTCCCTGTTCGCCTCTCAGCGGGATGGAACCGGACGACCCTGGATGTCGTGCCTCGCCGCCGGGGCTGGCGCTGGACCTGGGAGTACTTCGAGGTTTGTTGGAGAAGCAGAGTCAAACATTACAGGCATCGAGCCATCAAATGTTTGAAAGCGCAATCTTTGACATTGGGAGGAAGCTGATGTCGTTGTTCGATGTACTTCAAGACAAGATTTCTGCACTAGGGGAAGCTAGCTGTACACTCACAAAGTGGTGCCAGGGGTTGGAAGCGAAACTGCAGAAAAGTTGACGATGAAGAGGAAGACGCGCTCGTACGGTCACTCGCATGTGGATGTTTTCTGAGCAGTCGGGTGGAATGCGCCGGGACAATATCGGCAGCTGCAGTGGCTCCCGTGTGCAACGAGCGGAAGAAGAAGCGGACCAGAGGAAGGAAAAACGCCAAGGTTGTGATCACGGAGTTTGAAAACCAACATGCACAAGAGGGGTGGATCGATGCCAGCAGAGATTTGGAACACCGACACACCCGTGGGGCTGCACATGGCCTGCGTGGGGCAAATCGTGCCCACAAGTAATAAGGATACGGACGGCAACTTCAACACCGAAGGTCATACGATGCTGGAGGACGCACACCAGAGCTCTTCTAAACGTGCTCGCGCGTGGGACTGGGTTAGCACGCGTTGGAGCCGGGGCCAGGAGACTCGCGGAAGGTGGCACATCCGCATCGATGGCATGGACATGACTTCACAAGCTGGAGATGCAGCAAACCTTCTTGGTATGGGGAAAGACGAATGACCTCCGGCACATGGCGTGGAAGGCCCCGGAAAACAATGCAGGAGGCCTGGATCGATGTGCCAGTGTGTTGCTGCAGACGAAACAATTGGAGTGGGCAGAGGGTACTCTTGTGTGTGGTATTGGAAGGGTGCCAAAGCGCATGAGCTTGCAACATGACTTGAGTAATGTTGATGGACACCTACAATGATTTCACGATGGAAGTTTGCTTTGCCCTGCTTGGGTTGACTGGTCGATTGTTTGAGTGCAGGGGTGCCTGACACAGAAGACCAAAAGCTTTCAACTGCAGTGTATCTTTTGGAGCACAGTGAGCGGGTACTGCTGACGGGTTTTCTACGGTCGTCTAAAATGGATGACCTTCTGACTCACGGCTCTTTTTTCTTTCGGGGCATGGAGATGTCGAGAATCTTCCAGTATTCGCACCATGTGCATGGCTCAGTCTGACATGGCTGGGGTTCGACTTTGCATGTGCGTGCTTACAGGAGTCGAATTTGCCTGTCCAAAATGGGCTGCGAAGCGCGAAGAACCCCCCCCTCCCCGCAAAACAAACTGTAAAAACCCCTCCTGCTGGCCGAGGAGGCGGCATCTTCGTGGCGCAGGACTACAGCTACCAGCAGGAAGTCGGGAGTTCGGCGGTGTCTGGGTTCTTGTTAAAGAACCTGATTTAAGTTACCCTTTTAAGGAAGACATATTATTTACGATAGATCCCTATTCTGGTAACTTAAACTAAATTCCAGAACAAGAGCCCAGGTGTTCCATCACTGCAGTGCAACAAGTCGAGGCACCTTGGCAGTCGAGGGGTTAGGGTTCGATCTAGAAGCCAAAGCGTTCTTGAGAAGGCCCCCTAATGGTTTCTATGGGGTGTTAAAGTTTCGGGTGTAGTTCTTCCCTCGGGCTCCCCATATTAATCTTAGTTACTGTGATAAGATACACCAAAGCATCCCCAAAGCCTTTTGCTAATTACTAAGGCATCTATACCAGGATGCAGGACAGGCTTACGGATTGGTCTTAGGCCGCTCGTGAGAATCATTCCGACACAATCTCCATGACCTTCAAGACGAACAAGAACGTATTGTTGAAGTTCTCCCAGAACACTTCAGTATATTAAAGCCACTTCACGACAAAGCCTTCAAAAAATCTTTATGCCCGGAAACTTTCAAAGGCAGCTCCACACCCGAAATACCAAATCATTCAAAGAGCAGCCCGGTTATCCTGCATGCAAGCCTACAACAGTATAGCCCAAATCATAACACATGGCCTCGGCTTCGTATGACTTGTAGTCAGTTTTCGCCATGGGCAACATATACCCGAAGTTTCGCGCTTGATCGGCGGTTGTTCAGCTTGTTAAGGACGGACGGCTTGATTTGTCACCGGGCCCCAGCAGATCTTGAAGTCCCCAAGTCTTCGATGCATGCAGCCGCTTTCTGCCTAGGCGGCGGCCTGTACACTGAAGGAAGCTTCTCTCAAGAGGGCCCGAGCACGGTGGTATTCGAGAGCTGCACCGTGGATACTGCGAAAAATGACCGGGATGGAGGCTCCGTCGCTGCTGACAGTTTATGATGAAGACCTGGTTTCAACAATAACTCGCCTTTCCAGGCCCTAAGTCCTAGACGTGACCCGGACACAAAACTTTTATGCTAAACCGTAAAGTGTCTCCCACCCAGAGGCGGCGGCGCCTTTGTCAGGAACATGAGTTTCTTGGTTCTTGTTCAGAGAATAGGTTCAACGCAAGTTTGCAGAGAAGTGAGGTATGACACATTAGCATGGTAGTGGGTTACCGTTCTGGGGCGTCTGGGCCTTCTTGGATCCCTCCACAAACCCCAAACTTTAGTCCCTAGAAACCTTAGAAACCCCAACAACAGAAAACGTAAATTCTAAAGGGCACTTAACTTACCTTTAGTTAGTAACTTCCGAAAGGTAAGTTAATTTGAGTTCCTCCAGACGAACAAAGGTTTCGGTCGGAACTGCTCGGCGCATTTCCGGGACTGCGCGGCGGCCGACGAATCTGGAGCCGCTGGCCCCAGCCTTAGGATTAGTGCAGGAGCGAATAAGATTTCTTTAAGGCTTCCTTTTAGAGGGATTTACACGGGTACTGTAAGGGTATTATAAGGTTTTGATAAGGTGGCATTAATGGGGGTATATTATTGTATACGTAGCATAGGGTTCCTTTAAGGTTCTGTAAGGGCTAATTACAAAAAGGAGGTTTGCAGGGTCGAATTGGGTTTTTGCATTATTGTAGTGGAACTATGTTCAGGAATAGCACCGGTAATTTCTTCGGGGTTAGACTCTAGGGTTGAGGGTTGTGGCTTCTTGCAGGTTCGCTGGCGAGCAAACTCTCAGTCGGTTGAGATGTGGGGCGCCTCTCAAGCCACTGTTTCCCAAACCTGTGGCCCTTCGTGAGTGTCTTGATGGTCTGACAACAGAATCGCAAGCTGTCCGCACAAAACCGCCCAAGTTCCAACCTTCATTTGCAGACAGGCCTGCCGGACCCGCTGCCCAGGCACTCCCAGCATTTTGAAGGCTTTCGCGAGAAAGCCCACAAGCTTTCCAACCAAGGCTTGCCCGGGCCTCCCAAGCAAGGCCTCCCTCTCGTGGACTGATGAAATGTAGGGGCCTTAAGAATTAGAATAGGGTTTGGGGTATACTATAACTATAAACAGGAACCCCCAAACCCTATTCTAATTACCAAGGCCCTTACATTAACCACCTTTCATGCCCACCTCGTTTCCCTGGCCAATTTTTTCAGGAAAACATTTCTTTTTGTTGTGGCCGTCCTTTCGCCTCCTCTGGTTCCGTGGCCACCGTTTTCGTGGGCCTCGTCTTTCCCACCAGCCTTTTCGTGATGCCGATTCGTGGCCCGCGGCCCCTTCTTTTTGCGTTCGTTGGGGATAGGCCTCAAAAGCCGAACATTCATCACGAAATTAAAAATGCAAACAGAGTGGATATGCATCAAAACGTAGTTCAAGGCGCGAACCGCGGACAGATACAATAGATAATGAAATCCATAATAATTTACTCAGCAAGTCATGCAGAAAGAAACAGCGAGCCCAATACTAACGGATAACTGAAGAACCAAAGAAACAAGAAACAGCGACCGAAAGAATGGAGTACACAAACGCAGAAAGATCGAAATCACTATCGAACGACCGAGTAGCGAGCGAGAGACACAACACATGCTCAAATCAATCAATCAACGCAGAAAGAGAGAAAGGCAGAGCGCCCACCCACCACTTCATGGAGGGGTCGAAAACGCACTGACAGCGAACACCCTAAACCCCAAACCCTAAACCCTCAGCGTCCATAACCCATGGGACTTAGGCTCAGGAGGCGGGCTCTTCTCCAATGGCTATCGGCAGGAAGCAGGAAGCTCAGTAGTCTTCGAGAATTGCGCAGCCGCGTACGGTGCCTCGGCTTTCGGATTTAGGGTGTCGGGTTTAGGGTTTAACCATGGCTTGCAAAGTTCAATCGCCATAATTCTTTAATCCTGCACCCAGAACTTGCGCCATAGTTTTTGTAAGGGTTTGTGAGACAAGAGAGTTTACAGGGGTGTTCAATGGTTTATGGAGTTCAATATCCCTTGACTTGGGACCCCTTGTTTGTGACCTACGGTACTTGAGGGATTAATCCCTATTGTTGACGATATAAATTCTGCATTACCTGAAGGACCCTAAACTATGGGAATTATGGTATACTGTATTCCTTATTAGGGGTAATGCAGGGTTCATATCATCAACCGTAGTGACGGGTCTGGAGTCTCTGGGAAGACTTTGGTGGTCCTCAGACGTTTCGATCAGGGTTCTGCGGTCTTGTTCGTAAAGCAAGAATATGGGAGTTTCCGAAAATAGGGGGTACCTTATCTGGGGGTCCTTCTAATAAGGATCCTACTATTTAGGGTACTATATTAGGGTCCCCTATTTTTGGAAACTCCCATATAGTGGAGACGATGAGGTGCGGTTGAGTTTGATTAGAGTCTAGCCCCTAAACCCTAAACCCTAAACCCTAAACCCTGAACCCTAAACCGCGTTGGCGGCTCCCGATGCGAATTACCGTAAGCTTGGATTATCGGTGCGCCAAGCTTCCAAACCCTAAGCCCTAAACCGCCTCCGACATCCTTTTATCTTAGCCTGGGTTTCAGGGTGTGACATGTCGAGTTTCGGATCATGGTTTGTGGCGGGCCTTCTGCAAAAAATATCTCATGACGAGTTGGGGTGACGCCGGTTGATGATATAAATCCTGCATTACCTTAAGGACCCTAAACTATGGGAATTATGGTATATTCCTTATTAGGGGTAATGCAGGATTTATATCATCAAGCGCACGCCTGGGTTTGGGGCCGTGGGGGTCGGCTGTGGCCTCGGTTTTGCCTTCAAACCGTAATCCTAGAAGTAGAGTGGGTGACCTTTAGCCTTTTTATGGGGTAGTATAGTCCCTACATAGCCAAAAAGTTTAACCTTTAGTTCCCCATGATACCCGACAAGTAGGTAATCAACAAGACCTTCAAGTAAAATCCGTATGCCTTAAATCCTCGAAGCTGTTATATCCAAACGTCAAGCCCCAAATTCCAAAGAACCCCTTAAAAACCTTAAAGGAATACGGCGCCCCGGGTCTTACCGAACCCTTGGAAGCCACAAAGGAGCCCTCAAGTCAATCCTGGGCTTTTTACAAGGGGTTCAGTGCTCGGGTTTTCAACCCCCTGATACAGCCTTTCAAGGAACCCTGAATCCTACACCCCCTTAAATGAAACCTTAAGGGAACCCTTATAGAACCCAATATAGAACCCTGAAAAGAGATCCTAATAAGGATTCCGAAACCCTAAACCCTAAACCCTAAACCTAGATCCCTTTAAAGGAACCCGTATAGAATCCCTATAGATCCCTTTAAAGGAAGCCTAAGGGAGCCTCGAATCCGCAGGAGGCGGTCTCCGTGCCGTGGACTTCCAGCAGGAAGCTGGCAGCTCCGCATTTTTCGACAACTGCAGGGCAGAGCGGAGCGCTATGGCTTCCGTAGTATTTCTTTTTTTCTTTTTGGGATTCTCGGGTTTCGAGTTTAGGGTTTTGCTTTTGGGGTTCTTGGGTTTAGGGTTTAGGGTTCTGCTTTTGGGGTTTTTTGGGTGATATGGGAGTTTCCGAAAATTCGGGGGTACCTTATTTCGGGGTCCTTAGAATAAGGATCCTACGATTTAGGGTACTATATTGGGGTCCCCTGTTTTCGGAAGCACCCATATAAGAGTCTTACGGTTGATGATACAAATCCTGCATTACCCATAATAAGGAATATACCATAATTCCCATAGTTTAGGGTCCTTAAGGTAATGCAGGATTCATATCATCAACAGTAGGTGTTGTAGGATGTCAAGGGTTTCAGGGTTTGAACGTTGAGGAGGGGTCCTTCAATTTCGCGTTTTCCTAAAGAGGCATCCTGCTTTTTGGTGTTGAGAATCACGGTATCCCATAGTTACTGCAGATGTGCTGCTAAGCCCTAAGATTTAACGTTAGGGCGTAAGGGCTGGGGATGTACTTCGGAAGGATTCACGGGGACGGTTTTACCTTGCGCAGGTCCTTGGGTTAAGGGCAAACACAGCGGTGTCAAAGAAAAGGGCCAGGCTCGCAAAATAAAAACAATCTCAGCAATCGAACCCAAACTCGAAGTACCCTAAACCCAAAGCCCATAATCCGAAGCGCTCAACCTTCAGAACCCTCCCAGGTGGCGGTGGCGTGAAAGCGCAAACGTTCTTCCGACAGGGGCCCAACAGCTCTCTGCGGTTCAGAGCCTGCACCGCCGAAGGACAAAGGGAAGCTTACTTAGAGGATCATGGGACTTAGTAAGTAGGGTTATAAATAAGGTAGCTATAGTTATATCTACTTGTAATTATAACCCCAATTAAGGTACTTCTAACCCTACTTACTAAGTCCCATGATCCTCTAAGTAAAGAACGCCAAGCCCGAAACCCGGGGTCCGAAGCCCAAACCCCAAGCCCTACCCCCTAAACCCGAAACGGCTAAACCCTGAACCCAACTGGGTGACGACCTGAGGGTAAGCCTTTATAGGCAAGACAGACCTCTGCGGAGAGAAGGTCCGATCCCCTTCAAAAAAAAAGCCCTGAACCCCAAAACCTTAAAGCCCGCAGCCCCAAACGCCTAAACGTTAATCGCCGAGTAGACGGAGGAAGAGGAGGTGGCCTCACTACTGAGCAGTACCAACAGGAAGCCAGGAGCCAAGCTCGGGGCTCTTTCGGGATTCCAGGTTACCCTAAACCCGAAATCCTCAACCCCAAGCTCTTCAACCTAAACCCTATAACCCAGGGAGCTAAGATAAGCTTTAAAGCTGCCATAACAACCCGAGGATAAGGGGTTCCTACAGGGATTTGTCGGGTTTGTTTTAAGGGCTTATGAGGTTCTGAAGGGGTTTCTATGAGAAAGCACAGCGGTCTACCGGGTTTATAGGCTTCTGAAGGGTTCTTGATTGTTTTCAGTGTTTCACAATGGGTTCTGTGTACAACTCCAATAACAAGATCCTTTTATGGGTCCTAAGCTCTCAAAGCCATAAAGGCCCTAAACCTATTAAAACCAAACAGGTCTAAAACGCTTCACACCGCTAAATCTGGAAAGAGGCCATTAAACAAGCACGCCTGCAACCCTACGGCACCCGACAAACGCACGCGAAACGAAGGCCTACTGCAGCAGGACGAAAGTTCGTCGCATCGGGCAGTTCAGCTAACATGCACTTGTAAGCCCCTTTTCCCCATAGACTCCTTCACGAAGTCTCGAGTTGATGCCTGGACATCTGCAGTTCCTCTTTTTGAACAAAAACGTACTATATGTCTACTCCAGCACAAAATTCCTCCGCTGCCCAGGCCACGTAAAATGCACTTGCTGGTACATACTCCGAGTCCTCCGCCAAGCAAAGACATCTTCGTGCGACAAAACTTTCATCCTGCTGATGTAAGCCACAAGCCCAAGCCATAAATCCTAAACCCTACTGGGGTAGGTGGTGTGGTGGTTGAATCCCGCAGGTGCTGTCATGGCAGTGTAGCCTCAGCCTGATCAGGCATTCCGATCAACACAAGTGGGCGAGAGGAAAGGGGCCCGTAAAAAAAAAAAAAAAACAGAAACCATATGGGTGGTTGTCAAAATTAGGGCCCCTTTCGGGTACCCTAAATCTTAGGTGCCGTATTATAATAGGGACCCAAAAAGGGACCCTAATTTTGACAACCACCCATAAAACCCCAAAGCCCGAAGCCCTACACCCGAACCGCGAAGGCCGGGAGTGCGGCAGCTTTTGAGGCTTGCTCAGCGGCGTATGGCGGCTTGGCGGTGGATGGGGAGAACGGGATGTAGGGTTTTAGGGCTTGGAGTTTGGGGTTAAGGGCTTTCTACAGTTTTGGATAGACGGGATGTAGGGGTTTTAGGGCTTGGAGTTTGGGGTTAAGGGCTTTCTACAGTTTTGGATAGACGGGATGTAGGGGTTTTAGGGCTTGGAGTTTGGGGTTAAGGGCTTTCTACAGTTTTGGATAGACGGGATGTAGGGGTTTTAGGGCTTGGAGTTTGGGGTTAAGGGCTTTCTACAGTTTTGGATAGACGGGATGTAGGGGTTTTAGGGCTTGGAGTTTGGGGTTAAGGGCTTTCTACAGTTTTGGATAGACGGGATGTAGGGGTTTTAGGGCTTGGAGTTTGGGGTTAAGGGCTTTCTACAGTTTTGGATAGACGGGATGTAGGGGTTTTAGGGCTTGGAGTTTGGGGTTAAGGGCTTTCTACAGTTTTGGATAGACGGGATGTAGGGGTTTTAGGGCTTGGAGTTTGGGGTTAAGGGCTTTCTACAGTTTTGGATAGACGGGATGTAGGGGTTTTAGGGCTTGGAGTTTGGGGTTAAGGGCTTTCTACAGTTTTGGATAGACGGGATGTAGGGGTTTTAGGGCTTGGAGTTTGGGGTTAAGGGCTTTCTACAGTTTTAGATAGACGGGATGTAGGGGTTTAGGGCTTGGAGTTTGGGGTTAAGGGCTTTCTACAGTTTTAGATAGACGGGATGTAGGGGTTTAGGGCTTGGAGTTTGGGGTTAAGGGCTTTCTACAGTTTTAGATAGACGGGATGTAGGGGTTTAGGGCTTGGAGTTTGGGGTTAAGGGCTTTCTACAGTTTTAGATAGCGGGATGTGGGGGTTTAGGGCTTGGAGTTTGGGGTTAAGGGCTTTCTACAGTTTTAGATAGACGGGATGTAGGGGGTTTAGGGCTTGGAGTTTGGGGTTAAGGGCTTTCTACAGTTTTAGATAGACGGGATGTAGGGGTTTAGGGCTTGGAGTTTGGGGTTAAGGGCTTTCTACAGTTTTAGATAGACGGGATGTAGGGGTTTAGGGCTTGGAGTTTGGGGTTAAGGGCTTTCTACAGTTTTAGATAGACGGGATGTAGGGTTTAGGGCTTGGAGTTTGGGGTTAAGGGCTTTCTACAGTTTTAGATAGACGGGATGTAGGGGTTTAGGGCTTGGAGTTTGGGGTTAAGGGCTTTCTACAGTTTTAGATAGACGGGATGTAGGGGGTTTAGGGCTTTGGAGTTTGGGGTTAAGGGCTTTCTACAGTTTTAGATAGACGGGATGTAGGTCTGCTTTCAGGAAGCTCGGGGTTTTGGGGTCTTTCATCGCGCTCTAACCCCAACCCTAATAGCGATCATAAACCCCACAACCCGTAGTCGAAGGCTTGTGGGCGCCATAACTGTGTCGCAACGGTTGATGGTATAAATCCTGCAGTACCTTAAGGACCCTAAACCATGGTAATTATTGTACCTTCCTTACTATAGGGGTAATGCAGGATTTATATCATCAACCGAATCACAAGGCCGAAGCAATAGGGCCCTGCTTCGGTTTCGGGGAGCTGCGCTGTGGGTCTGCGCAGCCCCACGGACAAGAGTGGAATAAAGGGTCCTTGAGTTTCGGGTGTGGGGTTTAGGGATAAGCCTTAGTTTAAAATTGAGATCCCCGTCCCGAGAGGCCCTAAAGTACGCTGGTGCCTGGGACCAGGGGGCGGCTTGAACGTCGAGAAGAGCTATCGTCAGGAAGAAGAAAGTTCGGTGCTTTTCGTGAAGTGCACGGCAGAGGAGGGAGTCTTGTCGAGGATATGTAGGGCTTTTGGGTTTAGTTTTGCGGTGATTTTCGGACTCCCTTACGTGTTCTCGAGAAGGTGGCTGAGCGGTTCCTTGAATGTGGGGTTTTGGCATAGACTGTCCTTAGGAGCAAGTTCGCCCTAAAAGGGTGTGTTGTTCAGATCCCATGTGGGTTTGAAGAGCAAGAGAGGCGCTTCAGGTGCCGAGGATGTCCATGGTTTTTCGAAGCAACCATGTAAATCAGGTGGCATGTACCCTAGACTCTTGGGAGGATCACAAAATTCAGAGCCTGCGTAAAATACCGCATCTGCAAAGACCTCCATCACGGACATATGCATCGTACAAACCGTGGAGGGTGAACTCTGGCTTGAACTCTGCCCAGGTTTCCTAGTATATACTCATTTGCACTTTGTATTTTGGGGTCTCCTTATGAAGACCGAATACTAGGAAAAAGGGTACCTTGGTTTGCAATGGGCTGCTGGTGAAACGTTAGCTGCTTGTAGTGACAGTGGAAGTGCATCGCAAGAGCACTCAACAAGATCCCCCCGTGCCCGATACAATCTTCACCACAAAGCCTGATTCCAATCTTCAAGGCCCAACCAAGATGTAGGTACAGTAGCCCCAAACCCTACGACAAGTAAGGAATTTTAGACTGAAGCCGTGGATCCACAGACAAGCCTCTAGTTTTAGCTTGTCGTACCTCAATGAAAAATTGCGGTATGTTTACTATACATTACCTTGTATTGCTGTATATCCCCCATACAACCCTAAACCCTGAACCCTCATATTCACTGAGAACCCCTGAACCCCAAACCCCAAATATTCCGTATTCCGTTTCAACCCCTGAGCCCTAAACCCTTACAACTGCCTGAAACACCCGAAACCCTAAACCCTAACACCCCCTTCCGAAACCCTCAATAAACCCTCATGTCTGTCGATCTTTGAATCCTAAACCAATACCGTCCCTTACAAAGCCTAAACCCTAAACCCATGCTAAGAGCCCTTTTTTGACTTCTCAACCCTCGTTCTATACGGGAATTAAGGAAGAAACCCCTACGGGTTCCATGCAGGGTTCCTACAAGGGTTCTGCAGGGGAAGAAGGGATAAGAAAGGGATATACCCCAAAGGGTTCCTCGAAGGATTCCTCATATTCCCAGAGACTCCAATATCCCTTAATTACGGACTATACCTTAAATTGTAATAGGATCCCAAATATGATTTAGGAACATTCCTTAAATTATACTAGGATCCTTAATATGACTGAAGGAATAGTCCTTAGTTGAGATATTTCGGAGCCTTTGGGTTCCCCTGCCCTAAACCCTAAACCCCTGAACCCTAACCCCTAAACCCCTAAACCCTAAACCCTAAATCCCTAAATCCCTAAGCCCTAAACCCTAAACCCCTAAACCCTTAAACCCCTAACCCCTAAACCCTAAACCCAGAGCCCAGGAGGCGGTGTCTGGGCGCCGAACTTCACGCAGGAGGGGCCCGGGAGCTCTGCCAATTTCCGAGGCTGCCGGGCGGAGGGAGCCCAGGCTGCAGAGAACTCCTGGGAATCCGGTTTGGGTTGAGGGTTTAGGGTTTCTATAAAGGTTCCTTTAAAGGGATCTATAGGGATTCTATAAGCGTTCCTTTAAAGGGATCTAGGTTTAGGGTTTAGGGGTTTAGGGGTTTAGGGGTTTAGGGGTTTCGGGGTTTGGGTTTAGGGGTTTAGGGGTTTAGGGTTTAGGGTTTGGAGGGTTTAGGGTTTAGGGTTTAGGGTTTAGGGGTTTAGGGTTTAGGGTTTAGGGTTTAGGGGTTTAGGGGTTTAGGGTTTAGGGGTTTAGGTTTTAGGGTTTAGGGGTTTAGGGGTTTAGGGTTTAGGGGTTTAGGGTTTAGGGGTTTAGGGGTTTAGGGGTTTAGGGTTTAGGGGTTTAGGATTTAGGGGTTTAGGGGTTTAGGGGTTTAGGGGTTTAGGGTTTAGGGTTTAGAGTGTAGGGTTTAGGGTTTAGTTTAGGGGTTAGGGTTTAGGGGCTTAGGGTTTAGGGTTTAGGGTTTTGGGTTTAGGGTTTAGGGGAAATCCTGGGATCCGTCTCGGGGGCTTTTTTTTTGTAAGGAGGGGGGGGGTTTAGGGTTTGGGGGGGTTAAGGGTCCTTTAAGAGTTCCGTAAGGGTTTAGGGTTTGTACAGGGATTTGGGGATGTTCTGTGGAGTTAAGGGTTGCTTGTTTTTAACTTTTGTTTTTTACATGTATTCGAAAGGTTCTGCACGGGTTTGTAGAGCGATTTTGGGCGTAGTTTTTTTGGGTGCTGTTCAGTCATGCCACTAACCTTGGACCCTAAACCATAAATCCTAAGGCCCAAACACCTAAACCCGGCAGAAGTGAACAGCGAGCCCAAGGGCTAGGGAAAAACACAAGAAGTGTAGCTAAACCCTAAACCCTAGACCCTGAAGCCCTAAACCGTACAAACGATTCAAGTGTGCCCCCCGGACACCTGGAAAACACGATGATGCTAGCGATGTTTTGGGTACTATAGGACCCTTAATAATTGGAATATGGTTTTAGGGCCTAGTATACTATAACTACAAGAAGGACCCTCCTAATAATAATTATTATCCTAAGGCTCAAAATGGCCCAGAAGCCTTAGACAATATGGTCTTTAGGCCCAGAAGCCTTAAACTATGAGTCCTTAGAGCCTTTGGGTTAAGGCCTCTATATTAACTGCCTCTATCAACAACAGGAAGTGCTTCAAGGCTTGTTGTTAAAGAAGCGGGTTATGCGAGACCCACGGTCTGGGTTCAGGGTGGGTTTAGGGTTTAGGGTTCAGGGTTTAGGGTTTAAGGGTTCAGGGTTTAGGGTTTAGGGTTTAGGATTCTGGTTTGTTGTGGCTGATCCTAGACCTGCGCTTCTTAGCGGGTCAAGATTTTGCGTTCCGTGTCGTGCTGGACACAAAGCCTAACCCTACACACTCAGCCCGACACCCAAAGCCTTGATCTTGTGACTGCGCGCTTTGTCTGGTGTTGGTGTGGCAAAGGACCATCACATTCCCACAGTGATTTTGCTTCCTGGGGAAATTCATATACGACGGAGTTCGTAACCTGTGAGACTTTGAGTTTTGGATTCGCCTCTATATGCTGAAGGAGGGTTGGGCTGAATGTGAGAAGTTTGCAGCGGTGCTTGTTGTAAGATGCTCTTACGAAGATCGGCAATGCCGCTGCCTCAGCCACAAGTAGGACCATGCAGTCCTTGCATACCGCTAGTCTATCACAACCGAAACCCTGCACAAATCCTATCCCGGCCCAAGCTGAGGAAAGACTGCAAAAGCCACTCTGCAGCTTCGAGGAGCATGGCCGCCCCGAAACCCAACCCTCAGAAACAGGGACATCACTAATCAGAATAGGGTCTTGGGTTACATAATAGCATTAGTTTGTGGTGAGGAGTCAGAAGGAATACGATCGGCAATTTTTTTCAAGCCCCCGACATTAAACCCCCAACTTCATGGCAGAGGATTGCAGGTTGGGCGCTTTGGGCTTATGTCTTGAGGCTCAGAGTTTCTGGAATAGTGGGTTGCAAAGTTAAGAGTTGGTGGCGAAAGTCGTGAAGAATGTGGACAGAGCTTAACTTTAACTAAACTTAGCGGTGCACATCAAATTCAAAAGACCCTAAACTTGAATTGAGTTCCTGAGCAAGAGCCCTTCGGGTCGCGTTTATCTTCCGCCACACGTTGATGCTGCCGGTTTGAAGGAGCAGATGCAAGAATTGCAAATTACATAGCATATAATACACTATTCAAAATATATACTTTAGTATTACTTCGTTAAGTAATTTTTCAATAGTTATATATACATAATATTAGATGGTAACCCGATGTCCGCTTGCCCAGTCTGCACAAAGAGACAAGCTGCCCAACAGTTCATTTTTGGAGATCCTCAGATTTGATTAACCGTTGGTAACGTGTTTGAACAGCAACGGAATCCCCACCTTGGAGGTTCACGGGTATTTACAAGTAGGGTTATAAGTAGGATAATTCTGGTTGTAGCCTATGTTAAGGGACTTATAACCCCACTTAATTACAACTACCCATGAACCTCCAAGAACAGAAGTAGCAGAAGTTGCAGTCTGTGGTCCAGGAGGCGGCATGTTCATTGTCAACAGCTACCGGCAGGAAGCCGGTAGTTCGGCGGTGTTCCAGCACTGCACTGCAAAGCAAGGCACCTGGGCAGTCGAAGATGGACATTGAGGGTTTAGGGTTTAGGGTTTCGGCTCTGGGACACCAGCTCTCCGAATCCGGGTGTCAAGCCGTCCCAGACCATCATATAGGGCCGGATTGATTACCAATACGCTTCTGAAGGGCTATATATCATGAGACTACTATTTGATATTTCTCTTCTGCAGGGCTATATATCGTAAGAATATTTTAATCAATATACCTCCTGGATTTTTGAGGGCTATATACTTTACCCTAAACCCTAAACCTTAAAGAGGGCTGTGCCTGCTCGATCCCTGAATCCCAAGCCCTGAACCATAAACCCTAAAAGGTTTTGTGTTCAGGCAGCAGGGGTCTGGCGTAGCGTGCGCTGTGTGATATGTGGGAGTCATCGGGGGCATGGTGTGGTTCCCTGGTTGAGCGTTTAGTTCTTAAAGCTTAGGGTGCAGTGTTTAACATACCCAACACATGCCTGCGTAAGGTTTGCATCACGGGTGACAGCACATGATCCCACAGGTACACTCGTCAATATTCACTGATACACTATATCTTGGTCATAGTTGGGTAACATTACACACTTGTATGGGTATTAAAACCCAATACGGAATAAAAATGTACATTTTCATTCCTATCCCAACAATGAACTAGATATCTTCCACGGAATCCCTAGTATACAGTATACAGACATATCTTTGGAGAACGTCTTAAATTCCATATTAGGGTTTATAATAAGAACCTACAAAAACGTAGGGTTTGGTAGTTTAAGGTAGGGTTTAGGGTTTCTGGGGGCGCCTCAGGAGGAGGCGTGTACGTGGCGAAGAGCTATCAGCAGGAAGCCGGAAGTTCGGCGATGTTCGAGACCTGCTCTGCGGAGAATGGCCCCTTGGCAGTCGAGGATGCGCTATAGGGCTTGGGGTTTCGACTTAAGTGACCAGCCATGACGAACCTATGCCCTAAGCCCTGAGTTACACAGATCCCCAACCGTGAACCCTCGACCCTAGTAGAAGGCATGCACATTCTACAGTTTACTATATAGCGCAATCCGCGGGATAAATGATAAAGGCCCCTGAGCTCGACCATCAAAATACTCCTGCATAGCAGCCCCGACAGAACTCGATACAGAATCCTTACAAAAAGCCCTTAAACGAAGCCTTAAAGGCACTCTTAAAGGAGCCCTTAAAGGGAGAGCCATGGTGCAAGTTGTTCAGGCCCCTACATGAGCCTACTTTCGTTTTGGATTTAGGGTTTTTAGAGTTTCGGGTTTCAGAGGAGTTTAGGGTTTAGGGTTTAGGGTTTGGGTTTTTAGAGTTTCGGGTTTCAGAGGTTAAAGGCTTTGGGGTCGAGGGTTTTGGGTGCAGGTGTTTTTGCGATGCCATCGCTATGATCCTACGCCCGGATACCCTCACGCGCATTTTTCCTGCACCCAAGCACGAAGTCGTGTTGCAGACTGTAAGAAACAGTGAAGACTGCAGACCAAACCGTTCTGCCCTAAGTAGCCCCCAAATCCCTGAACCCTAAATCCCTAAACCCCAAATCCCTAAACCGTAAATCCCTAAATCTGTAAACCCTAAACCCTGAGCCCGTCAACCCTTGTAATTGAATCCCGCTTAGGGTTTTAGGGCGCGGCGTAGTAGAGCCCTGCCGGAGGGAGCCCTTTCAGAACACTTTGAGGGTTTAGGGTTTAGGATGGAGGGTTTTGGGAGTACTGCAAGCTTGGTTATAGTCATATCTATTACTGCTGCTGCTTCTACTACTACTACTACCACTACTACCACTACTACTACTACTACTACTACTACTACTACTACTACTACTACTACTACTACTACTACTACTGCTAGTGCTTCTGCTACGAGTACGAGTACGAGTACGAGTACGAGTACGACTACGACGACGAGTACTGCCACTGCTATCATTCATTCTTTCTCGTGCTGATTTATTGCTCTTGTTGCTAGAGCGATTATGATGGTTTCTATGACTGTTGTAGTTGCACTTGTTGTTTTTGCCATTCTCCTTATGCGAAACACTATAAAGAGTATCTGTGACCCACTTAGTAACGAGGGTTTGAGAACCCATAGTCTCAACTTTCTGACATGCAGGGGCCCTCGTAGTGGATCCCGTCTAACATTTAGGGGCTACTCTGAACACTGAATTGCCTCAGATATTTCTCTAAACCCTAAATCCTGAACCCTTGAACCCTTGTAATTGAATCCCACTTAGGGTTTTAGGGTTTAGGGTTTAGGGTTTGACCATAAACCCTAAACCCTAAACCCTAAACCCTAAACCCTAAACCGATTGTTCGGATTTGTTTGACAGGCGGAACAGGGCCCTCTAGAATAAAATTCAGCCCTAAACCTCATGCCTTAAGTTTGCGTGTTCGTGTTTAGGGGTTTAGGGGTTTAGGGGTCTAGGGGTTTAGGGGTTTAGGGGTTTAGGGGTTTAGGGGTTTAGGGGTTTAGGGGATTAGGGGATTAGGGGTTTAGGTTTCAGGGTTCAGGGTTTGGTGGTTCTCTCCCTTTGCGCCGGAGGTGGCGGCCTCGTTGCAGAGAGCTACTGGCAAGCCGTCGGGGCTTCGGCAGATTTCGAGAACTGCACGGCAGAGAGGGGCACCTTGGTCTGGATGTTCGGGGGTTTAGGGTTTAGGGTATATTATGGTTTAGGGTTTAGGGTTTAGGGTTTAGGGTATATATAGGGTTTAGGGCTTAGGGCATATTATGGTTTAGGGTTTAGAGGATGTTTGGGGGCTGTGAGGCTTAGAATGCGGTTGGAGGTATGGTTTAGAAGCTGCCCCCACCCTGTAATAGTGGTATAATAGGAATATAATAGGGCCTAATATAATCCTTATAGTAGCCTTATATTCACTATTACAGGGTGGGGGCTGCTTCTAAGGTATGGTATAGTATACTGTAGTATAGTATAGCTTTAGTGCAGAGGCCTTAAGACTTGGAATGCGGTTGGAGGTGTAGGAAAGTATGCTGCAGTATAGTATAGTTCTACTGCAAAGCTTCAGGAATCCGCCCGGGAAGGTGCTGACAGCAACAAAGCTCCCTCAAAAGGTATGCCACCTCTGTTTCGTTCCTTCCGTACAAGAACCCCGTCAGCAACGGACATGGACAGTGGGGCAGAGTTTGACCCCGTCTTGAGTTCAAGACACTTCGGGACTCCGGTACAGGGCCCTTACAGAACCCCTACGGTTGATGATATAAATCCTGCATTACCTTAAGGACCCTAAACTATGGGATTTATGGCGCATTCCTTATTAGGGGTAATGCAGGATTTTTCTCATCAACCGTATGAGACCCATTCGTATCCCTTAAAAGGGATATCTCTTCCAAGCTTTGTGAGGCGAGGGTGGCGGTCTTTACGCCACCACGCTGGACGGCCACGGCTCGATGCACTTCCAAGCGTGTCGGGCGAAAGCAGGCCGGGATCCGATATTGGTTAGAAGCTGCCCCCACCCTGTAATAGTGACTATAAGGAGTATAGTAGGGCCCTATTATGTTCCTATTATGCCACTATTACAGGGTGGGGGCAGCATGTAATACTTTAAGATATTGGTGAAAGAGCAGGTTTGGGGTTGAGGGTTCTGTGCTGATATACGAGTTTAGGGTTGAGGGCTTAGAGGCTTCGGGATTCAGCGTTGGGGTTTAGGGCTTAGAATTTCGGGCTGATGAGTTGGGTTGTTAGGACTTTTAAGGTTGTGGCTTGCGGCTTGGTAACGTGGCGGAGTCGAGCAACTTGTACTTGTAAACATAGAAATGCAGCCACAAGCCAACTGCACCCCCCAGGCAAACATTCGTACTCGGATAGGCAGGTCTGTGTGTATGCTTGGGTGCAGAAGAATTTGTATGTAGGTATGTATGTATGTATGTCTGCATGTTTGCATGTTTGTTTGTTTGTATGTATGTGTGTACGCAGATATGTATGTCTGCATGTGTGTATGTGTTTATGCATGTATGCATGTATGTATGTATGTATGTGCAATGCAGGTGTATGTACCTGCAGGTTCATGTGCTTACGCCTATGGGGTAGGTTCAAGTTTACACATGCAGGTTTGTCTATGCACACGTGTGTGTGTGTGTTGTGTATATATGCACATATTTAGATGTATATATGCATGCATATGGATTTCTGTTTTTGTTGCTACCAGCAGTCTTACTGCTTTGGTTGCTAATGGTTGGTATTCTGCGCTACTTAAAAAATATGTGGAAGCACACCATGTCGGCTTATGTTGTATTGTGATATTTCACGTGATTTGTAGCTTTACACATTGTATGAACTTTACCACAGTCCGAATCCTGGTGCAATTCAGTTAACTTGCTGTGTTGTGCCATGTTTTCTCATATCACATCATATTGTGTTGCTTTGCTTGCATGGCTGAAAAAGATGTTAAATCGTACGGGATTATTATATAAGAGTTCATTGTGTATGATATGATGTTGTACGTCAGTTCATTGTGCAGTCGTTTACTGTATTATGTCATGCTTCACTGCATTGATTATACTGCATTGAGTTATATTGTCCTGTACTGTGTTGTAGCGCATGTTGTTTTCCCACGCATGATGAATTTGTACTGTCTTGTTTCATATTGCGAGAGGACGACAGCTCGTCGTACTCTCGCATTTTGCTCTTTGGCGCCTTTCCCCCTGAGACTCCTTCACTAAAGCCTCCGTCCGGAACATCAAGGCAGTACAATGTCAAAAGGGTGGATTCACCCTTCCGCTAGCTACGCCACATCGCTACTCTGCAACCTGAAATGATGATGGCAGGGTAGCTGCCATCATTTCTGCAACGTTTGCGATCTATTGCATTGTACTTTGTGTGTTCTTTCGCCACAGTGTATTATACTTTATTGCACTGTGCTGCTTCGTGTTGTATTCTATCGTACTGCATGGTTTTGTCTTGTAGTGTGGTGTAGTGTTGCATGAGATTATGCATTGTTTTTTATCATATTACTCCGCCGGGGCGATAGTTCGACCCACTAGCTTGAACAACAAAGTCGACCCATGCCCCTCCCTTTCCCGGCTCGACTCTTGACACTACGTGAGCCTCGGGGCCTCCTCCGCAATGAATAAGTAGCATAATTTTAAATCGGCGCAGTACTTAAGTACTCCGCTAGCCGGCGTATGGAACTCATCACTTTACAGCACTCCGCTACTCCGCAAGAGTTTCTAACATGATAAAAGGCCCGGTAGCTCAAAACTTTCGGCCCTGCGTACCATATTGAGTTGACTTGAACTGAACTGACTTGAACTGAACTGAATTATTTCATGTAAGGCAATACATGGCAACACAACATGATACAATGCTATGTGGGTTATGTGGGTTTCTTGTTACCTGTGTTCTCGTAGAGCTATTATGTTGGGTTTACAACATCATCATAGTTGACATACAAACAAGCAAACATGCATCCCACCATGCCATGCCATTCCATGCCGGTGCGGTACCGTTTCGTGCCGTGCTCAGCCATGCCATGCATGTCATGCATGCCCGAAGCCCTACTTGGAGGATCATGGGACTTAGTAAGTAAGGTTATAAGCACCTTAATTGGGGTTACAAGTAGCTATAAGTAGAGTTGCCCCAATTATAACCCTAGTTACTAAGTCCCATGATCCTTTAAGTAAACCCAAAATGCAGAGGGGGCGGCCTTTGCACCAGCGAGCTGGAGGGCAATGGCTCGATTCACTTCGAGACATGTCGAGCAGAAGCAGGCTGCCACCTCTTTAGAGTGCTATGGGGGTCCTTTAAAGGTTCCTTGAAGGGTTCTATGAGGGTTCCAATGAGGTTGTTTTTTACGCTCTGAAGGTGTTTGGCTTTTTCGATGCAAGTTTAGGGTTTCAGGGTTTCGTTATTTTTATTTTCATTTTTTTGCTTCCAGGGCTTTTGGGATCTTGGGAAACCCAAGAGCTCCTGTTCAGGGCATCCCTGAACAGCTCGGTACGCCCTTGAGCAATCGATCCTTGTGGCTTGCTGTCAAAAATGTCGGAAGAACATTCAGGGTTTAGGGTTTAGGGTTCAGGGTTTAGGGTATATGTATATATACATATATGTATATCACAAGTATGTTCTCATCTGTGAAGGCCCCCCGATGTTGACCAACCCTGAACAAACTTTCAATCCCGAGTGGGTTCGGATAGTTTTTGCGGTCCTTGTACTTAGGGTCCTGTATCGTTTGATTGATACTCCCACATCAGAGGCTATTGGAAGCCTTGATCCTGAACAAGCAACCATTCGCAGCCCCTGCGGTTTTGGGGTTGAAGGTGCTGGGTTGAGCCAGAGAAGCGAAGAAGACTTGACTCAGAGACTCTAGAACACCTTCGTCAAGCAGCATGCTGACATGTTTTCAGGGGGATCCTTTCTATGACTTAGGGTATATGGACCGTTCTTTGAAAATCGAGGCCCCAAAGATAGCACGGCACCCTTACAGAAAGGACCCCAAAAGGGACCCTAGTTTAGCGAACTGCCCACCTACTCCCTTAATAACCCTAAACTCTAAACCCGGGTTTTCCGGGGACTCAGGCGGCGGCCTCAGTGTTCGACAAGGCGGCAGAGTGCACCACGGCGGCGTGCTGGAGTTTCAGGCAGGGCTCGTTGCTTTTGGCATAGTCTGCAGGGTCCCCAGAGACTCCAATTCTTAGATAGTGAACGGGGGAACCTTAAACTTTTTGGCCTTATACATTAGCTCTATCTTAGAAAGTTTGAATTTTTCGGGGCCCGGTTGTTGAAGAAGAGAGCAATATCCCTCAATTAAGGAATAGACAGACCTCAAATCATAATGGGGATCCCTAGCATGATTTGAAGAATATTCAGGACTACGGTTGATGATATGAATCCTGCATTACCTTAAGGGCCCCAAACTATGGGATTTATGGTAAATTCCTTAGTATGGGTAATGCAGGATTTATATCATCAACCGTATCTCTTAAAGTATAATGGGGATCCCTAATATGGGAGTTTCCGAAAATAGGGGGTACCTTATTTTTGGGGTCCTTATAATAAGGATCCTACTACTTAGGGTACTATATTAGGGCCCCCTATTTTCGGAAACTCCCATATGATTGGAGGAATATTCCTTAATGAAGGGCTGTGGGAGCCCCAGGGTCCTTTAATTAAGGAATATAGCTATAAGGTTCCTTTAAAAGGGGTCTAAAAGGGATCTATAAGGGATCTATAGGGACTAGGGTTTCCGATACCCCTTAATTAAGGAATATAGCTTAAATCATAATATGTAGCCAATTATTATTGAAGTCATATTCCTTAATTAAGGGGGTCTTGGGCTTTCTGGGTTTCTTCAAGGCATCGAGAGGAGAGGCCGTAGGGTTCTGAAATAACGGGGTGTTATAAGGCCTCTTCTCCCAGAGACTCCAATATCCCTTAATTAAGGAATATACTTTAAATTACAATAGGATCCCTAATATGATTTAAAGAATACTGGAGCCCCCTAAACCCTAAACCCTATAGATCCCTTAACGGAACCCTTAAGGATCCTTTTAAAGGAGCCTTGGGAATATTCCTTAATTAAGGGATATTGGAGCCTCTGGGCTAGAAGGGATGCTGCAAGGGTTTAGGTTTTAGGGTTTAGGGTTTGGTTTAGGGTTTAGGGTTTAGGGTTTAGGGTTTAGGGTTTAGGGTTTAGGCCCTGGACCATAGGGTGTAGGCTTTCAGGTGATACTTAAGTTTAGGGCTATGGGGTTTTAGGGTTTAGGGTGTAGGACCTTGACTGCTAACTCCTACTTAAAGGATCATGGGACTTAGTAACTAGGGTTATAATTCGGGTAACTCTACTTATGGCTACTTTTTGCTCCAGTTAAGGTACTTGTAACCTTACTTACTAAGTCCCATGATCCTCCAAGTAAACCCTAAACCCTAAACCCTATAGATCCCTTTAAGGAACCCTATAGGTCCCTTTAAGGAAGCCTATAGATTCCTTTAAAGAGCCCCTTAAGGACCCTTACTAAGTCCCATGATCCTCCAAGTAACACCCTGGCAGCTTAACCGCTGCAGGACAGCGTCCCGGCAAGCCATGAAACCTTGAAGCCAAACCCTTATAGATCCCTTATAGTAACCCTTTAAAGGAACCCTAAGCTAACCCCTGAGTTTCGGAAACTCCCATCTTTGGTTTTGGTTAGGAACCCCGAAAAGCACATAAGCATAAACATTTTATAGGGATATCCCTACCTGATTGGTGCTTCATTATAAGGGGCTTTATATGGGATATCTCTATCTTAATTTTTGCTTGTGTGCTTTTTTGGGGCCCTAGAAACCTTGAAGCCAAACCCAAAACTCTTAACCCCAAGCCCGTCAACTCAGGGATCTGAGAAGAGCTTGTACGTAGTTCCCAGAGACTCCAGTATCCCTTAATTAAGGAATATACTTTAAATTGCAATAGGATCCCTAATCTGATTTATGGAATATTCCTTAATCAAGGGATATTGGAGCCTTTGGGTTCCTATGTGGTTATACTAGAATCACAACTCTCTTCCAACGATGAAGGCTCCTGTAGTGAATCTCAGTAAGACCCCACCGAACCCCATAAAAGCATGGGTTCAGGCTCCTGCGGGTTTAGGGTTTAGGGTTTGGGGTTCAGTGATGCATAACCTATGAGTTCAGACGCACTTGGCACTTACCGGCTGGAAAAAAACGTAACTCAAGCTTAGGGAGTCTAGGGGTTCAGGGTATATAGTAAACCCCATAAAGTTGGAAACCGGATTAAGGCCAAATAGTGCTGGGATTCCCTATAAATTGCTCTGTAGGATCGAGGCTATGGGGTTTCCAACTTTTGGGCTTTCGCTGTAGGGCCGTTTAGGGTATGGTTCAAGGCACATTGCTTAATTTAGGGGCTTAGGAGCCACTGGACTCTGAGAGGAGTGCAATGCCAGTTTTACCGGCGGTGGGCTTTACTCCAGTGCCAGCCGAGGACGTCACAAGGGTTAGAGTTCAAGTTCATAAAAAAGCCAAAACCATTACTGACACGATTACTACGGTTGATGATACAAATCCTGCATTACCCATAATAAGGAATATGCCATAATTCCCATAGTTTAGGGCCCTTAAGGTACTGCAGGATTTATATCATCAACAGTATTCCTTAGGGTTCCTAATTCTGTTTACCCTCTTGGGGGTTCGTTGTTACGATTACTTGGCGTTCTTCTGGTAGACTCTTAGGACTTTAACTTTTTGGGCTTCTATATGAACTATATTAAGGAAGCTAAAAGTTTAACTTTTTGGAGGGCTTCAGAAGCCAGCCAAGATTATAGCATAATATGCCACCAGATCCTGGGGGCGCCTACATTACACCCCTTACTTATACGGTTGATGGCATAAATCCCTAGGGTTCCTTTAAAGGGATCTATAGGGGTACCTTTAAGGGCTTCCTTTAAGGGATTTATAGGGGGTTTAGGATTTAGGATGATATCAATCCTGCATTACCTTAAGGACCCGAAACTATGGGAACTATGGTATATTCCTTATTATGGGTAGTGCAGGTTTTATATCATCAACCGTAGTACCCTTATGGTATCCTTAACGGAACCTTTTAAAGGAACCCCCAGATTCTAATTATGAGGGCCCCTACATTACACCCTTACTTATAGCACTCTTATGGTATCCTTAACGGAACCCTTTAACGGAACCCCCATATTCAAATTATTAGAGCCCCTCCATTCTAGAACCCTATTTTCGATCCCTTATAGAACCCTTACAGGAACGCTAGGAGTATAATATGCCCCCCAAACCCTATTCCAATTATTAGCTTAGTAGCTGAGTTGATACACTTTACACTTTTTGGAATCATATTACCCACTATAAAACTGAAACTGTAAACTTTTGCGGGGGCTTATGAACTCAGCAACTAGGTCAGGGCCCCTATAGTGATGCTAAACCCTAAACCCTACTTGGAGGGGCAGGGGACATAGTAAGTAGGTTATACGCAGAGTTGTAAGTACCCTAAATGGAGTTACCTCAATTATAACCTTACTTATAAACGACTTACTAAGTCCAATGCTCCTCCAAGTAAACCCTAAACCCCATAAAGTGATGGTGAATCCTGCACCTCTGGGTCCTTAGTCGGGTGGCTCCGTCGTGGCGGCGATGCCTCAAACACCTCTTTGATGCAAAGTTCAGGGTTTTGGGCGTACAGTTTAGGGTTTAGGATTCAGGGTTTGCAGTTTAGGGTTTAGGGTTGACAGTTTAGGGTTTTGGGCTTAGAGTTTAGTGTTAAGGGTTTACCGTTTATAGAAACTGTTAAAGGTTTGGGTACCAATAACGTTTTGAGCGAAAGTTTTGAGCAGGTTTTCTGACTGAAACCTGATCTTGGGAATTGGGTGCCGGGCTGGGCTGCTTGTTGGGCCAGCTGGGCGAGGTGATTTTTTTTGGGGGGGGTGGGTACAGGGGCTGGGGGGCTGGAACGGGCCTCGGCTGGGGCTGGGCTGGGCAGGGGCCGGGAGTTTTGTGATTGGAACCTGATAACTACCCTAAACCCTAAACCCTAAAACCCTAAACCCTAAACCCTAAACCCTAAAACCCTAAACCCTAAAACCCTAAACCCTAAACCCTAAAACCCTAAACCCATTGAATTTGGGGGACCGGGGCCGAAAGTTTTACATTGGGGGTGACGTGCAGTTTGCAATGTAACTACCCGCAACAGTTGGGACCCTTGACAGTGGACGCCCTTTAAAGGGAGCCCTAATTCGAAGAGACGCCCCGTCCTCAGGACAATTTGGAAAGCTGCGGTTTGAGCGCTGTGATGCTGCTCTAGTCGCGGCGGCTTTCGCAGCAATTGATGTCGATGACAATAACGTGGAAGTCCAGATCCAGGACTCATGGTCCATGACTGAAGTAGGTGTAGACTAGTGACTAGTGGCTACGGTTTCGGTGAGTGTTTATAGGGCTCCACCGGAATATTGGTGAGTGTTTCTTACATAATGTGTAGTTGACCACTTCAAGAGAGAACTGCGACGGCAACTTCAATCTAGAAGCCGGTAGGATTCAGGGTTCTACCCCTCTAAATCACTAAACCCTGAACCCTTAAAATCCACTAAAAAATGATATCCCCTAAACCCCTAAGTCCTGGACCCCGGGGGTAAATGAGAAAGTTATAGTAACTTCCAGCAAGTGTGCTTGAACCCCGCATCTCAAAACAGGACATCTAAGTTCGATCCTGGGTCGATTAATATTCCGGGCGATTCTGGTGGCCATGAGGCCTCTGAACTGCTAAATCTCGCATAGAGCCCTTTACAAGGCCCGTCTAAAAGGAACCCTTTGAAGGAACACTGTTTCGAAATAGAACTTGGAGGTTCATGGGTAGTGATAAGTAGGGGTATAAGTAGGGTCACGATAACCCCATTTATAACTACCCATGAACCTCCGAGAACGGCACCGCGGGGTGTGGGTCTGCCTTCCTCTTCCTCACTCTTTGGGATTGAGGTTCAATGCTCCGAACGACAAACCGCAGATAGGATCCACCCGAGAACCGAGCAACACAACCCTAAACCCCACAACCCTAAACCCTAAAGCCTAAGCCCCTAAACCCCTAAACCCTAAACTCTAAACCCCTAGACCCTAAACCCCTAAACCCCTAAAACCTAAACCGTAAACCCCGAAAACCTAAACCCGAAAACCTAAAACCTAAACCCTAAAACCTAAACCCCTAAAGCCTAAACCCTAAATGCGCCACGGAAGGAGCTCTGGCTGTTGAATGGCGGCCGCAGCAATCTCAAAGACCTGGTGGTTACAGGCCGAGGGGCTTCTTACTCAAGTTGAAGCACCCTTAAAGGGATCCTTTAAGGGTTCCTGAAAGGGATCTCTATGGGTTTAGGGTTTTAGGGTTTAAGGCTTAATGTAGGAACCTGATTAATTAAGAAACCTTGGGCCTTTATCAGGGCTACTTATCTGAATTCTACTGTTTTGGGGTTATAGGGCCCAGGGTTTCTTATCAGGTTCCTACACTAGGACTAGGGTTTACCTGTAGCCGAAAAGACCTACCTTTGTAGGGTTCCTTATTATGGTTTCTCCATACAGTTCCTTAAAAACGTAGGCCTTTTGGGCCACAGGTAGGGCCTAGGATTCAGGTTTGGGCTTACAGTAGAAGCCAGAAAGTTGGAAAATCATCATCCTCATCCCCTTAAGGTAAAGTAGTGGGAATCCTAGCACTAATCATCCTAAATCCATGTTCCAACTTTCTGGGGTTCACTATAAATTTTCAGGGTTCAGGGTTTCCGGGCTTGGGGGATTTGGGATTTGGGTTTGGGGCGTCGAATTTTGGGGGTTTCCCGGGCGCTTGGTGTGTCAGGAACCCTGTGTTCTACAAGCCTACCGACGAGGACAGTCTAGGCAAAGTGTCTCTCTCTTTCTTTCATTCTGTCATTCATTAATTCATTCTTTCTTTCTTTCGTTCTTTCTTTCTTTCTCTCCCGCTCTCTCTCTCGCTCTCACTCTGTCGCTCTCTCTTTCTCTCTTTCTTTGTTTCTCTCGGTGTGTATATCTTCTTTCCGACTCTGAGTGTCTCGCACGTTTCCTCCTGTCCCAGTTCGTGCTTCAGACTACGATTCTTTGTGCTATGATGGATGCCCCTGCAAACGGCTATTCTTTCGAGTTCGAGCGTGACACAGGGTTCGTGATCTTCATGCGTTTCAGAAGTTGCATCAGGCCTAGTCAGGCAGCCAATTTCAGCGTCCGAAAACCAATATATGAGCCTAAAGTGTTAACAATATTATTAGTGTGGGGGTTCCTTAAAATGACTATAATTGAGGCCCCTATAGTAATAATACGGTTCCCGTATAGGCCCTGGGTAGTTGTACCATACCACTTCTAACGACCACGGCCTCTTAAACGTTCTCTGGAACAGGCGTCTTGACGATCGGATCTGCTCATCTGACCATGAAGTCCAAGTTCGGTGCCTACATCCAATCGCAGAACCTCGTTCTAGCCACTCGGAGGCTCTGGGATAAGCAGAGGATCCTGTGAAACACAACGCAGATGCCACAGGACAGAGGCTTAACACCTAAGAAGCGGCTCCGGAGAAGCAACCTGAACCCTGCAAACTTGAGGAAGACGTGGTTGATTGCACGTGGACCACCACTTGCCACTGCACTGCATTTCGAGCTTCAGCCCTAAACCCTAAACCCCTAAACCCCTAAACCCTAAACCCTAAACCCTAAACCCCTAAACCCTAAACCCTAAACCCTAAACCCCTAAACCTTTTTCTGAGTCGAAGGCCGTACGATGAGTTTTTTTGAAATGAGGTGAGGGCGGCTGGACTGCCAAGGCCAGGGAGGGTAGTACCAAAGTTCAGTCTAAAATTTACCCCTCAACCCTAAACCCTAAACCCTATACCGCGGTTTAGGGTTTAGGGTTTAGGGTTTAGGGTTTAGCCTATACCCTAAACCCTAAACCCTGATCCCTGAACCCTAAACCCTAAAGCCCTAAACCCTAAACCCGTAGAACCCTTATAGCTCCCTTTAGGGAACGCTATACCCCAAACCCAAAAGCCACAGGAGGTTCACCATTGTATCAAAGGGGAAAAGGAGGGGACCCTTACCCCATAATGGGCTATATAATACGTATATAATAGCTATATTAAGGTATATAATAGCAATATAAAGGGTATATACCCAGGGGTTCTTATTAAGGGTCCCTCCTTTACCCTTGGACCTAAGCCCTGAAACCAAGAAGCCCTAAACCCTCTAAGCCCTAACCTCTCAACCCGATAAGCGCTACAAGCCCTAAGCCCTGAAACCCAAAGGTTGTTTAGGGTTTAGGGTTTAGGGTTTAGGGTTTAGGGTTTAGGGTTTAGGGTTGATTGTACTTAGGGAAGCTTCCGACCCCTTATTATATTGAACAATACCCCCCCCCCTTAGAACCATAATAACAATAGTATGTTTGATATTCGCTTGGGTTTTATATGAACAAAAGTAACAAATATTTCCTAAAGAGGCCATAATAACAGTAGTTAGGTCCCTCCTTTTACCCTTGGAGTTGTAAAGAGACTTGCCGGCCCTGGCTCCAGGGACATGGAGGCAGTAAAACATGTTTACTAGATACAAAAGGTAATTCGTAATTCGAATTACCTAAATAATAGGGATCTATAGTAAATAACATGGTTTCCTTATCATTGTGACTTAAGTTAAATCAAAGGGTAAAAGGAGGAACTGGTAGTCCCGAAAATTAGGGGTACCTTATTTGGGATCCTTATAACAGGGATCCTACTACTTAGAGTACTATATTATCCAAGGGTAAGAGGAGGGACCCTTAATAAGGACCCCTAGGTATATGCCCTTAATATGGCTATTATATTGCCCATTTTAGGGTAGGGGTCCCCATTAAGGGTCCCTCCTTTTCCCCTTTGATAGATACTTACCCAGACCCCCTTCGGGGGATCCAAAAAGTAGATCCCTGAATATGGGTTCCTACAAAGTACCCTTAGTAGTCTTGGACAGTATAAGATGTTTGCTAGATACTTAGTAGCTGAGGTTTAGGGGTTTAGGAGTGTAGGGCTTAGGGGGTTTAGGGTTTACGGGTGTCCTCTGCGGTTGCATAAGTTTTGTGTAGGGTTTCCTTAGTAGCTGAGTGGATACACTTTACACTTTTCGGGATAATATCACCCACAATAAAACTGAAAGTGTAAACCCTTGTGGGGCTTATGAACTCAGCAACTAGGTATACGGCTGATGATATAAATCCTGGGGTTCCTGCAAAGGGATCTATAAGGGTACCTTTCAGGGGTTCCTTTAATGTATCTAAAGGGCTTTAGGTTTAGGGTTTCATGATCTGAATCCTGCACTACCCACCAGAAGGAGTATACCATAATTCCCATAGTGTAGGGTCCTTAAGGAATTATGTCATCAACAGTAGTTCAACATCCGCATCTTTGAAAGTCGTTACCGTAAGCGTTAGGGCTTTGGAATTTAGGTGGTAGCGGTAAGAAGCCTGTTAGATGTGCCGCCTAGGCAAGTTCTCCGCGAACGTGGCTCAACGTGCGGGCTTCCGCTGCCCGTTGGGCGCGGGTTTGGTGGACTTCCGGAACTCTGACGACTTTGGCTGCTTCGTACTGCTGGCGAGCATTAGCCCCTAAACCCTAAACACCTACACCCATGAAAGCTCGAGAAAAGGATCATGGGACTTAGTAAGTAAGGTTATAAGTACCTAACTTGGGGTTATAATAACCCTTGTTACTAAGTCCCATGATCCTTTAAGTAGGAAAGTTGTAATGATTCTCACAATCCTAAGGTCACTATGATTATGCGCTACACTTGAGCCCTTGATGCCCTAGATCACCCAGAACTCTGCGCACTGAACCTTCCTGTAGTCTCCACTGTAGTTCCTTTTGGGTTTAACCACTTTAATAAATTCAGGATCTTATACAGCAACCCCAAAAAGGAACCACAAAAAGGATGCTGCTTGGAGGTTCATGGGTAGTAATAAGTGGGGTTATACGTCCCCAAATAAAGGTTATAACCATAGTTACCCTACTTCTAACCCTACTTATATCTACCCATGAACCTCCAAGTAGGGTTTAGGGCTTCGGGTTTAGGAGGGGGCTGTATCTTGAATAGGGGTGAATGGGGAACTTTGAAATCGACAAGCCTTACTTGCAACTACCCGCCGACCGTTAAGTACTACAAAAACCTTGAGAACCAGTCTACTTATTCTTTATTCCTTTTTGGGTTTAAGGCAAGGAATCCTATAGATCCCTTATAGATCCCTTTAAAGGAACCCTAAGGTATACTCCTTAACTAAGGGAGGACGCTTTTTCGGAAGTACACAAACGAAGACCCCCCTCAACCCCAAGGCCTCAGCCCGGATCTTGAAAAAAAAGGGTTTAGGGTTTAGGGTTTAGGGTTTAGGGTTGTTGGGGCCCTAATGACACTACTTAAAGGATCATGGGACTTAGTAAGGGCTCTTAAAGGGCTCTTAAAAGGGATCTATAGGGTTCCTTAGAGGGTTCTATGGGGTTTAGGGTTTAGGGGTTACTTAAAGGATCATGGGACTTAGTAACTAGGGTATCTATAGGGTTCCTTAGAGGGTTCTATGGGGTTTAGGGTTTAGGGGTTACTTAAAGGATCATGGGACTTAGTAACTAGGGTTATAATTAGGGTAACTCCACTTAACCCCAATCAAGGTACTTATAACCTTACTTACTAAGCCTCATAATCCTCCAAGTATATTGTCTGGGTCTGAGTAGGGAGTGGGGGAATGGATTATGGAGACGATTGTTGAGGATTATATAGGGACTACTATAGGGATCCATTGCCCCACCCTCTACTAAGAACCAGACAGCTACCCCAAAACCCAAAACCCTAAACCCTAAACCCTAAAACCCTAAAGCTTGGGAGAGCCCAAGAAAAGCAGCCAGAGCCCGGCACGGGGCGCGGCCAAGAAGTCAGCCTTGAACCTGACGCAAAGCGTGACGGAAATGGATGAAGGGCAGCACTTGGAGGTTAATGGGGGTTTAGGGGTTTAGGGTTTAGGGGTTTAGGGTTTAGGGTTTAGGGTTTAGGGTTTACCTCGCACTGGCATTAGGCCGTGCCGCGACTGGACAGGAGGCAACTGCAGAGGCCGTGCGCGAGTCCACTCGGTTCCAGCCCACAGGCCGCCGTCGCAGCGGGAGGAGCATCGTGCCCACAGCGAAGCTGCGGAGACACGTTCGTCGCTCTCAGAAAGCGATTTGAGATTGTTTCTGCAGACAGCTTCGGTGCTGGCCGCTCGCACTCAGCTTCGGTGCTGCCTGCTCGCGCTGGCCGAGAGTGAGACCCCAGCCCGGACCCTTAAAAGCCAAACCCGCTGTGTTGGGGCCCCAATGGACACTATACTGTCTGGTGCTTAGTAGGGAGTGGGGGAATGGATTATGGAGACGGTGGTTGAGGATTATATAGGGACTACTGAAAAGATCCATTCCCCCATCCCCTACTAAGAACCAGACAGCAACCCCAAACCCTAAATCCTTATAAACCTAAACCCCTAAAACTCTCAACCCCGGGCACCCTAATTCCCTCAACCCCAAAACCCTAAGCCCTCAACCCCGGGCACCCCAATTCCCTCAACCCCAAAACCCTAAAACTCTATGGGCAGGCCTGGCCCTCCAACTTGAGAACCCCGGACCTTTGCGGCTTGGAGTTGATTCGAGGCAGGTGCCGGTGATCAGTGGCCCAGTTACTGGGCCCCAGCAGACAACATGGGTAGTTCGGTCCCTTTTAGGGCCCTTTCTATAAGGGTGCATATTTCGGGGCCTACAATTCCACCGAAAAGGGATGCTATTTTAGAGAACTACAGAACTACTCACCTAAAGTCATAAATGGTCAGGTTATCACAATGAAGGCTGTCTGGAGTCGCCCTCTAGCATTGGACCCTTGTATCACAAGAGGAAACCTTATGTATACCGCCAGATAGGTCCTGCTTCAGGAGACGATGGGCCTGTTTTGAACACCTGCGAGGGTGGCTAGCCACATCACGTCAGGCCATGCGTGCCATAAGCCCTTAACCTTACCTTAAAACAGTAGATCTCTGCAGTACTTAGTCTTTTCCTTACCTTAAATCAGTAGATGCAGAAACTCTGGAGTACTTGGGCCTTTCGAGATCCTTCCAGATGCGCCAGGCGTGCACCCCAGGGAAGACGCAGATTCTGAACATGACGACAAGGCATCCCCTCTCCAGGACGACAGTGTTTAGGGTTAGCTTAGCCTGCCAACACCTACTGTGTTGTGGGTTCTGATTATAAACGCTAACATAGATTTTACAGGGACCCTTACGAAAAAGAAGGTTTTGGAGGGTTCAGGTAGCTAAGTTTTTGTGAGGGTCATAAATATTCGGGGGTTTGCTCCATTCGGGTAAGTGGTAGGGTTTGTTCCGCTTCGTTGGGGTTAGGGTTCAGGGTTTACTAGGGTTTAAGATTCAGGGTTTATGAAGGGGGCGCAGGTTAAGTATAATATTCATGCTTTTAGGGCTCTCGAAGAGTCGGGCTGTTAAGCTCCTTGCTTTTTAGTTTATTGGTCCAGTGTTACAGGGGGAGAGTACTGCCCCCTTACAGTAAGAGTCTATAATAGGGCTACGATGAAGGTCCTAATATATCTATATTACGAACATTATTCTCAACTATTACTGAGCGGGGGGGTGTACCCAATACAGGGGGTCATTGCAAAGGGGATCCTAAGCCCGAGGCCCGCAGCCGTGAGCCTGAAGCCTAAGAAAGCCAAAGCCCTAAACCGTAGGCCCTAAGGCCTTAAGACCTCAAGAACCGTAGGCCCTAAACCCTTGAGACCTCACACCCATAACCCTGAACTGTGGACTCTAAGACCTGAAGACCTCAAACCCATAACGCTAAACGGTAGACCCTAAGGCCTTAAGAGCTCAAACCCTCAACCCTAGGCGGCCTCAAGATCCCTCAATCCGAACCCTGAGCCTCCAGTTTTAAGCTGCACCTTTTCCAAGCACAGGCTTAGTAGCTGAGTGGCTACACTTTACACTTCTTGGGGTAATATTACTCACTGTAAACACTGAAAGTATACACTTTTTTGGGCTTCTGAACTCAGCAACTAGGTCCCTAAATCCAGCCTCCACAGCTTAAAGCTGCACCTATTCCAAGCACAGAAAGCCAGGCCTCGTCTTCCAAGGGCCTTGAAGTGCAAAAATCTTCGTCAGATATTAAGCCTCCATATAGTAGGGGTACTATAAGGTTTAGGGGTTTAGTTTAGGGGTTTAAGTTGGGGCTTTTGGGTTTAGGGTTTAGTTGGGGGTTATTTAAAGGATCATGCGACTTAGTAAGGGTTCTTAAAGGGCTCTTTAAAGGGATCTATAGGGTTCCTTAAAGGGGTCCAGGGGTTTAGGCTTTAGGGTCTGCTTAAAGGATCATGGGACTTAGTAACTAGGGTTATAATTAGGGTAACTCTACGTATAACCCCAGTCTTACTAAGTCCCATGATCCTCCAAGTCATCATTGATAGTTGGTGATATGAACCCTGCATTACCTTAAGGACCCTGAACTATGGGAATTTTGGTATATTCCGTATTATGGGTCATGCAGGATTTGTGTCATCAACCGTAGTATTTGGGAGTTTCCAAAATTGGGGGACCCTGATATAGTACCCTAAATAGTAGGATCCCTATTATAAGGACCCCCAAATAAGGTACCCCTCATTTTCGGAAACCCCCATTTGCAGTACCAGTAATAGTAGTAGTGCTACTACGGTACTACGACGACGACGACTACTACTGATTATGCTGACGGGGATAGTCATAACCATGACAGTAATGATAGTGGTAACCAAGAATACCTTTCACGATGACCATTCTCATAACAATCATAAGGGCAATAGTGATAATATCAGCAGCAACAACAACAATATCTTTCTGACATTGGTAAACATGACCATACCTGGAGGTTCAGGGGTAGTTATAAGTAGGATAACTACGGTTACAACCCATATTGCGGGACTTATCACCCCACTTATGACTACCCATGAAGCTCCAAGTAGTGTCATAATCCCAGAGACTCCAAGATCCCATTACTTAAGGACTATTCCTCGAATCATATTAGGGATCCTGCCATAGTTTAAGGTATATCCCTTAATTAAGGGATGTTGGAGTCTCTAGGATGTGAATCCGGGAAGCCTATTTGGAGGATCATGGGACCTAGTAAGTAAGGTTATAAGTACCTGAATTCGGGTTATAAGTAGCTATAAGTAGAGCTACCCTTATTATAACCCTGGTTACTAAGTCCCATGATATTTTTTGGCAGGGATTCTGCTATGATTTAAGGTATATCCCTTAATTAAGCGATGTTGGAGTCTCTGGGATGTGAATCCCCCCTAAACCCTTTAAGCCCTAAACCGGGAAGCCTAGAAAGGCCTTGCAGCCGCTGTCCAGAGGGAGCTGAGCAATGCTGGCCCAGCCAACTCCAGATGGAGCGTTTCGTCTAATGAGGGTTTATTATTCAGGGTTCCGGGCTTAAAGTTAAAGTGTTGGGTTTCATGCGGGTTTATTGTTCAGGGTTTCGGGTTTGATTGGAGTGTTGGGCTTACTGAATTGTAGATACAGTCCGAGGGGCTTCGTGCTCAAGTTGAAGTATCCTTAAAGGGATCCTTTGAGGGTTCCTTAGAGGGATCTATAAGGGTTCGGGTTTCGGCTTTCGGGTTTAGGGTTTCGGGTATAGGGTTTCGGGTTTAGGGTTTTAGGTTTTCGGGTTTAGGGTTTCGGGTATAGGGTTTCGGCTTTCGGGTGTACTGTTTAGGGTTTCGGCTTTCGGGTTTAGGGTTTCGGGTTTAGGGTTTAATTGAAGTGTTGGGTTTACTGAGGGTTTATTGTTTACGATTTCGAGGTTCATTCAAGTTTTGGGTCCAATTGTTTAGGGTTTCGGGCTTCTTTGAAGTATTGGGTTTGATGAGGGTGTTTTGTTTAGGGTTTCGGTTCTAAGTGAAGTTTGGTTTGTTCAATCAGGGTTTATGTTTTCGGGTTGCGGGTTGAATTGAAGTGTTGGGTTTACTGAGGGTTTAGTGTTTCGGGCTTCGGGTTCAATCGAAGTGTTGGGTTTCATGAGGGTTTATTGTTCAGGGTTTCGGGCTTAAAGTTAAAGTGTTGGGTTCAATCAGGGTTTATTGTTCAGGGTTTCGGGTTGAATTGAATTTTTGGGTTTACTGAATTGTGCCATTGGACGGGATGAAACTGGTGAGATTTGACACTTGTCCACGAAGTGTATAGGGCTTAAATACCCAGGAGAGAGCTCGAAACTCCGGACCCGAACCCTATACAATTTCTACAAACTCTAAACCCTAAATCCTAAACCCTCAACCCTTAAACCTAAACCCTAAACCCTAAACCCTAAATCCCAAACCCAGGTTTAGGTACAGGGTTTGGGTTTTTTTTTAGGGTCCCCGGTGACCCTTCTAAACCCGAAAACCCTGAGACCGGGGGAAGCCCTACACCTTCAGATGCTTGAGATACTACAACCCAGAGACTCCAATATCCCTTAATTACGGGATATACTGATGGCAGGATCCCTAATATGATTTGAGGAGTATTCCTGAAGTAAGGGATATTGGAGCCTCTCGGAACCTGAGAACCATCAAACCCGTGACCACAAGCCTGTGCAGCTGTGAAACTTCGGTGCTCTTCTCACTAAGGGCGGGGATGAAAGTCACCCTAAACCCTAAACCCTAAACCCTAAACCCTAAACCCTAAACCGTAGGATGGAGGATCATCCACCCTTGGGAGCGCTTTGACACTAAGGGCGGGGATGATGGTGGAGCTGGACAATGTTAGCCGCAGCTTCCATTGCCCAAACGAGGCTGGAAGTCCTAGTTGGCCAAAAGATGAGCCTATGGGGGTTCAGTTGGGATTAGGGTTCCCATAATAGGGTTCATATTAAGGAATCCTGTTGAAATGCTTCTCACTGCATGCCCAGGTATCAGGTTAGACAGGTGTGTAGTCTACTTGAAGGGATTGCCGGCACTTGTATAGTTTCCTTCAGGTAGGCTTGTACATGTGTGTTTCCTGTATCCTTTGGCTTAGGGGAAGGCTGCGTAGGAAAGCCTCTTGAGCCATGTGTACTGTAACCAACAACTTGTAAAGCTGTACTGGTCGTTTGTTGGTTTGTCGGTTCTCTTGTTGCTTCGTTGAGATCGTGAGTCGCCTCTGCGCCCAGCCATAGAAAACATTCTGCGTGAGCTTCGCTGCAGGGTATGGCCACCCAGGGTGAACACCTTCAACAGGTGATGAGCCCAACGCCTGGGCCAGAAGCAACCGGAGCGGTGGCTTCTCCGGCCTCTCTGCCTGGAGTGCGGGGAGGCGGGGATGCACCGCAGACTACAGTGAATGGTACAACCGCCGGAGTTGGAGTGCCATCGCCCTCTGGGCTTGCGCAGCCTATTGGGGATGGAATCCAGCAAACTATGATGGATGCGTCGTCGGGGCCATCGACTTCCACAGCTGGTCCAGTGCCATCCCCTCAGCTGCCACAAGAAACTGTTGGAACAGCCGGCCAACCGAGAGTTTCAGCAGTCGGTAGGACAGGAGGCGATGGAACACTAGGCCAGGTTGGAGGCTTGGGCACAGCTGGCGTTACGTATGAAGCAGTATCTACCACGGAGGTCGCTGATGCGAGTGGGGTACATGGAGATGCAACTGCAGTGACTCAGGGTTTCAGTGTGGCCACCGAAAGTGGAATGGCTAGCGCTCAGATCAATGTTGCCGCAGGCGTCTCAGGGTACAACCCATCTGCAGCGAATCCTGGAAGTAGTGCTGAGGGCTTTGAAACGCCCAGATCAACGGCGTACGGGGCGTCAGCGGTCATGCAGACTGGGGCTCAGGCTTTTGCTAGTCAGTTGCTAGGAAGAGTGCAGTCTCTGTTTGGTGGCGCGGCGAACGTACAGCCACTGCCGCAAGGGTGGGCTCCCAGTCCACTGACTTCTCCTCCAAGGCCGTCGCGACCACTACAGCCCCTCGAGAGAGGAGGCCGCGTCCTGCAAGATGAGTGTCAAGTGCCGATGCCGTTGTTCACTGGTGCCAACGCGCAGCAGCTTGCTGCCATGGAGCAAAGAGCTCCCTTGCTCTACGGGTCCGGGTCTCCGGACAGGCCTCCGCACACCGAGTCCTCATCTATTCCGCATGATGCGATTCAGGCAGAAGTCGCGCGACAGCTTGATGGGTTGAAGCAGCAACTGCGAGCTGAGCAAGAGAGAGCTGGTCGTGCTGAGGCCGAACTCTCGAGGATTCGGTCTCAGCAGGCTGGTGAAGTTGAGGCTACGGCGTTGCAGCAGGTGGGTACTAGGGAGGTTGGCTTTAGTGGGTTTGGTGATAGTGGGTTCGGTTCGCATCCTGTCGCCAACACTGGGGTTGGATTTGCCCCTTCTTCATCCTCACCGCCTCCTCCTCCGCCTCCTTCCGCTCCCGAGCCTCAGGGCTTCGCTGGTTTGTTCTCAGGGCTCCTTGGTTCCGGTGCGCGGTCTTCCAGCCCTGCACCGCAGAGGCCACAAGCAGAACCCAGAGGCACACTGCCAGCAGGAGCCGCGAGTGCATCAGGACCCACAGATCGTGAGATACTGATTGCTGGGATGCATCAACTTCAAGATGCCATGTCAGAGATGCTCAAGGGATCTCGTGCCGAACGCGATGGCGGCAATTCTCCCACCAACCCTGAAGCTGTTAAGCCAGGCATCTCGAGTTTCCCAGCTTTGGCAGAGCTCACTTCGGATGAAGGGTCTCTTCTGTACCAAGATTGGTTAGTCGTGATTGGGGGTTTGGTCGGTGATGTTTCGGACACAGCAGCAGAGTGGTGGCGTCAGGTTTTGGGTGTGGTTGATACGGCCTATGGGGTTTGGATTTCGTCATCACCCTTGGATAGGCTAAAGGTTGAGCCAGTTGTACCGGCTGAGTTGCTTCAAGGGCGATGGGCGCGTGTCAACTTTAGGATCTGTAGTATGCTTATGGCGGCAGTTCCAGAGTCTATCAAAGCAGACATTGTGGCCCGCAAATGCAATCAATCAGCTCCTTCCATCCTTTTCCGTTTGCACACCACGTACCAACCAGGTGGAGGTTCAGAAAAGGAGGTTATTCAGAAGAATCTCATGCAGCCCACTCCAGCATCTGATCCCTCCTCAGCCGTGAAGTCTTTGCGTGAGTGGATTCGTTGGTACAATCGCTGTGAAAGTTGCAACATGTCACCTCCGGACTCGACCATTTTGTCCAAGAGCCTCACTACCATCACTAGCCAAGTTTTGGCGCAGCATGAAGAAGCGAAGTTTCGAACGTTTATGCTTCGTTCCATGTTAAAAATGGATGCTCAACCAACTTCGTCTGCAGTCCTGGAGTACCACAAGCACTTGCTTGCAGAGATGGAAGCCCTTGCAGTCTCTAAGGCCACAGGTGTGAGTGCCCCTAAGGTTCGAGCTGTAGGCACGCCCAGTCCGGGAACATCTCCAAAGGCCAGTGGGCAGCCGCAGGCTTCAAAGCCCTGCAAGTTTTTCATGGGTACTTCGGGGTGTAGGCGGGGTCCTAAGTGCACGTTTAGCCACGACATGTCAGGACTTTCTCGTCAGGAGCGCAGCAAAAAGTGCTTAGCATGTGGCTCTGAGGCACACCGCCAAAAGGACTGCCCGGTAGCTGGAGGAAGCCCAAAGGGGAAAGGACAGCCAGGTGGAGGAGACACCAACAATGCTGCAGGCCACAGGCCTACAACGGCTGATCAGGCGTCTACTGCAATCCAGCCGGGCGCGAGCCCAGGCCGAGCGGAGGACTTCACAGCGTTTATGCGCATGATGTTTGCAGCTGCCAGTTCTTCCGAAGCCTTTCCTCCTGCATCCACCCCAGCCGCTCCCGCGCAGCCTCCGGCGATTGAAGACAAACCTGCAGCACAGGAGGAGCCTAAAGCGAGCATTAAGACCATCCATCTCACAGCCATTGAGCCTGGGCAGGTTTTGGAAGTAGATGGTAGTCCTAGTTTTTTGGCTTTGGTAGACAGTGGGGCCACTCATGCCCTTCGCGCTGCAAGTTCCGAAGCTGAATGGGCTAGTGCGCAACCCGTTGTCGTGTCACTGGCTGGAAAGGAGACTTCGGCTATGCGTTTGTCTGCTGCTGGTACTCTTCTGTTGCCTCCCACATCTAGTGCCCAAACCATCGTGCCGCTGGGTTCTGTCATCCAGCAGCTGGGGTATCGTTTGGATTGGACTGCCTCGCGATGCCGTTTGATTGCTCCTTCGGGTCGTGCCTTTCGCTTGAGGGTTAAAGGTGGGTGTCCAGAGATCATGGAATCAGAAGCCTTGGTGCTAATCAGCAAGCTAGAAGAAAAGCGGCTAGAGGACTTGAAGTCTCTGGAGGCGAATGTGGCCGAAGGTACCTCTCGCATCCGAGCTGTCAAAGCCTTGATGTCAAAGAGCTGGTGGGATCACATGCAGGACTATGTGAGCCTTGGATCTACCAATTCAGCCCAACTAGCGTTGCAGGCCGCGCCTTTCTTGGCAGATGTTCCCCAAGCAGCTTTGCAGGGACTTGTTGAGGATGTTGCTCAGGTTTCAGGATGGGAGCTCCTAAAGGGTTTGACGCATCTCAATCGGCGTCGCCGTCGTGCATTGCTCAATGCCCCAGAGTGGATTGTTCATCTGTACGCTGGAGCCCCAGGCCCTAAACCCTTTTCGCACCTTGAGTCCAAGAATGTGGCTGTCCTGGAATTGGACATTACCAGAGGCTCAGACCAAGATGTGCTACGCACTCCTGCTTGGCGCGCTCTAGTTTGGGGTGCCGTCCACGGCAAAGTGTCGCATCTTCTTGGTGCTCCACCGCGTGGTACGTTTGACACACATGCTCATGGAAGTAGCGTTGTCCCACCTGTGCGCGGGCCATTGGACTTACATGGCCTTCCAGATTTGTCAGCAGCACAACGGTCGAAGGTTGATCGTGAAACGGCTTTGCTTTGCCGACAGATTTGGTTGCATGCTGTGGCGACTGCAGGTCGCAAGGTTAGGCCGCCAGCTGGAGTTACTAGGCTTGAGGTTGGTTTTCTGCTTGAGCACCCGATGCTTATTGATCGCTACGTGCCTCCTTCGCATGCCTTGTTTGGTCAGGTCCCTAGTTTTTGGAATACTGGACTTTGGAATTCCTATGCCGATGAAGCAGGGTTGTTTGAAGTTCATGTCTACAAGGGGGATTTAGAGCATGTGATAAGTAGGCCTACGACCTTAGGCACGAACTATGGTGATTTGCAGTACCTAGAGACCCTAAGCCTTGACAAGGGTTTGCGTGGTGTCACTGTGCAGGCAGCCGCTGCAGAGCCTGAGAGTGAGAGCAGTGGCATGCCTCATCTGCATCGCAAGTCCCATGATTCAGCTCGATGGGCCCCTGGTTTTGCCCAAGCCGTGAGCATGAGCATCCAAAACTGGTCTAGGTGGTTCCGCATTGCCAAAACAAAGGCAGACGAACAGGCTTGGAGGGATCATGTGAAGAATAATCACCAACCGTTTCGGAAAGACTGTAGTGTGTGCATCAGAACTGCCGCCTCAGGACGCCGCCACGTTGGTGTGACTCACCCCTCACAGTTTACTCTGTCTGCGGATGTCTGTGGACCTCTGAAGGTGCCAGGTGCTGACCCGGAAGGTAGGTCAAAGGCGCCGAAGAAGTTCAAGTATTTTCTAGCTGCTTCGTATCGCTTTCCTCGTTTGCACGGCATGCCCGAAATTCCAGATCCCTTAGATGAGGTAGATCTCTCCAAGGAGGAGCCGCTGGACGATTTCCTTGAGGGTGCAGGTACAGGGCTAACTGAAGAAGAAGCGAGGGATATCTTAGAGAATCTTAGTG